TATTTCTAGCTTCCAAGGTGAAGTCAACTTGTGAAAGATTTGCCTCCTGCTCTCCCTGCCTACTGTGTGCGGCTTTTACAGGAGCAATTCTAGCGATGACAGTCTTCGGTGTTCCAGATGAGACAATTAGAAATCAACGCTATGATCAAATCATCAGGCAAAATATAAAAATACATGGTGGTGTCCAAGAGGCTGGCCACCAGCCCGCAAATCATTCACGTTTCCACCGTAGATCATGTCCCAACTGCCCTTAGCGCTTAGGACCGGCCCGCATGTCGATCAATCCAGACTTTGACCCGCGATCCCACGCTCCACCGTTGTTGCGCAACCACCTTCATTCGTCCGCCCCGCGTGGCCCTTCACGGCCAGTCGACCATGGGGTTCATGGGCCATACTTGAAACCCCCGCACATGCAGGAGGTAAAGAGCGAGAGGGGATTCCGGCCAATAATGGAAGGGCAGTATGACTTTGTTCTCTCAAAATAAGAACGCTGCAGCGGGGGAATCTTAGAGAGAGGTGGGTCGTTTTTGTGGTTCTTCTTCTGTGCTTTTTTCGCCCGTTCTGCATGCTCCATTTGGTTATGAGAACGAGCCCGTGACATCAGCAGCTAATCGTTCACCAAGGCTGCGAGGAGAGCTTGTTTGTGCTACACAGCTCACGTGGATACCACAAGTAACAGAGACCGTGTAAGATTGCAGGATACGCAATCGTCTAGATTCTGTGGGACAAACAACGAAGAGTTTGCGGCACGACATGCGCAAAAACCTGTCGCCATTGGCAAACATGATGTGTCTCTCCAGGGAAAAGTCGGGCCACCAGTTCAGACGAAAGGCAAGAAGTTCAGGCGAACCCTAATGCTGCGTTCTGTTTGTCAACCTTAGATGGTGATACCTGCTGTGCATTCACGCTGGCGAATCACGTCCGCATCGACGTGCGCTAGCGGGAGATGCAAACTGAAGCATGACATCGGGGGGATCTGCCAATCAGGACCCGAGGGTGCCAGGTGGGAAACGTACGATGGCAAGACACTCTGAGCCAGGCATGCCGGTAATGACAACTGCTTTGTTTCTATCACCATTGTCATCATCATTGCACATTAAACTGACGCCGGCGTTGACTGTGGCGGAAAGTGGGGGGCAAGAACGCCAGTCTTGCCTTTGGCATCGGCTCCGAGAAAGAGAGGTTCGGCTCAAGCAAGATCTCAAGCCTGAAGATGGATTGTTCTATTTGACGTGGGTTTCTCGTTTCTTTTGAGGGACTCGGCGTGACAGCCCGAGACTTCCTGGAGAAGAGGACTTTGGTGAGACTGGCCGTTTTCTCTGTACCCCCAGTTTTGGCGGCAAGACGCATAGTACAGGTCTGACATCGGAGCACCTTTTCCGTCAGACAGGTCAAGCTCTCTGTAAAGATCATCGCTGTGATAGCAAGACATACATATTCGAGCCCAATACCGGAGGAGCTTTACATGGTCAGGGTCCCGAAAGCTTTGGCCTAGACAGAACGGTGCACGTCGCCTGTGCCCGCACGAACTTGGCATCAGAGACAGAGACAGATCGGACATCAGAGAGCGATCGCCGAGAAACGTCAGCTGAAGCTTCTGCTTCCAAGTACGTGCGTATAGGGATAGAGGAATACAGTATGATGCTCGGCCTCGATAGACTGTTATCTGAACTTACTGTAGAAGCGGGATAGTACTTGGCTTTCCATAGGCAAAGTAAATCAATGCGAAGTATCGGACATCTCACATCTCCTTCCGCTTTCGTGATTAACTGCTTCTATCCTTGACCATGCTGGTGATATACGATTGACAGAGGACTCATTCGATCTCAAGAGTCAACTCCATAACGTGAGGCGAGACACACAGCGTCGAGCCCAACATCGTGGCAACGGACCCATTAGAACAGGGAGAGGCTAGGTAAAGATCACGACCGAACCAGCGGAACACACAGATTGAGGCCCAACACGGTGAGCGACCTGACATTGAGATGATTGAAGTCATTCGAGAAGATGAGCACGGCAGCACGTAATAGCACAGCATGGCGATTGGTGCCCAGGCAAAAGTGACAGGACAATTCGTATGGTTTATCACCAGATTTGCAAGTACACCCCTCTCGATTGGGACCTTGTGGTCGTCGATATGAGGGTACAGATCCTCGGGTCTGCGTGGTACAACACCCCTCGTGCCGACCTCAGTATTGCACTCGTGTACTCCAACCCCCTCGTCGTTGTACTGACGCTGTCCCTACCACTTGGTGCCCAACTGAAAGAATCTGGCCCACGGCGATGCATCTGATCGTGGGAATATTCGCTTTTGCCGGAGAACCACAGCAGAAAGCTTGGATGACGAGCAAGCTTGACGGCCGCCTCACTTCTAGAAACCAGCCATTCGTTTCTCATCATGATACGTATTTATAGATGGCTTGGGCTCTCACAAGAATCCTCTATCACCCAAGCCATCGAACAACACCGTCTCACCATCATCTCACAGTCTCTTTCTCCTTTCTCCTAACCTAGACGACTTCTTTCGACCATCACTTACAAGATGTCAGCCTCCAACGCCCATCACACGCCTGTGAAGCAGGCAATCGATGCGGTGCACGCCACCCATCCTCCCGCGGGACAGCGAGGCTACCCCTTCTCCCTGCCCCAGCGCAACCTCCTAGTCATCGTACTGGGCGAGTTCTGCGGAACATTCATGTTCCTCCTCCTCTCCTTCCTCGGAGCCCAGACCGCCATCGTCACCAACAAGCCCGACGACCCAGCGGCCACACTCTCTCCTGACAGCTTGCTCTACATCGCCGCCGCCTTCGGCACAGCCATCACCGCCAATGTATGGATCTTCTACCGCGTCAGCGGTGGCATGTTCAACCCTGCGGTATGTTTCCGACCCAGTTCATCTCAACCCCCAACCCTTTCTACTTCAAACGCTGAATAACATTCTCATAACAGGTCACCCTCGGTCTCGTTCTCGTCGGAGCAGTCAAGCCGCTTCGAGGTCTCTGCATCGTACCCGCCCAGCTGCTCGCTAGTATCGCTGCCGCTGCCGTGGTATACGGAGTCCTCCCCGGCCCTCTCCGCGTCGCCAACACTCTGGGCGGCGGCGCCACCGTGCCCCAGGGCTTCTTCATCGAGATGCTTCTGACGGCTCAGCTCGTCTTGACGGTCTACTTCCTCGCTGTCGAGAAGCATCGCGCGACGTTCCTTGCGCCTATTGGCGTCGGCATCTCCGTCTTCATTGCCCACATCACGGCTACCAATTGGACTGGCACCTCAATCAACCCTGCTCGGTCATTTGGTCCTGCTGTCATTATCGGTTTCGTAAACTACCACTGGATCTACTGGATTGGCCCATTCGCTGGTGCTCTTCTGTCCTTCTTGGTTTATGCCTTGTTCAAGTGGCTCGAGTACCAGACTGCCAATCCTGGACAGGATGACGATATGGAGAAGGCTATTCACCCTTCTCTGCCTGTTGACTCGGCGCACAGCGGTGGAACTGAGCTTGCCCCTGAGCACGCCAAGGTCTAAACTTCGATGGACAGGTTAATACTAATGGTCTTCTATACGCCCTGGCACACGGGTGTTGTCGGAAGGATTATGACTTCGCTGGTAAATGTAGCTTGTATGCTGGATCGTACTTGACAGAATTGGCTAAGGGCCACGGAAGTAGATGGGAAAGAGTTTGCAGATTGTAGATACATGTAGTCCTAGATTGCCTATTTTGGGTATCGAAATGTCACTTGCTTTTACTAGATGAAGTATCACTCCACTAATGCCTCCATTCCTACGGGTCTACTCTTGCCAATAGTGTTTCGTCTGATAACTTACTGTGGAAAGTCGCGTTGCTGAAATAGCACCTTTTTTTGATTTCACGAGGGCGCTTTAGGTAAGAAAATGATTGGAAGGAACAGTTTTGTTGGTTAATCTTGTCGTCGTTCGTTGTGGTCATGTGATGGCGGTCCTTGAACAGGTGAATGATGCTGTCACGACAACGACTTGTTTCCGTTTTGGTCACCTGGATAGCATAAGCGCTGCTTTCTGGTTCTTTTTCTTTTTTTTTTTGTGACAAACTATAGGTTCGCATGGTAATTCTGGTAAGATACCCTACATTTAGAAACTGTATTTCCGGTTCGTACCTGACTGATTGAGGATAAGTTCGTGGTGACCCTTTTGGACATCCGTATTCATCTTGAACCTTCGTTTTGACAGGTCCCACTAATCTCGACTCGTTCCGCCGCCCACATATTTCACTTAGCTCGATGATGAGAAAAGAAGACTACTTGCCCTTTCCTCTTGTTTTCTTCCTGTCACGCCGGTTACAGCCTCTCTGTTCCCTGCCGCTTAGCGACAGAGATCGACAAATCTGACAAGATGGTGCTGACCAACATAGTCCAGGATCTTGGCAAATCAGCATACCCAGTCATTTCAGAAGTCTTGGAAGACATAGTACAAGCAACTGTACAGCAGAATAACGCTGGAATCCCGACCCCGTCTGCTACATCCCCAAGCGACAATGCTTCATCTGTCCCATCACAACCTAAAGATGGGAAAAGTATTACAACCGACATCGACAAACTCCAAATCCAGTACGAGTTACTGAACCAAAGAATGTCTTCATTCGAAAAGACGCTCGATAATGCCGAGAAGAAGCGCAAGAAGTTGGTCAAGATCCGGAAGGGCTTAGAGCGGAAACTCGACGCCAGCAAGTCAGACATTCACTCATTGGAGCACAAGATTTCGTGCGCAGAAATCGATAGCAATAGTTTGGAAGTTTTACTTGAGGTCGAGACTTCAGAGTCTTGGGGCGCCAAGACTAGAAGGGCTATTCATCTGAAGAAGATCGAGAAGAATGTGGACGAAATTGATCGCTTCATTGAGAGATACGAAGAAAGGTAAGATGTCGCACTATTCAGTCCCACATTCAACCCACTGAGTTTGCATCGCAGACAGCGTAGTCTGGACGACAAAGCCAAGGACTCGAACAACTGACAATACTCTGCCTCTCACATCGCGACCATAACCCCAGCAGCCACACCAGCAGCAACACCAGCCATAGCCATCCCAGTACATCTCGCCACAGCAGCACCGCCCTTCGACGTCTTTGTCGCCGCCGTATTATCCTGCCACGCCTTCTGCCAATCCGAAACATACGACGAAACCCACTTGTCGTCCTTATCCGGCACGTTATCCTTCCACCACTTGGCCTCCTGCTGGGTGTCCAGGCTATACCCGTTGACCGCCATCGAGGCGACGACGTCAGGCGCGTCGGTGGCCTTGGCGGCGGCGGACCACATGTGGGAGTAGACCGTCGTCCACTCCTTGTCGTTGAAGTACTTTTGGTCGACGCTGTACAGCGCGGTCGCGAGGGAGGTTGCTACGGCGCCGGTGATGGTGCTCGGGACGGATTTGACGTGTTGGGAGAGGTATTCGTCGGCGGCGGTCGAGGTCGGGAGGGTGGTGCCGAACCAGAGTTGGGCGAAGGCTGTTGGCGCCATGGCCGTTGTGAGGGAGATGAGTTTGAGCAGATGCATGGTTGAGTGAGGTTGAATAGAGGACCTAGTCTTGTCTTCGATGCCGATCTCTCGGTTGGTTGTAGCGACTTCTTTCTGGCAGTAAACTTTCCTTCTGAAAATGCTCAACTTCTGAGAAACTCACAAGAAAGACTTGGGACAATGAGGGACATCATATCCATTTAAATAGTCCAAGTTCGCGAATTTTCACCATGCGGCAAAGCAAACGCCAAGCGAAATTTCCTTATTTATTCCTTCAAGTTTCACCACTTTAATTACTGGCGGACCATTTGTTTGCTGTGCCGTGGTGCCTTGCGGCACAGCAACATGTCTGCTGCCTAAATTCGCGATGCAATTTTCTTCGAGTAACGAAGCTAAAACCCAGGAGAATTAGCCGCTTGTAGATGAGATGTTACATCGAGGACACGCGGGGAAAAAGTACCTTGCACTAGCACCCGGCCATCGGGCTCCTTCGACTCCTTCCTGTGGTCGGGCGTGGTTGGCTATCCTGACGTATTTTTTTCGCGATACTACCATCGGAGGGCCGGTGTGACACTCCACTTTGGCCGGCGAGCTGGAACGGGGAAGTGGGGCATTTTCGGGCGATGGGCCTCGGCATGGAGCCGAGGGGAGTATGGCTTTTGCGAGCAATGGCGTTCAGTCACATGGTTTAAATTACACCCCATCTTTGCTAATTCATGTGTACAGCGTGACCGGTTAGTTCCTCGACTTTCCGATCGATTCTTGAGGAAATTTGTCAGCTTCTGAAGGCATTTTGGCCTCAAATGGTTATGCTGACCAATTACCTGAGTGTTCAAGCCTCTTGCAATGTACCCAAACCGTACTATTGCTCCCCGCAGAGCAGTTTCAGGATCTATGAGACGTGATTTGGATCTAGCATTGCCGCGGAAGAACCTCTGCAGTCTTAAATCCAGATCGAAGCAGTTGAGGAGTTTTCCCAGTTCAGAGCCGATGCACGTGTAGTCGACGTGACGTTTTGCATATTGGCCTTGATACCCTGATTGGGAGTCGGAGTCGACTCCGACGTCCAACTGATGCGACGTGGTGGAAGAAAACTGCCTTGCAACACTTTTCATCTCGTTAATCACTCGCGGAATTTGTGGGTGATCTTCTTCCATCATAACCTGATGTCGGAATTGACTTGGCGGAGAATTGGACCAACCAATCAGTGGAAATCATAAGCGAAGATCGGCGGCCAAGGTTCGTGGGTCCTGGTTATGGGACAGAGTGGATTCACAGATCTGAAGCATCCCGCTTGAGGTGCATCATAAGGACTAAAGACAAAAAGGAAAGAAATAGGTAGGGTAAAAAAAGGGTGAATGCGAAGATGCCATTGCCCTGATCGTCTTAAACAGCTCCTGATATCGCTGTTTCAAATTCCTGAGTTGGATGCAGCCGGTGGGAGGAAGCTTTAAACAGCGCGCGGAGTAGTGCGGAGCGGAGCGGTTCCGCGATGCCAAAACCCCTCCAAACCCCGAGTTGAATTGATTCGACGTTGCGAATTCCTGATCCGGGCTCCCATAGCCCCCATGGGGTAAGTAGCCAAGCTGTCAAGTCTGCCTAGTCTGCCTTGTGACTTGAGATTATTACTCAAGTTGCATTTCAGCTGCCAAGGCGACTCTCTTCTTCTTCCATTCCCTTGCTGCCAGGCCCTTGGCCGCTCTTCGCTGCATTCCTTGGATATGCCGGCATCCGAGCTGTCCGCCCTGCAAGGGCTTTCTCGCTTAAAAGTCATGTTCCAGTCGCGGATAGTATCGTCCTCTTTATATTGCTTCAGCTTGAAGGAACTATCTCTCAAACAGATTTGCACTTCTTTACATCTCTTTATCGCTGTTCGTTGAGAAGAAGGAGCCGAATGCTCCCATAAGTCCATCGTGTACCATGGCCTCATTATCCACTCTCGCTGAAGACATCATGCATAGCATATGCGAATACCTCACGCCCCGCGACATTTTCCAACTCACCCTCACTCAAAAACGCTTTGCAACGTCATTTGAGCGAAGTCTCCTGCTGCACCGCGATTTAGCATCGCAAACATACACCGCGATGCTAGCAGCCATTGTCAGAAATGAAGTAGACCGGGTCGAGGAACTCTTAAAACTCGGCTACGAAGCTAAGTTTGCCTGTTCAAGGTCTGTGCTTGCCTGCCCGGCCGACTTTGACTTCCCAGTCAACAATCTGATGCTTCAAGCGCCGTCAAACGTTGCCATTAGAAGGCAGGGTCTGGCTGCGCTCGTGATTGAGCGACTGTACCGTCCCGTGTGCGATACGCACAAGATCTGGATAAACTATTCCGTCCTGGCCCACGCCATCTTGGAAGACCAGGTTGAAACCGTCAAACTCCTTCACAAGCACGGCGCAGATTTGGAAAAGCCGCTGCTGCAGGTCTTTGCGTTCCGTGGCATGCCAGTGGATGTTGATCACCAAATCAGTGTCCTGCACCTGGCGAGCAGCAGTGCCATGATCGAGACACTCTTAGAGCTTGCCCCGAACATTCCCATCGACAAGGACAGATTCATGCACACAGAACCGTTGCTTCTCTGGCATGTCGAGAGAGGCACAGATGTCAGAGGGCTCCGGCGACTGTTGGAAGCTGGCGCTCATGTTGACGGGGCACGTCCGGCGACACAGCGGATCGGCTTTTGCCAGTGCGAACAGGAGGACACCATGCACGTCTTTCTAGATCACAAATCACCGCTCGAGGCCGCCATATGGAACCTGGACCGGGATGCCGTTGAGCTTTTGCTAGAACACGGGGCATCGACGGTGTACCCGCCCAATGACACCGGCGAAGCGACTTGTCTACACGAAGCGATAAGAATCTTCCTCCTGGAGCACAAGCCGGAGGATCTAGAGGTCAGCTTGCAGATATTTCGCCTCCTGCTAGACCATGGGTTCGACGTCAACCACGAATACATCGAGTGGGCGGGGTGGACACCTGAGGGTACGCGCCTCCAGCCAACAGGAACCAGAATCAACCTGGTGGTGGACAGCCTCATCTACTACGCATCCACCGAAATGCTCCAGCTTCTCCTCGACGCCGGAGCAGATCCATTCAACGCGTCGGGTGTGAGGCCAGGAGACAAAAGCTACGTCGTCATGCTCGGCTTGTCATCCTCGGTAGCGAGATTGTATCCCACGAATATGACCGAGCCCGAAAGGGTGTCCCTACAGAGCGCAAAGCTGAAAGCACTAATCGCCAAGAGAGCAGAGTCAGACCCCAGCGGCCGCGACCGCAGGTTGTTATTCATGGCTGCCTTGGAAATATCTCGACCGTCGGAACTCCATCAGGTGTTCAAAGTTCTTCAGAAAGTCTTTGGATCGTTCGAAGAGGAGCTCAGCCTCCTCGCAGACACCATGGGCCGACTGAAAATGATCCCAGGAGTCCTTCAAGAGAGCCGACAGATCATTGAGTTTCTCATCCGCTGCGGAGCCCCCGTCAATCACCCCAATTCCGATGGGGAGACGCCTTTGCACGTCGCCTATACGCTTTCAATAGCAAGCCCTTTGCCCATCGGGGAAACGGACGACCTCCTGGCGTGGGATGTTGACGAGGAGCAGGGATTTACGGTAGGCTGGGCTATCGGAACCAACAACTTCTTTGGCCATGAAACTATCAATGGCTTCCTCAGCTCGATAATTAGTGCTCCGGCGGAGGCAGAGAAGCGGGTACGAAACGCTAACGCAATTTTTGACGCATTGATCCAGGCCGGGGCGGCTCAGAATTTGCTGAATGAGAAGGGGGAGACGGCAGCGATGGTGATGGCTCAGCATGGTTGGATCCAGCTGCCGCCTTCACCTGGTTCCGATTCAGAGCGTATCGTCGGGGACGAGATTAAGTCGGATTCCGCGCAGACGGATGATGTTGTGGCCAATGCCTTTGCGATCTGGAGGCAGTTTCAGCAACTTGCATTGGGGGAGGCGGGTTCCAGTTAGCCGCTAAAAGATGGGGCTACAACACTTACGCAAAGCAATAAAATGGCTAAGCTTCATCTCTATGACTTCTTACTTAGTGCCCTTGTCAGAATAATCGGGGTTTTCCTAAATTCTTTCGTGTTCAAAAAACCAGACTCGACCAAGCGTGAGTGTTTGCGCAATTTCAATGCAACTCTTATATCTCTAGAGTCACGCTTGTTGCACACCAACTTTGTGAAAGAAGTGCCTCCTCTTTACGTGTCCCTAGGTACTGACACCCCATCGGTTCACTTTAGAAAGTTGAGGTGGACATAATGTACCAATGACCTGGAATCAGTGATTTCTGGCGTAGGGGTATTACTTCATATTCTTAGACTGGGTGAGGTAAGCGCGCATGATCTCCTAGCGACTAGCGACTTTATCGCCGAACGCCGGTGCGGAACCAATGGAGACTCGTCCGCTGCGCCGTTCCGCACAGCCATAACAGGCTTAGCGGCGCACCCGCCGACCAAAATAGGGAAGGCTCCTTTCGCTCGCTTATCTGCCCGAACTGGGCCCGCGTCTGCTAATTACTGCTCTTCACGTTTACTTCCACTGCCCTCTGGCGGGCATCACTGGGAACTCTTGGCATTTCTCGCGGGCCCTTGGTCATATCTGCATATTTCGCAGAACTCAAGGACGTAGCAGTACATCTACTGTACTTTGATGAACGCCTAAGCGACTTGAACAGCCATCAGTCCCGTCTACCCGCCGCTGAAAGCTTGGCTTCAACGGTGTCTTACTTGGCTCGACGCCACCCATGGAATCCCACTCTTCCCGACCCAAAAAGACTGACATTGTTCGCAAGCGAACGGGCTGTCAAAATTGCAAAAAGAAAAGAAGAAAGGTCACACATCCCTCGGTGGAATCTCACGTCGCCACTTCCCTACTTTGTAAAAGTCCCTTTCAACTGACTCGTAGGCAGTGTGACGAGACACGCCCGGAATGCCTCGCTTGCGTGAAGAAAGGAGTAAAGTGCAGCGGCTACGAGCGCCCTGTGACCTTCAGAGACGTCACCACTCGAGCCGCCGAGTCTTCGAGGAAATTTGAGGAAGCTAGATGGGCCGCTCTACGTCGGGAAGATGAGCGAAGGAAACGACGCCGTATTGGATCAACCGGGGAGCCGTCCCCCGCCCCTCGGGAGTCATCAACGCCGGGAAATATCATCGAATTGCCGGCGAGAAATGATACTTTGACAGCTCCGGTTCCGGCACCTATGCCTCCATGGCACTCGACGAACGCTGAGGGCTGGCTCGCTGGGTCCTTTACTTTACCGTGGTCACTTTTCGACACATCTGGTGCTTTTTCCGCTGTTCAAGATTCACCTCAAGGAGTACAGGAAACAGTCAGACCAAGGAATGCCTCTAGTGAACTAGAACTACCCGCATCGCTCGAGGATTCCGCGAACCGCCTGATGCTAGCAAGTGGAGTACCAAACATCTCGGCATCAGCAGGGGAAGCCCCAAGCCCAGCTTTGACGACTGGTTGGGACGAATTTCTCGTCACAGACGGTTCGTCTCCAGGGTCTTCCACGTCCACTTCATCTCCCCTAGGTGAACCGACAGTAGACTGCCAGCTATCGATACCTCTAGAAGAGGTCCTCATCCAACACTTCGACAGGAACGTCCTTCCCCTGATACCAGTTGCTCTCTCCTTTCCGAATCTCTTCCGCCAGAGCAGCTGTTTCCGATCAGCGGTCCTAGCTCTGTCCGCCAGCAACATTAAGCTGACGCAACCTCTTCCCATCGACCCGCTCGTGCTTCGTCGAGTATGCGACGACAGCAGCGTCTGGATCTACTATGACACGGCAGTCAAAGGCCTCCAAGCTCAACTTCAGAACGTGGAAAACTACCGCGGCGAGGAGCTCGCGGGCGCCGCTTTACTGCTTGCCTACCACGAGCTGGAAGCCGGCACAGCCCTTGGAATCAGGAACCACGCCACCGGCCTCGATGCCATCGCATCTAAGCTCGACTTTGCCGCGTCGTCCATCCCCGACCTCTTCAAAGCCTGGCGTATGCTTCGCTACGATGTTCGTTTCATGATGTTGCCGACGCGAGCGACCTGCAATGTTGTAGACAATTACGATGTCTCGAGTTTACTCGACCCGCAACTAGCCATTCGGGATATCCTGTTTAGGTTACACGGTCTTCATGCACGCTACGCGATGGAGGCTACATTCAGCCAAGATGCCACCGCAGATGGCAATAGCGCTTCAGAGAAAGTTGCACTGTGGCTTATGTCCGTCCTCGGCCGGGAATCGGATCGCCGTAATGTGCGCCTCAAGGACTTCCACAAGGAGAACTTAACCCCAGACACGATATTGCGGCAGTGCGATGTGTTTTCTCACAGGCTGGATAACTGGCACAAGGGGCTCTGCACCCATGATATGCCGGTCGTCAATCTTGGGGCGGATTCGGATCTGATCAGTGGCGCTACTTTTGAGACTTTTGTCACTTACCGTTTCGGTGACACGAGAAAAGCTCTTGAGTACGTGATTTATCTTGTGTGTAGAATGACGTGCAGCTATCTCCGCTCTCTATTCGACCCCTCTGTGCAGTCTTCGGGCACAGATGCACTTGCCAAAGTCATTCTTGGTATCGTTTGTGGCATGAACATGCAACAGCGGCAGCAATTCACCGTTCTTCGGGTGGATGTCCTGCTCAGGATGGCTGCAGGCTTATCCGAGGGCACAAACTTCATCACCACCGTTCTCGACTATCTGCTTCCAAGACTGATCTCTTCGGGTCTCACTGGTCCTGACATTGTTGCGTGGGTCTACTTGAAGTCAGCGTTGGAGCTCGAGCTCAGGGAAAGACGGAAGGGCCGGGCGATCAGGATGACCATCGATGGAGTCGAGGAGGACTGTGAGATGTGGCAGTTGGTGAACAGGCATCCCGTGGCTGCTTTTGGGGACTACAATGGGAAGGGGTACTTCAGGGATTGCTATGTCATTGAGTGTCTAGGCTGAAAACAATGTGGCGAAAAATAATCAACAACGTCTTTGTGCGAAGCGACCTTTATGCCTCTCCTATCATCTCCCCCCTCAGTACGCATAAAATAGAACGTTTTCGTTCTCGGATTGCCGAATCTTCCTGTTCTCATTCTTGAGCCAGAACCGCATCGCCCATGCGCCCATGGCAGTCGCAACGCTAAGCGCCGCGCTCGAAGACATCGCCATGACGTATCGAGGCTCGTCGGACTTTGGCCACATGTAGGGTGTCCAGATGAAGGATGCGACGGCGATGCAGTTGACGATGGCGAGGGAGGATGCCTTTTTCTCTTTCGTCTGGGAGCAAGTCGCCGAGACCCACCCCAGTATGATTGAGTTCACTGCATATGTCCCCACAGAGAATACAACCATGGAGACTGAGAGGTTAGCAAAGCACCTAGAAAGTTTCGAGGGAGGAATGCTGACAATATCTGGCACCTGTATTAAGTGTAGCACAGCCGAGGATGAAGCCGAATACTGCAATCGATTTTGCGATGGTGATGTGCCTTTGTTCATGATCAGCATGCACGTCACTCAAATCTGACAGCTGGTCTCAAACTGACCATGTACGTTCATTGAATCTTCCAGAAGACCAGGACCAAGCAATCGATATCACTCCTGCAATTAGATACGGAGGGCAAGTAAGCACCAACGTAATCGTCTCATTGAATCCCAGCGTCTCGACCGCAGTCGGAAAGAAGTTCTTGAACCCGTTCGCACCCAGATGGCAGTGCTGCATTACAGTGAAGAGCCAGACCTTGGGGTCTTTGGCAGCCTCAAGGAGACCGGACCAGGTTGTCGTCTGGCCAGTGTTACCCACAGTGTCTTGAAGAATTCGTTCGTTGGCTAGAATACGTTCTTCAGGGCTGAGCCATCGTGTCGTGAGAGGTTCATCGGGGAGGATGAAGAAGGCTATTATGGCGATGATGAGGGTGACTACGCCCTGGATGATAAAAAGCCATCTCCAGCCCGCGATACCGGCCTGTTCCCTCGTCAACGTCCGCGCCGGGCATCAAGGGGAGGACACGAACCATTCCGTGCATCTGGAATATTCCCAGGGCAATCAGGCCAGCAAAGGCCGTCGCTAGGATATTCCCAGTATACAGAATCGATATTCTCGTCGCCAACTCCTTACGCGTGTAGAACGTAGCGAGTACGTATAGCGCACCTGGATAGTAAGGCGCTTCAGTGATGCCGAGGAAGAAGCGAGTGAGCAGTAAGCCCGTGTAGTTCTGGCTGACTGCCGTGAGGGCACTAATGATGGCCCAGACGGCCATGCAGGAGCTCATCCACAGGCTTGGGCGGACTCGCGTCACGACCATGTTTGCGGGGATACCGACGATGACGTATCCGACAAAGAGTATCGAGACGCATGTTTGGTATTCTGTCGAGGTGAGATTGAGGTCTTCTTCGAGGGTGTTGAGTCTGGCTAGGGCAATGGCGTTGCGGTCCTCAAACGTAGGTCAGAAATGCATGCTGAGATGTCTTGGAGTTGGAGTATTCTCACTAAGTAATTGAGCCAGTACATGAACCTTGAAGTTTCTTCAGTATAGGCAGATATCCAAATTCGGGTGGAAAGGCCCTCTTACCATAATATAGGCATAATCATCCAGTCAAGCCGACGCACCAGGGCGATCTCGGCTGGGTCATATTTCGCATGCGCGCCAGCATAATCTCGAACCTCAGGAGCAACTTTGAGAGCCTCTTCAACTTCAATCGGGACAAATGTGGGATCCTTTGCAACTGGCTCAGCCTTCCGGCTCAAAAAGGAGAGTTTCATGGTGGCGGGAGTGGCCGAGAAGGTTCACGAGACGGCGATGGCAAATCCTTGACAGTCAGCTTTAGCTTGGATTCCAAAAAAGCTGAGTTTCAAGATAATCCAACGGGAAATGAGGAAAATTTATAGAACTTCCAGGCTTCGCAGAAAAGAACGTAGGAAAACACCTCCCTCACTTTCATCTTGTGCCTCATTCGCAGGCGAACATTTGCGAGCCAGCTTCCCCGCACTGCCAAGCATCTTATCGAAGGTGTCATGACAATGGTGGTGGTCTTGGTTCCAATCTTACACCTTAGCGCATCGTTTGCCTCAAGATGTGCGAGAATCGGAATGAGATATGAGTGGTGAGGGGAGACTTGGAAGTCTGGGCGCAGCCTTGGCGGGACAGGGACACATCTCGGCATCGCGAAAGGCAGGCCCTAGGAGTAGGATCGAGCAAATATGAAGTAAGCCGGAGTCTCGTAGTATGAAAAAAACGTAACCAAGAAAGAATTCATTGAACTGGAGGGAGCGAGGAAAATGTCACGAGGCGAAGGGATGCAGTCGGGATAACATTGCGGAAGCAGGGGTCATTACATAATCGCGCCCGCAAACCTTTTACTCCAGACGACCCACCATCCACCCAGTGTGCTCCAGGCGTGTAATTAAGCATGCCGGGGTACCACACTAAGGTAAGGTAGATGGAGTAACGGTGCTTGAAATAAGGCGTCTCATCAAAGTCAACACGTCTAACAAAGCGAGGGCAGCACAAGGTTCATGCCTGCATGGAGGGTTTCGATCAGAGGAAAATATTACCTGGGGAATGTCTTTCAGCATGCGATAGAACTGTTATCCTCCCTTCATTGCCAGTATTCGTGGAGACACTGTGACGTCGCAAGGCCATATGTACAAATTTTGCTCTCGGTCTGTCACCCATCGGACGCGGAGATGCTTTGGCGCAATAGTTGGGACTGCCCACTCCCGACCTCAACGCTAGGTAATTGACCCCGGTGGCTTCTATTTTTGGAGTCCGAGGTTCAATCCCTCCTTCAGACTCTCATTTTTCTATGAGATAGAATTTCAGTTTCTATGTCAAAGGAAGCTCGTGGGTTGAGAACGTACCTTGCCCCGTAGGCCCTGTCAACTTTTGAGCAAAACGTTGATTTCTCATGAATATCCTCTCAAGCCCTGACGATGGCTTCCAAGGGCGGCCTCAATTTCCGTCTCCATAGTAACTCGCTCTTTCCACATATTTCTTCGTCGTATCACCCGCCTTTCCTCCATATCTCTGATCTATCAGCTTCAACGATTCACGCCATCATGGTCTGTTTGGCACCCTCATTAAGTTTTTCCTTGTTTCATTATCTGTTATCTTGGCTTTGGGCTGCAAATACGCTGTAGAACTAGGATTTGCGAGATATGGCATCAGAGCTGACGGTGGTATTTCTCTCTCAAGGCAAAATAGAGGCATGAGTATTCGTATGAATGAATACGTCGTTATGTAGCAGGAGGTTAAAGTGGGCAGTAAAATTGACTTTCCGACTACTGAAGAAAGGTCGGGTAATACCTGCCGGTTTTGAAGACGCGGATAGATTTGTGGACTGCGAATGAAGCCTCAGGAATCTCGCTTCGAGCCTATATGTGAGAACTATTCCTCTCATCTGTCACCCATCGGATGTGGAGATGCCTTTGGCGTAATAGTTGGGACTGCCCACTCCCGACCTCAGCGCTAGGTAATTGACCCCGGTGGCTTTCTATTTTTGGAGGTCATGAGTTCGAATCCCCTTGTTGATTCTAGTTTTGGCGGAATTCATCTCGAGATGTCTATGAGGCAATGAAATGTGTTTCCCTTCATCTTTGATATCGTCGTATTCTTGCGGCCCACTTGAAGTTCATCTAAGGTTTTCACCAGGGAAGAACGTGAACTCCCAGCTGCCCACTCGAAGAAATTTTTAACAATCCTAACTGTCACAAACTGGGAAGGAAGCGACCGACTTTCACCTAGCATCGAAGACTTCCGCTCCTCCGCCTTTGCCCTTTTCCTTTTCCTTCTCCTTCTTCTCACTCCCATACAAGACAGTTGGTAGCAACGAAAATAACATTATCAGCTACCACCACAAAGAAGCAGAATGCCCCCCAATAATCGCCCTTGGGTAAAGGCGATCCTGGACTTTCCAGGCCTCGACTTCTATATTGAAGGCGATGCTCCTCTATTCAACCGCAGAGTCAATGCCGCCTACCTAAAGCTGTTCAGCCACAACGATTCTGTTCATGGAAGGGACCACATTGCTCTTCGTCAGCACTACATTGCCAATCGCGGCAATGTTCTCTTCCGCGAGATCATCAATGTCCACATCTCGGGCAAGCATGCCAACTTCAACACTCTGTATGGCGCTGCTCTCAACGGCCTCGCTGGAGACTCTGGCCCTTCTCGGGAGTGGCCCGATACCGATGCGCTCGGAATCGATTCGTTGATATTTGTCGCCGATCGAATCATTCGCGCCCGCACCCAGCACCTCAGAGCCAACAATACCGGCATCGAAGAGCCCAACCCCGTCGTTGAGGCTTTCCTCGCCACCCTTGACAAGTGGATCGCAGTTCTCGACGAACGCAAGATGAGGGCTTCTACTTCTTTCGAGCCCAATGCGCCTGCCGACAGCCAATTCTCCCTGCCGCTTCGACCTCATCCCAATAAGCCTTCCGTCGCCTCGTCTTCCAACGCCTCTTCCGGCAACAAGATGAGTCTGCCGTACCGTCCTCATCCCAAGAGTGAGTCGGGTGAGTTATCTGTTGCTACTGGATCGAAGTCGTGCTCTGAGGCACTTCACTAACGTATAATAGCCAAGCAGGAGCAGGCCATGCAGAGCAATCAGGAGGACGTCAACAAGAGAATCCAGGACTTGGAATCTCAGCTCCGAGCTTCCCAGGCCAAGTCCCAAGAAGCCCTCCAGGCGGCTCAGGCGAGGTCCGAGGAGCTGGCTGCTCTCCGAAACGCCAACATAGTCCTGCTTGAAGAGCAGGAGACTCTCGAGACTGTCAACGAAGCTCTGCGCACTGAGCTCGACGAGGCAAAGAAGGCCCGCCGCCGTATTTGGTAAGTGGAGGCTCCAGGAAGCCAATATCAGCGCAGAGGAGGGAGTGAGGCAGGGACTGGATGATTGAGTTGGGAGGCAGTTTCATGTCTTTAGTGAATCGATCCGTTAAATGAGGTTATCCTTCTGCACCTGATGATGTTCCAATAACTTGTAATGAGTACTCTGGATGGAAGATGCTCTGGAAAAAAGAGCGCTAGTAAGGATTCTAGCTCTAGTAATAATGACACTTGCCCGAGGCCATCGCCGTCTGCTGCTCAAAAGTACCAGCCCATCCCTTCTACCTCCCGTCGTCTATAGTAACGAGGATGAATTCAACTAGCGAGTGTCTGTCTTTTTCCATAATAATCGCGTGGAGTATGGGAAGAATGCTTGTTCATCTGTTTACTGAAGCACCCAAGTCAGCTACCCTACCTTAGAGGCATCTCTGGGTCTACGTCGAGGCTAACAATGTCACAGCCAGACGAGCAGGTGGAAAAAGAAAGGGTGAGAATAGAAAAGAGAGTCACTATGTATGAATCGAACTCATGACCTCCAAAAATTAGAAAGCCACCGGGGTCAATTACCTAGCGCTGAGGTCGGGAGTGGGGAGTCCCAACTATTACGCCAAAGGCATCTCCTCATCCGATGGGTGATGATTTTAGCAATCTTCTGACTTATAGACCATATCCGGTGACCGTATGGCTCCTTCCCAATGAACCATATCCCCCGCCGCGTATATTCACACTGACCGTCGCGTCGCGTCGAGCCACATTCACCAACACTCACCCCCTTACCCTTCTCCCCCCCCTCTTTTGTTTACATTGCACATCCTCCATCTCTGCCGCCTTTCTTGCGCTATACTTTCCTCTTCACCCTCCATCTCAATCCTATCTCTTCTTTCCCCATTCCAATTCCGCAATCCGGGCCAGGGAAAGTCGCGACAACTCATCACTTCGCCTTGCTCATCTTTACTGTACTTTACTTTGCAATCCATCCATCTCTGACACCCCTGTTGTGCCCTGCTTTCATCTTCCTTTCACATCCCGATTTCTGAGCACACCTTGGATTGGAAAGAGAGCGCGTCACTTCACGCTTTGCTTCTCCTCCAGCAGCGTTGCTTAATATCAAGGTAACAACTACTCGACAAGCTTCGAGGTTCGGTGAATTCGCAAGACTAACTCGTTCTTGAAAGAATCAACACTCAAGATGGCCAACAAATCCTCCGCCCCCAAGACCTCTCAGTCTGAAGCTAAGCCTCAATGGTACGAATCGCTCAAGACCTTCCCAGGCCTAAAGTTCAAGGAGAGTTTTGGTGATAACGGCACGCCGACCAAAGCCGAAACGGCATTCATCAATATTGTCTGCGACCGCTATGAGAAGCAAGACGAGGCGGTGCAAGGCGACATTGATCGCAAGATCGTCATTGCGAATCGCGGCCATGACCTTGTCACTCTAGTCCTGTGGGTTGCCGAGAACCCGGAATCCATCTTTGGCAGTGTGAGTGAATCTGCCTGGGATCTCGCTATGGAGAAGCTCATTCGCCTGGGTACATTCCGCTGCGTCCCTTTCTGCGGCAAGGACATTGGTGGTGTCATAGGTACCATTCTGCACGCACGTTGGGCCCATCGGGAAAAGCCTTACTCTTGCAAGCCAACTGCCGTCACAGAGCTCAAGCGCTTTCTTCGCAGCCTCGACAGATTGAGCGACTTTGTTCGAGAGAGCGACTTCGCCCGTGCGTTCAAGCAAAACCCAGCATTCCCCTACAACGGTCCCTCCGCCACTATTGTCCAGAAGACTCCGATCGCCAAAACTCCGGTCACCAAGAACCCGGTTCTTAGAGCTCGATACGATACTGTTCCGGCTGCTAGAACTCAGCAAAACCCCATTGCTTCTGGTGCAACTCCCAAGAACAACGACCAGAGCGCTGTCATTGATAAGATGCGACTTGAGGTCAATAAGCTGCGCGCTGAGAACGAGGCTCTTCACTCTCTGCTTGCTAGATCTCAGGACGAGAAGGTGGCTCTGCAATGGGATCTTATCAAGGCTACGTCTCGTGAAGCGGAGCTCATGACGGAGCTGCGTCGCATGTGAACTAGCCGCTTACAAGAAATGGCTTCTGATAAATCAATCATAGGAATGGTGCGGAGGAACGCTTTCATGTTCATTTGGTTTGGTCTTTGTTATTCAGTGTTTGGGTGGTATCAGTTGGGGCTTGGTTTGCTGGCTTTGCTTAGAGGTGCATTGCGGACAATCTGCTAATCACAAGAGCACACAAGCTGAATTCGACAAAGAAGAAGAACGATTTGGGACAAACCCATAGATAGTTTAGAGTCATAAAGAGACATGAAGAAGCAATTGAGAAATTTCGACAAGTATTTATATCTCTTGTGACAGACCAACAGCTTTCGTTTACGCTCGGTCGAGGGAAATTCTAAGGCTAATGTTCACCAACATTATGGGTCCCAGCCACCCGGTGGTCCTGGGGATTTGTTTATGGTGTTATCCCCCTTTTCAATAGCTGAGCCCGGTGGTGCGCCTTCAGTTCAATTAAAACCCTAGCCTTGGCCTTGGAGCTTCTCTCCCTTCCTCATACATAAACCATGTCCCCGGGACCGAGTACCATTCATAACTGATCCGGCTCCTATTCAGTGTCTGCATCTCCTGTCTGCCATTCTCACCTTTCAGCTACATTTTTCTTGCACATGCTCAAAGTTCCCTTTGGGTCCCCAGACTAGAGTACGGTCGCTCTGTGGTACCTTATCACTTACGGCATGCATATGTCTTTCATCAATACGCCACGGGAACTACCTTAGCGAAACTAATGCCATCAACCTGAAGCTAGTATAGCACCCATTGAAGGGCAATTTGCTTGAAAAGCTTCTCTCATCGATATGGCAAAGGACTTGGGTGGCTCCTGTTCTGAGAATGGCAATACTTTATCAACACTCGAGCATTATAGCCCTGGACATTACTGATTCAGTCCGTTCGCGTGCGTCACATCAGGCAATACCTGACACCCCGGGCCATAGAAAGTACATTGTGGTGTGACTGTGACATAAGAACCGCCAGCTGGGATAGACGAATTTTTCTACGTCCCATCGAGGTCCTCGAGGCCGGAAGTTCCGTCACCATCACCGCCTGTATTGCCAGTACCATAAGAGTAGTTGTTGGCGGGGGTGCCTCTTTCGCGAGGATCGTAAACGACCTTGCCTCGACTCCCTTTTCTTATCCGAGCGACTCTAGCCTCTTTTATACTTTGCGGCTGAAGCAGGACATCGCTGTGATAGTGGTCGAGGTTTGGTCTCTTGGCAGGTAAAACCCAAAGTATACGGCATACCCAGTCCAGGCGAAATCGATCGCATCGAGATGTGGCTGGTGGTCCTCGCCGATTACGGCCACGGGTCTACATATCCTCTACGCCCCGTCATCACCAGCCGATCTCTTGCTGGAGGTCGCGGCTTGGGTTTACAAGATCACTACCAAGCGCTGCCCTTTCCCGTTTTGCCTCAATTGATTTCCACTACTCGTATTCCGAAATTCATGCAGAGTTTTAGCGAACATAGCCACGATCGCTCGAGGCCTTCCCCGGCCTGAAGTTCGATGCCGGTGTTGGCAGCTATATCATACCGACGGATGAGGTGGATCGCGCACGCATATCTCAGTGCCTTGGCAAGCCGGTTTCTTGCCCTCTGGCTTCTGTTCAAGGGCCATCGTATCGATCTCTGTAGCTCTACTTACGGAGATCATGTACAACCGGAAACGGAAGGCAAAGAAGGTTGCCGCTGTCGCTGCTATTCGAGGCCTCTCCTTCCACTCTTCCCGTCGTCGGGTGCAAAGCCCTCGAACTAGATCTCGAGTGTCGTGAACGACATGGTAAGTGCTCAGTAGCCGCTTATACGTCTCTCTTGCTGACGGAATTACGGGAAAGGGTTTGCGCTGCGTTGACTGTGCAAACCAGAACAACTCCTGCAAGAAGGACGTAGATAGATGTACCCGGGCCCTACGACTTACAACCCCGTCTGCAATTATGCTTGGCGCAGACTCCTTTTACGCTGGAGACGCTCTACAAGGCGTCGCCAGCACTACCTGAACACACGCCCGTTCACCGGCCAATTTGTAAGTCATGGAGATACACAATCGTAATATTCAGTAATCTGATGTTTCTTTTCCATTAGGAGTTGTGAAGTCGCCGCAGCAGCCACAGAAGAAGGGCATTTCTTTAGATGTCTTCAAGATTGTCCCGGGCACCTTGCAGGCCCCGAAGAAGAAGACTGTCCGCGCAAAACACAGGCTCGTCATTATGAAGGCGCCCAACTTCACCAGGTTCAAATCAGAAATCCCAGGGACCGGGAGAACGAGAAGGTCAAGGACAAAAATGTCGATTTGGCCGCTGCCCTGACCAATGCCATCACTGGCGTCATGACTCATAGTATGATCGATATGGAGGCTGCAGAGCAGCGTGGCAGCATCACCGGACAGGAGATACTTTCCAGCTACTTCAACCATGTTGGATTTAATAAGACTGGATAGGATTCAGCTTCATTCTGTAGATGTGAGCCTCGACGACTCATGCCCCTCCGATACACTCAAATAATCGGAAGGGAACCAGAACTAGCCCGCCCCGCCAAAGACTTGTCTGCAAGTGACGAGATGGTTGAGGATGGCCTGCTATAAGGGCTGTGATAACGCCTACAAGAGGGGCTGATTCCTGTCAAGTTGAGCTTCTCAAGACACTTCCGTCGTAAACATATCAACCGCCGTAGAAAGAGATACTTCGATTTCTTCATTACGCATAGACGAAATCTCTACAACATCTAGGCATACCCAGGGGAAATTATACCTCCGCGCCGGAAGAATGAGACGATGAAAGATCATCAGGTAACCCGAGGAGCGACCCGAAGAGTTGGCCTTCAGCCTTCGACCTATTGTGGTCGCAAAACTCATTCCCAACGACGGTTACCTCCCGCCATGCCATTAGGCTAGCTGAACAAGTGTTGCTCCATTCCTGTTGAGGAAGGAGGCAAGCTATACAAGCGGCATACTGGCTCCGCATTTCTACGGATGGATACAAATAACAACGCCTTTGGGTACCGTAAATCAACCTCTTTCAAATCATACGCTCCTGCCACCTCCTCGTGTTGATAGGACGACAAGGCCCGCCCGTAACACCGCATCGCTTTCCAGTTGTTGAGGTGGCATCAGCTAGACCGATGGAGCATTAGCAAGATAATTCAACCATCAGTAACTCAAGACCATCTGGTCAGGCTAGCGGAAGGGGGCAGTAGTGCCTACTTTTGCAAATGAGTGGCGTGACGCCGTTTACGCATCTGATACAGTCGGCGTCATTCCGACATTCGCCTAGATAACTCTAGGTCAGTACAGCTTTCTTGGCCTTTATTGGGTCACTGAGATGTAGAAATGATGGATCATGAACCTACCCTTATCTCCCTTTTGTTGAGCAATGACAGCTGTGGCTAAGAATGGAAGGAGGGCTAGAGCTGAGAAACGCATGATGGCGGTCTAAAGTATTGAAGTAGGATTAATATGTTCAAATGCTCAGCAATTGATAGATTATAACGAAGAGTAGATTGCAATTATTCTATCTTGTGCAAGAGCTTATGTCTTTGTATTTATGCATGTTCGTGTCTCATTGTATTCACTTACAGACCGAGATGGTGGTGATGACTGCTGACTCGCCGTCTTTGACTGAAACTAGGTGTGTTGACTCGAGACAATCAACTACAGGGAGTCATCTGAAAGCAGGGCAAACTCTAAATCTTGCTGGTCACATTGTCAATAGACCAACGTCTTTGTTTACAACTTAGCCCAAGGTAAAAAGAACATGCAACCGAGAGGTACCGGGTCCATCAATTGAGGGACTGAGCGCGCCTTTCGTAATCTTAGAGACACTGGAATCAATCAGACTAAGTCACTTGAGATCACCATTTCCCGATAGGCACTATCATTCAAGATACAATTCATGTACTGTCTATCTGGCCGGCTCCTTGTATGTAATCCAAAATTGAAACTCGACCCAGAATTCCAAAGAAGACGGTTCAGACGTCGATCACGCAACCGGCCTCAAGTCCGAGATCGACATAAAACAAGACGAACGCGAGGGTAATATGGGACAGAAACCTCAGACGGTCCACAAAAACTCCCCCAGAGAAACCCGACACTTCGGTCAACGCCGTCGATCCGAAGACCTCGCTTCCCGCCAATCAATTTTTCCCAGAGTAAAGAAAGAGCAATGCACAACCTCGGAGACGTGTGTAGTGCACATCAGCTGACAGAAGTCTCATGCAACTGCAGCGTTGACTCGCCGCGACATGTCAAGCTCCGGCTACTCTCACCGCGCCGCTTCCGAAGCGATCGGACTTTCGGGAAGGGTATCCTCAGCTTTTCCCTGATGTCCTTATTCCGGCGACTTTTTCTTGTACCCAAAACATGCTCAATACTATCACCTTGCTCTTCTCACACTGCGACGATATGACTCCCTTTTGGCGGAGGATGATAGATCCCAGGAAGGCCGATTGTTGGATCAAAGTGATCCTTGCCGTCAAGCAACCTCAGACACTGGAACAGCCTCTGCAGACCGAGCTTGAACGTTTCCTTTTCCCCGCCAAAATTGAGTCGGAACCATCCCGACCGGTTGGAGAAGAATGCCTGCCGCGCATTACCTATCATCAGCAAACTGTGCAGAATTGGGTCCACTTCCACCACTGGAGCATCTCTGGCACACGACAGACACCGTCAAACTCACATGTCCAGGTTCAAGATAGACGCGGTACTTCATCAAGTACTCCACAAACTTCAAATCCCCCTGCTTGCCGTGCTTCTCGAGCAGGAGATCCACCCACTCGGACAAGTTGACAAACACAAAGAAGCCCGCCTCGGCTTTGACGTGCGGGATGTCGTACTTTTCCAACTCCTCCTCGACAAAAGTGCGCCTTTTTGTCAGGCGGCGACGGAACTGGGGGAGGTATTGGTTGCGGAGGTACTTTGCGTCCGATAGGAGTTTTGCGGCTGTTGATGCGCTGAGTGCAGAGACCCACCCGAATGTGCTAATTGTAGATACGGAATCGTTAGCCTGGTGTGCTTGGTAGGGCGTACGGAGTACACCCTGTGTTGGTAAGCCGAAAAGGCTGGGTGACTCACCTCGACGCCCGCATGGTATCGTAAATCTCCTTGTTATACGTCGCCAGGAAGCCGATCCTGAGCCCACCGAGGCCGAAATCCTACAGGGGTGGGAAAGAAAAGAGTCAGTCGGTTGTGTTCGTGATTCCTCCTCCGAAGCCGAAGCCGAACGCGCGATGGGCAAGGGTCCCCACACTCCCGGCAGAACGGCTCCGTGCAGGGATGGCAACTCACCTTACTCAACCCCCACAACACATGAACGTTCCTGAAGTTGACATCCAGCCCCAGACTCAGTATACTCGAGTACCGATCCCCAGCACTCATGGCGTATACCTCATCGACAATCAAATGGATCTTCTGCCTCGCGCAGAGCTGCGAAATCTGCAGCAGCACATGCGCAGCATAACACCGGCCCATCGGGTTGTCAGGATTCGCCAACAACACACCCCCAACCTTGCGCTTCTGGCTCAGCTCGACCTGGATCGCATTCTCTAAACGGACGACCAGCTCGGGAACCGGCACGGGCCCGTCCTCGCGCGGCGGCTCGCCCCAGAAGCGCTCCTCGGGGATGTCGTCGCATGGTACCTCAACGACGCGGACGCCGTTCCGGGTCCAGACGTCGTGGGCGAACATGCCATACGAGGGTGTCGCAAGAAGCACGGCGTCGCCTGCGTCGGTGATGTTGTAGGTGAGGGCGTCGAGGAGTGTTGTCACGCCATTTGCGGCGAGGATGTTGTCGGCTGTTAGGGGGAGGCGGACTTTGAAGTGTTCGTTCATGAAAGCTGCTGCCGCTTTGGGAAGGTCTTGGGAGTTTTGGGCGTCACCGTAGCCAAGGGCTGGAAATGGCATCAGCAAGCTAGCTGCGTAGACGTGCTGAATAGCGTTGGGGCGGAATCACTTACACTCCTTGAGTTGGCTCTTCTTGACATTTCGCTTCGTCCAGCAGGCCAAGTCTTCCAGCATAATCTCATTGACAGCGGACCCAAGATCAATGATGCCCTTGGGGTTGCTTGTCGCATCATACGGGTTGCTCTCAAGCCGCTTGCTGAGGTCATCCATCAACCCTGACCGGGATCCAGCTGTTTTTTGGCCCCGCTGGGACGGGGGTAGGGCGGCGTTGACAGACATGATGCGTTGACGCGGATAAGGTTGAAATTGTTGCCTGCTTTTTTCGGCCATGTTGGTGGCAAACCGAGGTCCTTTATATGTCAGATTGTCCCAAAAGAATAACATCGCAGGCTGATGTGCATTTCGTAGTCATTGGAAATCAACAGCAGGAAGGAAAATGTTTCCCCGGACTCGCGGCAGTGTGGGTACCGGACCAGGTACGCGGGTCCGGCTTGACTGAGCTCCACCTCACCTTCAGAGAGAAAAAAAGAGTAAGGTGCGACCCACATTTACATACAGTGAGTGACTCCTTCACCGTTGCCTAATCGGGGAAGCAGATACGACTGCGCTTTTTGTCCCGTCATCTTTTTTCGGTGCCTGTACGGAAAAAGGACTACGCATTGCAATGAAAAAGCACTAGAACAGGCAATCGAGGACTCGCATGCACGCACCTACCTGCAGATCAAGTGCATCGCCGTGAATTGTAATTTCCGACTTTTACTCCGTCATTCGGCTCGGCCGTCTGTCGTTACTTGCGCGTCGTCTTACCCAACCTGGAGAGCAAGTACACGACTTTCACTTGGGACAATTTTTGGGGGTTCCTCTGCTTAGGTACGTTACACCAACCGCCCACGTACACCTAATGAAAGCACCACCTGGCGCCACGAAACTCTGCCTGCGTGGGCCAGCTGTAAGCACACAGCAATTGTTCACAGCAAGCGTTGTTCGAACATGGCGCAATCCATACCCTGGCTGTCAGATGGTTGTCAGAAAGCTTGTTAGGTGCCTGGAAAGTTCCTCCGATCTCACTAGGCATCGGCTTGGCTCGTGTGACGCAGGATTCTCAGTGCTGACAGTCCCCACTCCGACGCTTGCGCGGCATTGGTCCAGTACTCAAAGGAAGGGCGCGGCGGCCCAACACCATCGACTAGGGGTATGCAAGGCTTACGATGTAGGGTAGCGTTGTAGAAGGCGCGTCAAGTGATGATTTGACGCGTTTAAAATAAAAGAAAGCAAGAAAGAAAAAAAGAAGGGAAGATTGCTGACCGCTGGCTGTAAACTTGTAAAGTCTCGAAAACTTGAAGGATAAAGATTTCGAGGCTCAGGGAGGGGACTTGCCGAGCAGTAGCGTCAATTCTGGCATGTAGACTTCCGTAGGTGACTTTGCTCATAACAAACACTAATCCAGCATCCAAGCAAGTACCGATCCTATAGGTACGGATATGACTGGTTGCAAGCCACCAAGCAGCGTGCATCAAGCTAGTACGACTCATCAATTGGTTCACTGAATCATCCTCTAGCTGACCGGTTCGGTCCGAACTTTGCCAGCTTGAGCCGAGCTTCTCGAGCATGATTTCTATTCCATGTATGTCCCTTTTCTTCAATTTTCCATGCTTTTGATTCTCTTTTTGTCACAGCTGCTCATTCAATGGATCTCGGTTATCAATTGTGCCATCGACGCCCACTTCAGCATCACTATGGTGCGATCATGTCGGCTTAGAAATCAAGCAGAAAACAGCACCTGGTTCCGAGCACAGTTTGTTGCAAGATTAGATTCGGGAGGATCTCTGGCTTTACACCACCACATTTCGGATGTGATAGCTCAATTCCGCAAGCATGTGACTTGATGTCGCATTGATACTGGTCATCTTCGAGACATTCACTGAGCTGATCCGGCGGCCGAGACGCATCATTCACAAAAGCTATCAGCCAGGTAGGTAGATGAGGCCGTTGTAAGGGAGTGAGCGAACTGATAGCCCCAGATAGGCGCTTGGAGGGACTATCATGTTGAATGTAGGCCCCCTTTCAATTCCGCCAGGGCCGTTGCTCGATGTCATGGAAACAATCTCTGCGATGACGGTGTTTGTTGATTCTAACTCTTGCCATCTGCATTCAACAGCTCCTTGTCCCAAATAGGTAATGCTGTTACAGGCTAGACCTCCCTGTTGTAGGCAGGCCTCGATCATATGCCTCAAGTCCTTCCTTCAGTGTCACCGAGCTTCAAGTCGAAGTCTTGTAATCACGTTCCTCTTGCGAATAGCCAAAGCCGGGCACTTAACCCTTTTGGCAGGTATGATGGACACTACTTTAGTCCGCTCGGCGGATTGGCTCTTCACCAGTGCATCTCGTGTCAGACTCTCAACCGGCAAGCGGGTGTTTCGAAGAAAACTCTGCTCGGAGAGCTTGCAGGTTGCCTGGCAGAGGGACTCGGCATCCACGTAGCTGTAAGAGAGGCGCACTCAGATCTCGCTTAGGAATCATCTGGTGACTGCATATTTGACAATTGCACGAGGGCTAGTCCAGCGAATCCGTTGGAGAAGCGCCGAATTGTCGTGTATGTGGTAAATAAAACCCAAAACCGGGCGAACTGTCGAGCCTATCTTACTTGAGAATGGACATGTTCAGCCAACTATTCTTGTTGTTGCAATATTACATTGTTCTCAAAATTCTTTGTCTCTGGCAACTACTGACAAACCGAAAAGTGAATACACATAGCTTTATCTCAACAATAAAATGTGGCATCTCAAGTCCTTCGTAACATTCATGGTCTCCGACGGTCCAGAACCAAAGCCCATGATTCACATGACTAGCGTAGCGCTGCCCAAGATCAAACGCCGCTCTTTTAAACCCCGGGTGCCTATGCCGCCTCCGATCCCGAGTCCTGGCGTATTCGCAAATCTACAAGTACTCCGTACTACCAGAAACCGATGTCCTCATCGCTCCGAATGGTATCACAAGACCGGACGGTACCATAGTCCGGAAGGTGACCAGTGCAAGGTAGCAGGAATCTGACCCCTGGCGAAAGTGAGCGGTTGCACAAGGAACTCCGATACAGTTTTTGGCATTCGCCCTTGCCCACTCAAGTGCCGGAAGGATGATTTGAGAGACGCGTATCACGGGCCGATCCGCCAACGGCGTCCTTTGAGAACCCGAAGGGAAATGCCTCTTGAAGCCATTGCCTCTATGACGCAAGTGATGCTGAAAGTTTCATACGTGCCTGGTTGTAACATCTTCCTGCAGTGTTACTGCGCAACATTTCTCGTACTATTACAAGAGTAGCGTTGAGTGATTCTTAGCGCCTCAAGTCATTAATGATGTTACTATATAGATCCCTCTAGACGAATCTAGTCACCACCAGCGAGGTCGCAATTCCGCACATGATGAATTTCGGACCCTTGAGTTCGCAAGCTAAAACTCCAGCAGCACGCATAGGCAGATGGAGTAGGACTTCAATTGGTAGCTCTTCCTGACCTATTCTACCCAAATATGCGGTAATACCGTTTTAATATCCGCAGTCACTCGGCTGTGCGGCATGAATTATACGTAAACGCTACAAATATCTCGGAAGGAGAATCTTGATCCTAGCGCCTTCCTGACCACGACTCATGACAAGCAGGTTCGCTTGCTATTATCGACTCGACAAGCCAAGATAAACCTCCAAGGACAAGGCAGAAGATCCACAAATTCACACGAGGCCTGCATCAGAAGTCCAGAAATCAGAGCCTGCTGATTGGTCAATACAGCAATAAAGCGTCGTAAATCGCAAGTCAAAGCATGAACCAGCGGCAGATCGACACTAATACCCCACAATCGGGCAGTTGCGGCCACCGCAATGAACCCCCCGAGATACGAATACGACTGCCGATTGAATCACATCCACACAGCGGCCAGGACCCGACCACCGCAGATGGACAGTGGATCAGAAGTCCTGGAGAGTTCACTCCACGAACGCGAGGCGGAATGCGTGGGATGCGCGGATACAGCACTCACTCCCCCCTTACGCAAAGTGACATGGCAGTCTTTCAGAGTTCAGTGTGATTTGCAGCTATGCAGCTTAATCCTCCGAGTACCTTTCGGGTGGCGGGCGGAACAACGGGACGCCCTAGCGTATCCGCTCTGTGGCGCGAAAGCTTAGCTCTGCGACGTCACGGCGTATTATTACTACACAGGAGAAGCATGCATCTATCAGTCTGCGCGCAGTAGTCATGTTTCCTGACGGGGTTCGGTCTCTACGATGGGTCCCTTCGAGACTCGACCAGATCATCCAGCCCACTTCGCACTCGCGTCCGTCGTACATCTCGCACAATGGCGGACTCGCCAAGGTCCGTCGTGACGACGACGATCACAGCCAAAAAGATGGGATATATACCGACAATGGTTCGTCCGGCTTTAGATGATCGATCCAGGCAACACCCTCATCAACAGCACCTACAAAAACATACACATCAGATCAACGAACGCAACCGTGCCCCCAACGACTACACCAGCCAACAACCATAAGACAAACATTTTGCTCTCGGCGCACACATGTCATCCAATTTCTCCTTCGAGTTGGGCGGGGCGCCGTACACCATCCCCTCGCCCACTGAGAAGCCCATCGCCTACGTCGCCGCCGTCGTCCTCTTCGTCAGTCTGGCCTACGCCCTCGGCGACCATGGCGCCAAATTACCCGAGATCAACCCGCTCAAGCCCTTTGAGTTGTCCAACACGCGCCGCATCCTCGAGTTCTACCAGACGAGCAAGGAGCTCATGCTCAAGGGGAGGGCCAAATTTGGCGACAATCCGTGGAAGCTCATGACGGAATGGGGCAATTGCTTGGTCTTGCCCCCTGACTTTATCCACGAGCTTCGCAGTAATCCCAACCTGGCTTTTGTGGAGCCTGCTAAAGATGTAAGGCAAAAGATTCCCTCTGTTTGACTCCGTTCTCCTTTCCTTTCTTTCCCTAGTGATAAGTAGGAGAGCTGACTTGTTGAAAGGATTCGCACGGCTATATTCCCGGATTCGACGCCTTTGATGGCGACGAAGCGCTTCCGACGGTCGTCACAAAGTATTTGACAAAAGCTTTGAGTGAGTTGAAGACTCCTCAGTCAATGTTGAAAGGACCCCACTAATCGTGTATTCGAACAGCCAAGCTTACAAAGCCCCTATCCGAAGAGTCGACACTCGTCCTCCGCCATGTCCTCACCGACTCAACTGGTGAGTCTACCCTACAAACTTGCCACCCAGAAACTTTAGCTCTTAGCTCTCAGGAATCTCACATCTCCGTGGTACAGAATGGCACAAGATGAGCCCCCAGCAAGACATCATGCGCATCGTCTCCCGCCTCTCCTCCCGCGTCTTCGCCGGCGAGGAACTCTGCCGCGACGAGGAATGGGTCCGCGTCTCATCAGAATACACCGCCGCCGCCTTTGGCGTGGGCTACGAAGTCGGCCAGTGGCCCCGCTGGGCCCGCCCCATCGTCCACTGGTTCCTTCCCTCGTGCTGGCGCGTCCGCGCCCTCCTCAACGAGTGCCGCAAGACCCTCCAGCCGCACATGGAGCGCCGCACACAGCGCAAGCGCGAGGCCGTGGCCGCCGGCAAGACGGGGGCCGTCTTCGATGACGCGGTAGAGTGGTTCGAAAAGGAGTCCTCGCGCAAGCCGGACCCGGCGACGCAGCAGATCTCCCTCTCGCTCGTCGCGATCCATACCACGACCGATTTGCTCACGCAGACCATGATTGATTTGGCGGAGCACCCTGAACTGTTTCAGCCTTTGCGCGACGAGCTCGTTCGCGTGCTTAGCAAGGAAGGTTTGAAGAAGACGGCGCTGTATAATCTCAAGCTCATGGACAGCGTCATCAAGGAGTCGCAGCGCATGAAGCCAGTCCTGCTCTGTGAGTTCCAACCCCCCTTTTTCTCTAAGCATCAAATACAAACTATTCGGGTCCATCTCTAACAGCCTTTCCTCCCACCAGCAACTTGGCGCCGCCTCGTCATGAAAGACGTGACCCTCTCCAACGGCTTCGTCTTGCGCAAGGGCCAAAAAGTCATCGCCACAAACACCCACATGTGGGACGCAAACTACTACGAGAACCCTGCCACCTACGACGGTTACCGCTTCCTCAACATGCGCGGCACCGACGAGGAGAAGAACGCGCACCTCGTCAGCACCAGCGCCAAGCACCCAGGCTTCGGCCACGGACAGCACGCGTGCCCCGGTCGCTTCTTCGCCGCCAACGAGGTCAAGATTGCGCTGGCGCATCTGCTGCTCAAGTACGACTGGAAGTTCCCTGACGGGTTCAAGCCGCAGACGGTGCCGCATGGTATGGTATTGCTGCCGGATCCGTCTGCGACGCTCTTGATTCGTAGGAGGAAGGAGGAGCTTGATCTGGACTCGTTGGAGTGTTGATTTGCTTCAAATCTGATTCCGGCATTCCACCAAACTCTCCACTCCGTTGTAGATGGAACTGATATTCACAACCTTGAGCGCCTTCTTGGTATCTTCAATAGATCGAAAGAATAGTACTTAGATTACTAGATGCATTTTGTCCGATGTTGTAGTATATCACTTCCCTGCTTGTACTGATACGATGCACAAAACTCGTCAAACGTTGTGTTCCACGTGCAAACAAACTCCCGGTGCGAGTATGATATATGAAAGACAGTTTTTGCTGATGCGGGGGCTGGGCGGCGAAATAATTGCACTATTCAGGATAACTACGTTCCCCAACGAGAGAGGGTACTTGGTTCCATTCTCCTCTGATCCTGTCATCAAGCGATGTGAGAGACATGGCCGAGGGGTTAAGGGGGCGCCAGTGGAACCCGTTCTTCCGAAGCCAAGCTGAACAATCGCTTAACCTTTTGTTCAATTCCATATAGAGGAAGGAAACATCCTTTTTTTTTACTTTTTGTTGTTTCCTTTCACCGCCCTCCTTCGAGGATGCCTAGGATTACCGACTCATCACATGACTCTTCTGGTATGCCTAAGGAACCTATCCACCCACCTTACACGAATACCGGGCAGGGTACTAATATTTCTTTTTTTTTCATGCCTAACATCAATACAAGTGCATCGCGACACTTGGCCGAGGGGTTAAGGGGGCGCCAGCGGAACCCGTTCTTCCGGAGCCAAGTTGATCAATTGCTTAATCTTTTGTTCGATCCTCTATCATGGGTTCTTCTTATGTTATTCTTCTTTTCGTTTTCTTAGCGTTCACTACCAATCTCTCCCGCTCTGTGAGGTAAACCTGTAATGATGCATTGTTTCCGCTATGCCCTCCCTCGCCTCCTGAAGTCTCACGCAGGCCCATCAAGATGCGGAACTCCATCCCACAATACAGGATAACACCAAAGCTTTCCGTAGAGACAGAGCCAAACTCTATCATAATCCTTTGCTACCACTATGAAAAGTTCCACGTCGTGCTAGTTATGTTCTCATTCAGCGACACCAAGCAACCCGAGCCATCAGCCTATCACTGGGAGCAGGGCTCCTCGCGCTCGATACCAAGCAAAGCATTAGCCGCATCGTCAAGATGATGCCAGCGCAGGAACCCTTGCAGATGGCCCTCCTCCCACTCATCCTCTCCGTCTTGGGCCTTCAGATTTCTGTTGATGGCAGGGCGAACAACCTCCCAAATTTGATTGACATAGGATGTCCACTTCTTATCCGCTTGTGCGCGAGCATCTCTCTCATGACGGTAGTTACACTCGTACTCGTGAAGCTTGGTCTTCAGGTCCTTCTCCTTGGCCTTCAGAATCTTGACCTGTTCCTCGAGCGGCAAAGCCGCGAGCTTGTCGTTCTCCTCTTTTTCCTGGCGCGCTTTTTTAAAGGATGCCGCCATCTCTTCGGTGTCGGAGTCGTCATCGCGGGAACGCTTGAGACCGCGGGACTGCTTCGCATTCTCTGTTTGTAACATTGTAAATCATCAAAGTTTCAAGGTGTTTTGTTTTTCCGTTTCTGTCATGACTTACTCTTGACCTCAGCATCCTGCTGTCGGTACTGCAAAACGTTATAGACCTTCTCGCGGAAGTTGTCAATCGCCTTCAAGAACGGGAAAAAGAAGTAGGCAGTCTCAGTGACACCATTGTTCTTGTCGAGATGACGCTCGCGCGCCTCAATGATCTTGCGGACGATGTGTGTAATCTTTGGGAGGGAGAAGGAGAATCTCCAGGGCCGCTCAACCATTCGAAGGTTCCCAAACGTCTGCTCACAGACCTCGTGCAAGGTAAGGATCTCGGGGTTCTCCTCAAAAGTTCGGACGCCGACATCCATCACCTCCTTGATGCGAGCAGCAGCACGCATTTGTCCGCCCTGAGAGGGCTCGAACCGCTTCTCCTGGAAGGGAAAGATAACGTTGGCCATGAGGCCGGAATAGCGGTAGCCGAGGATCGGGGCATGGAAGGCGACGTCGAAATCGAGACCGGGCAGGCCCTTCAAGTTGGAGTGGGCGGTATAATTCTGGGTGGGGAGGGCCTTGCTCAGTGAGGACATGTCCACGAGACTCTCGTTGTTGTCGGCTGTAGTCTCTGCTCCGGTGGCAGCTCCGGGTTTCTTTGCCTTTTCGTCCTCATCCTCGCTTTCAACTGGACTCATTGGACTGTCGCGCTCGCTGCAAAATTATCAGTCCAATCACAACATAAAAAATGGTAACATGAAGGAGATTAGAAATTCTAGAGAGGAGTATTATGAAATGATTGAGTGATGGGTTCTTCCAAAGCGTTGAAAAAGTATCAAAAGCTCAACGGATGGGAACGTAGCATTTCCGTAAGAAAGATAGATACTTACTGCACGAAGGTTGGTGCAGGCCGTAGAGGGCGTAAGGGAAGTGTAAGTCGCAGCGCCATCTTGGTAATCTTTCGATGTCGCGTGGTCGCGAGAATGAGATGTGTGGATGTCGCGGACAGAGCTCGATGTTGGGGTGCTAGTAAGAAAACGCGACCCGTGCCGCTGGCTTGCCTGGGTGAAAAGAGCCTGGAGGAAAATATTGTCACTCCCTATCAGGTAAAACCCTTCTTTGCAACGGAATAAGACTCTTGGTCATGGGCGTATTCAGAGACCCACAGAGAGCCTTGGGGTCACATAGTTGGTTCAGTGAGAAAGATTGAAGTCAGGTAAAATACTTTTGGTAGCTGAGCGCTTTTTGAATAAATACATGGTTTCCAAGGATGGCGGCAGTTCTACCTCTACAGTCATTTTCATTTACCAGACCATGAGAAGACGGAGGGAATGGCTTGGATGAAATCGCGAGGGCTCGCCAAAACTGACTCGAGACCTCTCGACAAGACTCAAGCATCGCCTCTACGTTTGTTCGATTTCTCATGCATGCCATTGTTGTTTCTCTTGCTTTTGCCTCGTAACCCTCGTTGAATGTGCACGAATCACAGAGCGTGTGTGTTGTGCCTTTCTTTCCATTCTTCGGCGTTCATTATGAAAGATTTGCCTTAGAGTCACTTTCTTGAAGGCCAGAGAAATGTCGCACAGGAAAGACGGCCAGTCTCGAGGATCGATGAAGTTGTCGCCGGGTGAACTCTGGAGAATTGTGGCCACTCATGGCCGCCCTTTGCGGGGGTGGATCATGTTTCTCCGCTATGGCTAAACCCCGGGGCGTTTTGGACCATTAGCGCGGTTTAGTGAGACCAGGGGTCTGCGGGGGGCATCTCCCAATTGGGAATCACAGCCAGCAACGGGGAGCTGTGTGACTTCTCAACCCGAACACGCCCCACGCCCGATCGAAGTCTAATGTGCTTTCACGATAGTCCGATGGTTTTGGCCACCGGCTGCTGTCCCGACATCGCGGCTTCAAACGTAGCTGGCATGGGTATGTTCATGTATAAAAGCCACCATGTTCAGGAAGCTGACTTTGCCAGGCTGATGCTCTGATTACCCCGCGATCGTCACTCACCCACCCCTGTGCATCTTTCATCGTGGAAAATAACATCTTGGAGACCTCTTCTATCAACCATGGCTACATCATACCCCGAACTCGTCTGGACTCAAACGTCGCCTGGGACATGGCAGCGTAGCATCGACGAAGTTGAGGAGTTCTACGCCGCCATGCCCGTCCTCTACGAGGGCAGCGGCCTCATGTTCTTCGCCATCACTGGCCACGTCTCTCTGACCTTTGACACAACCGGCACCAGCGGCTCTTCCGATGCTGCTCAACGCGTCGGCGAGGCCCTCAAGAGTGCCTGGCTGGCCCTGCGTCACGATCATCCCACCATCGCCTCCCAAGTCACTCGGGACCTCACCACAGGCAAATGGCTAAAGACGTACCACCAACTCAAGGACGAAGCCGAACAGCAGTCCTGGATCAACAAGACTCTTATTCCCATCACCACCGACCAAAGTGGCGTAGAATGGGCCAACTCACAACCACCAGCTCCAAAGATCCCAACCCTCTTCATCCTCAGTCCACCATCCACCGCCACCAACATCATCCGCCGCGACCTCGTCCTCCGCTCCCCCCACGACATCATAGACGGCATCGGCACCCTCACCCTCCTGAACAACCTTATAACCCATGCCTCCAAAGCATTCTCCTCGCCAAACACCCCCAGTGCCCTAAGCTTCACCGGCTCCGAGGCCGCAAACCTCAGCCCCCCCTACCGCATCGCAGCCAACGTCCCCTCAACCCTCACTGAATCCCAAACCGCACGCCTAGCCACAATGGCCGCCCAAAAGACCGCAGCAATGACCCCCCCACCCGGCACCCAACTCATCGACATGCCCTATCGCCGCGGCCACCTCCTCCCCGGCCGCCACCAACGTGTCGCAATCACTCTCACGCAAGACCAGACAGCCCGCCTCACCACAGCGTGTAAATCCGCCGGCGCGACCGTGACGCACGCCTTCCACGCCGCCATCGCCCTCGTGGTCCGCGACATCCAGCCACCGTCCACTCGCGCGCCCCAGACGAAACGCATGCGGTACGTGAATTACATCCTCCGCAACGAGCGCGCAAGCTGCCAGCCGCCGTATAACTCTTCCAAACACCCCGCTGCGCTGTACCATTCCGTCCCAGGACAAAGTCTCGTCGTCGACATGGACCTCCCAGCCTTGGACGACGATAACACCAACGCCAAGCCCTCCTCCGACAAGGACGAATTTCTCCCCGTCGTCCAGATAATGAAAGACTTCTACCACAGCGTCAAAGACGACGAGGAGCACTACGCCCTCGCCTCGACGATCTGGGCCGCCGGAAACCCCACGGTCCCTCTATCCTCCACCCCGCTACCCGTGCCGCCGCCCAAGGAACATCCTTCGGTATCAATCTCCAGCATGGGGCGCGTCGACGGCATCATCGCCCCCAAGACGGGCGCCATCGAGGCATACGATCCGTGGGTGACTGGTGAGGAGCTGGGCAACGGGCTGGGTCTGTTCTTGGGTACTTTTAGGGGCGAATTATGTCTCAGCGCTGCGTATAACGACGCTTGGCATACCGAGGCGGATGTCCTGGATTTCTTGAGACGTTGCAAGGATGTAGTTTTCCGTGGTTTCGGTCTCTCGAATGAGTAAAAAGGCAGGCCCGGGTTGACAATGCCGGCTGCCGTTGAAGGTCCAATCTCCTTTGTCAATTATTATCTTCTTGGGTACTGAGAAGAAGATGAATCTTGAGCTATTTTGTTTGCGCCAAACGACTACCGGTACATACATGATATTCGACACGTAAAATTAAGATTGACAGCGAGAAGGGGAGATTATTGGTCAAGACAAGAAACCTGAATAACAACTACTCTGTTGCTGCCTTCCACAAAGAAATAACACATACCCACCGGCTTGAGTCACCACAATTCTATTGGCAGCCTACTTTTGGTGGCCTCTTGAGTCTTTAGCAATGACGAGGTGCCCAGACATGGCGCCCAGACACTCAAGCTTGTCATTCGCCGCATCGTCTGTAGCATGCTCGTAGTTACGTCGGAACCCAAATCAGCGGATGTTCGAAAAATTCTAGACTGCTTCTTTTTGCATATGATCCAAGACCACATGGAACGCTGAGTACTGGGTACACGCTTTCAACATAGCATATACATACCCCCACAACTGGATCCTCTACGATACGTATCGCAAAGTGTTTCCAGCCTTGGACGCTGCTGGCATTCAGGTTGGGTTAATTGTCTTACAACTTTGCCCCGGTTTGGTGTTCACAAAGATATTGGAGATCTCGACGGGTTAAGCGTTTACAAGCATCTTTCACAGAAGCAATATCATGAGCGGTTCGCAAAAACATCGTTTGCGGTTGACGATGGAGTATGCCTTTTGTGTTCCCAAGCTCATGGCATTTTAGGGGGTGGGTTTCATCAAAGTCTCACAAACATAAGCCGAGAACAGGGGGCAGATAAGAAGTTAACGCACCAGACAAGAGTATTTGGCCTTTATGATGATTAAAAGTCAGATTAGGAAAGGCGGTAAGCTGTGTGTGGTATCTAAGTACAGAATACTGAAATCAGACTTCGCCTAGATTGCTGCCTGTATCTTGAGCCGCGACATATTGTTTTCTTTGCTCGCTGGATGAAACACTGGCTTTTCTTTGAATGTAGCGCTTACACAGATCTAGAAGAATCTGTTATACATGCGCTTCCACGTAGGCCAAGAAGCAACTTCGGCCTTGTAGCGGTTCATCTCCTCCCAGTCGAGCTCGCGGCGTCCGGTATCAACGTCCATCTGGTGGGTGCGGAGCCAACCAGTGCGTTTCCAGGCGAAGCCAATGATCCAGAAGACAATGATAACAGGGACGGTGACCATGGCCTCAAAGAATCCAGCGGCATCGTTGAGCTCGTTGCCCTGTCCTGCGGGTGCGATGGCAACAAAGAGCTGCGTTCGAGGTCAGACAGGATACAGAAAGAAAGTGCCGGGAGATGTAGGGAAAGAATATAGCTTACCTGGGCAATTAGCACAAGAATGCAAAGAATCAAACCGACCCAGGATCCGGCAACACCAAAGGCAGCCTTGAAAGGGATCTCATCGACAGTGTGTCCGTGATAGGCCCAAGCCTTGCGGAATCTGATGTGAGCCAGGCAGATAGATCCCCATGTGAACAGGGCAGCGAGCGCTGACATGGCAAGAAGCCAATTAAAGACCGTCTCGCCACTAGCGTCCAAGTTGATGTAGGCAAGAGCGCCGCAGACAAGGTGGACAGCAACCGAGGGCAGAGGGCGGCCAGACTTGTCGACGTAGGTGAAAATCTTGGGGGCATAGCCCTGTTGCGCAAGAGCCGTCAAAGTACGGGAGCCGCCGTAGACGCACGAAACTCCCAGTGAGAGGACTGAAACCAAGATGATAGAATTCATAAAGTGATCATATCCGTTTAGACCAGCGTACTTGGCGGCCAGTACGAACGGTGATGTACCTTCGGCGTAAGGGTTGTCGGCACCGAGAATATTCTCGTCATTGGAGCTGATGAGGAGGCCAACGAAGAAGAGGCCGAGGATGTAAAACAGGGTGATACGCCAGAAGACCTGCTTGATGGCACCTGGCAAGGATTTCAAGGGGTTGCTGGATTCGGCAGCGGCCAAGCCAACGAGCTCGGTACCGGCGAAAGAGAATGCAGCAGTAACGAATACGGCACAGAATCCTTTGAAGCCGTTCTTGAAGGCGCCAGGGTCGTGCCAGTACCGCGCCCCCCAGTACTCGTCATAGCGACCACCGGCAGGGCCACCGCCACATACGAGTACGAGAGCCACAATCATGAAAATGACTGCAGAAGGTGTGAGTGCGTGGTGAAAGTTACGATGAATGTAAGCTTACCGATGGCCGAAAGCTTAAGAAGGGACGACCAGAATTCTTCCTCGGCATATCCCAGAGTTCCAAAAACGTTGATGAAGGTTATTGCAGCCCAGAAGATTGTGATCCACACAGCGAGACTGATGTCTCTGGCCCCTTCCCAGTAGTTGATTGTCAGACCACAAACCGTCAACTCAAGAGGTAGAACGATAGCCCACTGTCACCCCGCATTAGACACATCATGACACTTGAAGAAGACTTGGTCAGTCGAAGAGGTAAATCGGCTTACTTGGAAGACGTAGTTCCATCCCATTGCGAAGCCCCAAGAAGGATCAATGAACCGAGTCGAGTATACGTAGAAGCCACCGGACACAGGATACATAACAGCGAGTTCACCAAGAGCGTAGACGACATTGAACATCATGATACCAATGATCGAGAAGTCGAGAAGAATGGACCCGGGCCCCTATGTCTGGTCAGCGCGATATTCGAGTATGTGCGGGGTGTGGCAGAACGAACACCGGTAGCCAGAGCACCTCCAGACCCGACGAAGAAACCAGCACCGATGGAACCACCTGGGCGGACGACTAGGTTAGTAAAGATATACATAGTAGCTACATATAGCTTCCATACCAATAGCAATCATGTGCAAGTGACGAGTCTTCATGGTACGGTCAAGTTCAACGATGCCATGTCCATAGTCTCGGCGCTTGAAGGACTCGAAGTTGAGTCCATTTCGAGTGTAGAAGTCGTCGTCGCGCTTCGCGCCTCCATGGCTGAGATGGCCCTCGCCGATGGCGTTTCCAGGCTTACCCTGGACGCCCTCAGTACGACTTTCGGGTTGAACTTGGGTAGTTTCGGGGGTCGAGACGCCATCGTGGATATCCTTTTCGGTCGCCATTTCGGCCAAGTGTTTGCCTTGTCCTTTGGCGCAATCCTCGAGCAAGGAATGTTACTGGTATGGCTTGGAATCTTTTGCGAAACAAAAGGCTGAGGTGGATCGAACAATGGGGTCGGAGGCCCAGGGGCATCAAGTGCAAGGAAGGGATCAGGCAGTTCTGAAATAGTAGATTGTGGTGAAGCACAAGGAGAGGAGAAATCATTTGCGGTCGAGAGGGGGACGCGATGTGTTAAAAAGAAGACGCGGCCGATCAAGGATACCACCTCGACCTCGTCGCCCATCCTATCAGCAACCCAGCATGCCCGCATCCCATTCGGCGTTGCCTTGTCGTGCCGGGAAACTACTTCTGGACATGGCTATCTGCGGCGAAGGTATGCGGGCGGGATCAGAGCAACGTAGACGTATGTCGAGGGTGCTACTCGGCGAGTGACAGTGCTCGCAGGATGGATGGATAACCCAGAGAGAGTAAGATGGGTGTATGCCAAGGGCCATAGGAAGGCCAAGTGTTGGGGAAGTGGAGTTAAGCTGACGGGGTGCTAGACGAGAAGAGAAGGTGAAAGTCGAGTTTCTAGGGAAGCTTATGATTGACAAATTGCGGGCTCATCGATTAGAGCCTTGGGTGCTGGCAAGTTGGGCTTGGGAAAGGGAGATTAAAACCAACGTGGGATGGTGGTGGGCGTGGGCGTTGGAGGTTGACGTGGAAGAGAAGAGATGAAAACAAGGAGGACGTCGGGTGAACATGGTGTGTTTCTGCCATGGGAGGGGGAGAGAGCATCATGAGAGGTACCTTTGCGTACCGGAGTCGTAGCCTCAAAGCCTGCCATTATCAGCGGAGCCCGCCCGGGCAGCTGCATGGAAGGTCGTTCCGCGCCTTCTAGGGGCGGCGGGGGCGTCGACCTTGGCGGAGAGGTGTGGGCCCTTCGGAAGTATCTTAGTACCTGCGTGATTAGGTAAGGCAGCCGGCGGACGTGGAGGAAGGAGAAACCAGCGGGTAGTTGTGGCCTGGAAGGAGTGGGAGGGGAGGGAAGGGAACGGAGGATCCCCAGACGCACCTGCCTTTTCACTCATGACCTCTTTTGGGACAGTGAGAGGCACGCATGGTCTGTGAAGAACGAAGAAATTGTTTTCTATCGACTGTGCCGCTCTCATACCTTTCAACATTCGACCAAAATCAAGCCTAGGACAACTGCATCCATCATCCTTCCCCCCGGCATGACTCCCGTCTGACAAGCGCGTCTCTCGCCAAGCAACTGCCGGCCGTCCTTGCGCTCAACCGCCGCCCATGGCACCATCAATGATCGACAATAGCATTTAATCGTCAACAGCTCACTTTCTTCCATACTGAACATGGAGCACGCGCACGCCACAAGAAGACCATCAAAATGATGAAGCAAAGCACCATCGCTACATCAATCGCTTGACACTCTGAGCCTATGATTAAATGCCATTCCTGCTTTCCCAAGCTTCTCTTCTCCGCGAGTGCCTTCCATTTGCGGTTGCAGACTTGGGACGCCTGCCGAGCTCTTGGCCGAACCAAGAACATCTCCTCTAGGCCAGTCAGCGTTGGAGATGGCAACACTGAATCACACACGCGATTACGTATTCGCAATTTGAAATGAGCGAACAACTCTTCCGAGAGGGTACACGACCGATACTTCCCCGAGACTACCATAGCTTTCCCCAAACAGCGCCGCCTGCCTTCTCGTTTCCCCCGGTCGCCCAGAGACAAACGATGCACAACCCACAAATATGCGTCGTCTCACTCGCCAGCCGAGAAATGCCAACCATCGCCAACAGGTTGGCAATTTTTGGCAGCTTCTATCAACGCTTCACGACTGGTACCAAGCACCCGCCAAGTTGCAATCTCGGTGTTGGCACCTTCGCCACGGCCAGATAAGCCCCCAGTGCCATCCTTTTGGACGCCTTCCACTGGCCTTTGCACCTGCCAAAGACACGGGCCCAAGAGACCATTTCGGATCGCTCCAAGAGCACAGACAGCACCAAAATCTAGGTTGGGCCGACCATCACACCACACAACCTCCCAAAATCACTATTACCTATGGTTTGTGGGCCTCGTTTGCAGGCTCGGGCCAGCAGCTCCTGTCAAAAATCCATGGCGAACACTTCGCCTATCTCTTAGCTTCAATTCGACATATTCCATCGGCCGTCTGGACCCTTCCGACCTTCTTGAATCGAGAGGCTGTGCCGCTTACCTGGTCTTGGAGGGCTGCTGATTGAGCCTTCTCTAGGAGGTGTCGTTGTCTCGGCACGCCAGCCACGTCGTCAGGGTACGAGAGAGGCTGAACCCCCCCGCACCCATAACACCTTCTAGCACACCCGCAGGCCGTCCCAGGTAGCACCCGGCCTGCTGACTTACGCCCATCGAACACGCCATGCCACACCGTTCACACCACCTCTTTCACCTCCCCTTTCCGTACTGGTCAGCTAGCATCGAAGCATCGCCCGAGGAGCGCAACACATACCTGAGCTTCCCATTCAACTGAAACGAATCTCCGGCCGCTATTTTCCGTGTTTATAACGGGATTTGTAAGTCGAATGGGATTGCCACTACTCACGAGCTGCGATACCGCAGCAACATCTCTTGAATCTCCACGGCTTGCCTTGCAGCACCTTTGAGGCTTGCAGACTGAGTACAAACTATGATGATCTACGAAAGGCTTCGGTCTTGCTACATTATTCCAACGACAGGCTGGTTGTTCTTGCTGACGCTACAGCTCTTTCAGCGGACGAGTCGTAACCGAAGCATCAGCTCCCAATTGTCTACCAAGGCCGGGCGTCTTGCACTAAGCCAGCCTTCGGTCTTGCCTTCAACTTCGAGAGACATCACCGAGACAAGGGGCACACAGCATCATAGGGAACGGCCAAGCCTAAAACTACCCTGTCAATCTCCCTCCCATTGGGCGTCCAAGAGTGGCCCCTCTCAATTCCACCACACCTTGTTCAGCGGGGACCAGACCTACTACACTTCGAACCAGTGAGCTTTGAACGACAGGGGGAGATCGGCACATGCCAGTGACAGAGTGCTGGGGAGCCGAATTTCTTCATATTAGTTACGTGGCAATATCCGACTGCTTATCATAGGCAAAAGCTTTTCCATCTGATGCTTGATCCAGGTCTGAGGTGAGTTGAAAGGAGTTGCTGATTCCCCAGGGACCTGATAGCGTCTAGAGCAAGATCTCAACGTCACCTTAACAAATGTCCTAGATTTCCCGCTACACGAGGACAATTTCCTCTGGTTCAAGCCCCACTTTGTCTGCAACTTCGATGAACTCCCCTTCCATCATCCCATCAACATAGCACTCCCCGACCAGTGCCCACGCGGGCTTTCCGTGAAAGAATCCTACTTCCCTTAGTATAACCGGCAATGAACAACCAAGTAGAATAGCTACGCGATCTCCTTTCCTAGTTCCCGGGGGCACGAAACCCAGATGCTTCGGCGAAGTAGACCGCGTTGTTGTGTGCCTTGAATTGATGAGTCGGGCTGTGATGAGGTGTCACAATGCTGGCCGTACCAATGCATTTGTAGCAGAAATTGGGTTTCTCGCAGTCGACGCACTCGTACCCTGTGCCTTGTATTTTGCTGTGGGATTCGTCGCAGAAGATCATCTCTCTCCATCGAGCAATACTGCATGTCGGGTAGGGCTTTGGACGATAACCTTCTTGGCCGATCCTTAGTCTGGATAAGGGCTGTCCGAATGTCGTCAGGGACCTTGTATTGTATCCATGAAACCGATGTGAATGTTCGGGCATAAAGTCGATGGTCTGAAGGCCATACCACGGGATCCAGGAGGAAGGGTGGTTGACAGAGAGAGAGAAGGACCTGTCGTGCATGCGTCTCCAGATGATATCTAGACTTCCAGTCTGTTGTATGATATGCAATGTAGATTTGGCAAAGATCTCCGTAGTTGTAGCTTGGTCTGAGTAATCTGGAAACCATTCCTCCGTGTCAATGTCACTTGCCATCGACAAGAAGGCATAAACACCGTCTCGGGCATCAAAAGACTCGAGTCCAACCGGCGGATTGGTCGTGCGTCGAAGGCAAATACGGAACGGTTGTCGGGATGCTCACACTTTCTCAAAGCACAACTCTAGGATGCAGCTCTTGAAGCGAGTGTCGTGCTACCGATCTAGTGGGGAGGAAGGATCTGTATGTTTTTTGTCGACGTATATGATGAGCCTCTCAAAATTTGGGTTACTTCCGCATAGTATGTTCTGCGCCAAGTGACACGTAACGCGTGCTGTCAGGCGCCTGAGACACAGGCGAGTACGAATGACATACTCAGATCTACAACACCAATCATCACGTTATGTGAAATACTGAGACCAAGGGATGATGTGGCTCGAGTAGAACCGGCTTCGGCCGGTCTGGTGTAACGTGGCTTCGGTGAGAGGAAGTGGTACTCAATGGCTCTTTGCATGTCCTGGGAAAGGATAGATAATATGGTCCAATAAACCCGAAAGACGCAATTTTGTATATTAATGCTGATATGTGGTCTGCTGCCAACCAAATGAGAAGAGCACTTCAAATATGTAGTCACATAGTTGGCCAGGTACTGACTGGCCGCCTCTGTTGAAACGAGGCATTATCGATGAAGCTGGTACTGATGACTCGCGGAGTTCATCACCAGATTCCGTCATTACATCTCATCTTGTTGGAACTTGTTCGGCAAGAGATAGAAAATAAGTCAATCATGTGCGTGATGGCAGTTGAGAATCGATAAGTGCAACCCCGTTCCCTCTCTTACTCGTTAGAGACAAGGTAGACATTAGTGGCATTAATAAGAACAGTCCCGTCTGTTTGAGAGCAAAACTTTCGCTTTGAAAAGAACCGTCTATGTAGACTTACGACTCCCTAGGCAGCACAAAGGCCTACATCAGAAAAAACTCCGGAGGTATCACTTTAGGTGCTTGGTATCTGAGGGCCTCTTAAGGCTTTGGTGGATGAAAGCTGAGATTTTGAGCCTCACCACTAAGAGTGGAAGACTTAATACTTGATCTGCATCATGTATTCTTCATGCTCAATCCCGACTACTGAGCACCCATTAGCCAGCATAAATTCCGAATGTGGTCGTACCCGTCCAGCGAGGCGTTCAGCTGGGGCCATTACGGCCAACCGAGCCTTCTTCAAGGACAGCCAATCAGGGTCATCTTTCAAAGCATCAAGATCCTAGACCTTGAATCATTCAAGTGATATGAGAACAGCTCACTTCTGACAGTGCTAGTTACAAGGAACTCTCTTGCTGTTGAAGATGGATGGTTCGAGAGTACCACCCGAAGGCATCTCGGCGAAGCGATGGTGGATTGTTTCCAGAACTGGAAAATATAGCGGTGGGTGCCCAACTATCGTAGCCTGACGGCAATTCCCTTCCGCTTGATAACGGCTCGGCTATAGCCGTGTCACGGGTTTGATCAAATTGCCATGGGCTATGGCGCTTGAATCAGGAATCGAGACACAAAAACAATCATCTTACTACGAACATCTTGTAAGGCACAGCAGCTGCAGATAATTGGGGCTTTCCAGCCGACTTGGCGTTCGGTTTGTCCAAAAGACCTTCGCATCAGATGGACCATCGAATACTTGTTATATTACAACTCCACTATCGCGGCTCGTGCCACGCTTAGCGAGTCAGCCGACTACCTTCGGCATCGCAAAAGCCGCAGAGTACGAAACATTCAAGTCTACACACCTTACCCTCCGGTGCATTGCATAGCTGACTTGAGTCTAAATTGTGATTCTAGTCTCGACAAGTCACAGCCATATGCCCCAGAATGTCGCACACTAAAGAACATCCGAGCCACTGCGTTCCCGCGGCCGGGGACTATCTTGTGCATTCAGCTTTTGGCTAGAATCTGAGCCTGTCGATAGTAAGACTTGTCACTTTCAGACAAATAAGGCGAAACAAGAAGATGTAGACAGCCAGAGTGGACGGTGAACCCGACGGTGGGAGATGAACGATGGGGCCGTCGTGAAGTTAAATAGAGTAGTATTCCAGAAGGCGGAGCGATTCACGGCCCGTGCGGCTAGTTCGTCGTATCATGTTGCGATTTTGAAGGTGAACATTAAGGCTTTCCGACAACAAGCTTTTGGCTTCACGATACCATTTGATGAGGCGTCGTGTCAGACACTAAATGAGCGTAAGATGCGTTGTTGCACATGTTCAGCAGCGGCTTTATAAATGCCCACTTTGCGGCGCTCTCGTTGAATACCTATTTCCGCATCTATCCATCCTCCAAAACCAACTGCCAACATTTATTTCCCGAAACAAATTAAGCCCATCACATCATTTCAAGATGCGCTCCGACTTTCTCCTGGTCATGGCGGCTACTTTGGGCTCTACCGCCGCCCTCCGTCGCTCCTGCAAGCACACCAAGGCCTCGGAAGGCTGGTATTACACAACTTCATCCGATACACTCGATATTCTCGCCGCCGACTTCTGCACGTCACCTCAGGTCATCAAGGAGTGGAACAACATCCAGAACATCAAGCCTGGTATGAACCTAAAGGTGCCGTGCCACTGGAACGCCGGCAAACAGCGAGACTGCGCCAAGAATTCGGCGTATGATGGCGCTTACGTGGTCGTGTCCGGCGACACCCTTAACAAGATCGCCTATGACTTCTGTACTACTGCGGATGTGCTGCAGCAGAAGAACTCGGGCCTGATCAAGAACAAGGATCTGATCTACCCCGATTGGGTCATCCAAGTTCCTTGCAGCTTCAACTGACCGCAGTAAGTGGCGGACGTGTGGAGGAACGTTGCAAAGGGAAAGGGGCCGAAGGGCATTTTAAGATCAATAATACTTGATTCCTTGTTAACAATGCCATTAATTTTCTTGTTCAGACTTGATTGAGACTCAGCGTTCCAAAGCCTCCATGCTAGGATGCTTGGGTTTGACCATGTATCTCTAGTTCTGAGTGTAGCTCAGAACCCCTACTGGCTATTAGTCGCTCTGGTTCTTTGATCAAATAGGAAGGGAGCAGCGCAATTGGTCGCCATGGTCTGCCTCTCAGTGGCATCCTTCACCGTGATCTGCATGACAACAGTCTCTGCCCAATTAGAAGGTCGAGGAAGTGATCAGTTCATGATTCGGCTCAGAACTGCGGCCGCTGAGGTTAATTTCCACCACCGTGGTCTCACTCCTGTATTGCTACTCGTGCTTTAAGGACAGGCGACATCGCTGCGCGTTTGGTCTCCGAAAATGGCCGTGCAACCAAGTCCGATGTTGCTGCAGATGCGCAGAATGATCTTGAGATAAGCTCAAGGAATATTCTTGCAGTCGATATTTCATTTGATGCATTGATTGCTCACCGCCGATATGCTGGAGACCACAGCTGCCGCAGCCGTTGTTGTTGTAATTTATCAATGTAATCAATCCGCCACTGCCAAATCAGGTTCCACACTCCTACCTCTGGTATCATTTCTCTCAGTATTATCGGCACCGAACAAAAGATAATAATCGCAACGCGATCTTCCCAGAGGACCTTGTCATTGTTGCCAGTCTTCGATTGTTAGATAACGCGGCCGCTATTCAAGACAGGATACCGCCGCTGTGCTCAACATCAGAAAGGTCACGGCCTACGTTGCATTTTCTTCGTCATGTCTCCATGCACTTATTGGCCAAGTATGTTTCTGTCTCCGCTGAGCGTCTTTTGACTGTTAGAACCCTGGATCAAAAGTCATTTAAGTTGCCTTCATTGTCGAGTCCAATATTCTTAATACCTTCCTGCTCCATATGCTCATTACTGCGTGCCATAAGTCGTGACAGCTTTTGATAGTTAGCCTCGCGGGCAGTTTGCTCTAGGTCCCCCAGCCTCATCCTAGACCAACAAACATATTTTGCCTCATCAATGACCGAGCCGCTGCTAGACAATGGCAGTGTTTTTCAGTCGCTGTGATACATAGGTCAGCCTGTTATGGGCTGAGTTCCCGAGGATCCTCATGGCCATCGATGTAGGTGCACGCAAGCCCATTACCATGTGTTGAGGCCAGAGTTCCCTCGAAAGAAGCCTTGAGCGACATGCAGATCCGAGATTCAATGTAAGTCAGCCCACCTACTTTTGGGCCCTGACAATATTCAGACAAACGCCTTGCAATCACGCATCATCGTCCGCACATTTTTGGACTGGGTGAACAAGCCTTCTAGAGCCATTTTTTTGTGCAGGCTACGTGGAATAGTACTCTACGATACCGTATGGAAAGGCGTAACGGTAAGTTCTGATTGTAGAATGACCAGCACATAATTGGGATAGGTCAACCTACGCAACTGCAAATATTGCCGGGATACAGTAAGAGACCTGCAGGTGACCTTTGTCTGCGAATTACCAGAATTAAGGCTTGAGAATAGTTCACTGATAACAGTAACGTTGAAAACAATAAAGATTCTGTTCGAGACAGAGCTGAATGACGTCCTGAAACGAGATGTCTCTTGGTGGGTCGACAGCCTTGTCGCTGAATATAGCGATACTACGACTAAAGACGACCAAAGAGACGACTACAAAAGCAATGAAGAAGAAAGTGGTAGTGAAGAATGTGAAGACGAAGAAAGTGAAGACAGAAAGGGTGACCACGGAGAAAGCAATGACAGGGAAATACTTCCCAAGAGCTATGAACCAACGCGAAAGAAAAGCCAAGCAAGGGGTGCAAATGTCGAAATAGTGATTGTATTAACGGCTTTAAGTCGCCCAAAGATTTGTTGCATGTTTAAAGTTGATGCTTACTTATATAGCCTGATTGACAGTGGCGCAGACAAAAACAGCTGCCAGAGAAGTGAGGATTACGTCGAAGGCGTCCCTCTCGACCATCTTGACCCAATACCTTTTCACCAATTTCATGTGGAATATCTCGAAGTTCCTTCCAAGAGACGGTATGGATTCAGGTCCCGATGGAGTCAAACAAGATGTAGAGATAGAAGGCCTACAGACTTTCGACTCGATCGACTTTGCTAAGACATGGCTCCGATCCCAACTTCGCCACCGTAAACTTACCAAAGTCATTCGAAGCATGAAATCATACGGCCTAGGGAGCCTAACTGACATCCTTCTTTGCATGATCCCGGCACTCAGGTCTAGGAATCTCCTGCCTGACCAGGCAATTCTCAGACTAATGCCTCGTGTTCGCCCTGGGCGTGGATGGGTAAAAACAGCGACCTGTCACAAGAAGCTCGTTGAAACAATTAAGACAAAGGGCGAGAAGCTCAACGAAGATGACAAGTTGAACGTTGCCATTGCTGTGGCTACAGTCGACTTCTTGTCCTCCGCTCATGAACCGTATGATGAACAGATGACGCCTCCTTCGGACTTGTGTCGAGAGCTGGAAGCTATTGAAAGACATCTCAAATCCCCCAAGTTCGCCGGCATCATGGCAAAGCTCGAACCTGTTTACCGCCGCCAAGACCGTCACGAAATATTTTCCAGAATTCTCAAGAAGTAAGCGATTCTAATGAATTAGACAAAAACTTCGCAAAGAACACTCTTGGCTTCACGCGGCATCACCTGGCGATGATCGCGGCGGGTGATGATGTAAGTGACACAGAATACTGCAACTCCCAGAACGATCGTGTTTGGCTAACAACACGATAGTCTGTGTATCAAATTTCACACCAACTGAGTCAGGATGGTCTGTAGTATCTTGTTTAAGTTTTGCAACCCTTCAAAGACAATTGAGCTTTCCTAGCTCGATATGTAGCGCATCAGAAGAGGTTTCAAGAGTTGGCGATATTTTTGGTTGGACACCGTATCATTACGGATGTCTCGCTGATGACCATGAGTTCAACATTTTCATGTGTACCCAACTGTCAGTCTGGACCGAACGCTTGCCTAAGTTACTGGACAGCCTAGGCCGGAATCTGATCCATATCGCTGCCTTGTCTGGGGAATCTAAAAGCCTCGCATCTATGTTGAGTGAGTTAAGTAGCGAAGCGCGTAAGAGCGTAATTCAAGCCGGTGGACTTGACGACATGACTCCTCTCCATCTGGTCTCGAAAATTGGAAATTTGGAGTCCCTTGACATCTTGGAAAAAATACGGCGGAAAACAATCTCTTGAGAAGCAAGACTCTTGGGGCCGCCAACCACTTCACATCGCCTCCAGGCTAGGACATACGAAGTTGATCACCCAGCTTCTGCATATGGGATCGCGTTCAAATGAGCTCGACGAGGCTGGAAGATTTCCTGTTGACCATCTTGTGGAAAATACGACAAGACAAAGAGACGATAGCGTTTCTCAGACGCAGCAAAATACCGATTCCTCAGTCACTGGCTCTCCCAATGTTTCTGGGAGCATGTTCAATCCCTTGAACGAGGACTGCTTCAACGCACTTTTGAAGTTTGCGATGGATCCAAGCTGCCGGTTCAGCAGTGGAAAATCTTTCCTTCATATTGCAGTTGAGGTTGCAGACGACGATAGCATCCGTAGTCTACAGGGGGAAGGTCTTAACATCGAAGCCCAAGACAATAATGGGTGCACACCTTTACACTATGCGGTTATCGGCGGCCGTACTGAGGTGTCCAAATTCTTTCTGCGTGAATTAAAAGCAGATTCATTAGCAAAGGACTCTCGCGGCATCACAGCACTCATGTTCGCTGCTGAAAAAAGCCTCATAGCGGTCGCCGAAACACTGCTTAAAGGGTCCAGAGCGGTCCCTTTAGTCGGCACTGACTTAAAAAACAGGCCGCTTCAGGGTGGAGAGGGTATACTCCAATACACTTTGCGGCTGATGTAGAAGACTCACAAGCCTTAACTCTCTTACTGAAGAAACCATATGCTAAAATTCATCAAGAAAGTCTAACAGGCGAGACCCGACTTGACAGAGCACTGTTTGATGGGAGAGTAGAAGCTGCTCGGTTGCTTCTCCTGCATGCACAGACATCAGACTCCCAGAGACTCCGCCGCCTGAAGGAGTTCACCTTCTCCCAATCCTCTCAGTTCCACGGTTTGATTGGGAATATGTCGCAAGCTCTGCTAGGGACCACTTTAATTCTCTCATTCCTTCATGAGCTTTCTGTCCAAGAGCTTCCAGCCAGCGCTCAAAAGGAATTCGACAAGTTCGCGGGCGATCGAAGGCAGGAGACATGGGTAAAGTCGAAGACCTCTTACCACATAGCAATCTTACTTCGCGATAAGAAGCTTGTACAGATCTTGATAGATCACAGTGTTGATCAAAATGGCCTTGACGAAGACAATTGGTCCTCTATGGACTATCTGAAACGTTTCTGCCTCGAGGAAACCTTCAGAAGCCTCTACAACCACTCGAAACCTGGGGAAATCGATAAGACACCGACTATAGGAGTCCCGCCACCCTAATTTGGGACCAGTACAAGGAAAGCCTCCAAGTCACTTCCGAACCCGTCGATGGCCATGATAAATACCCAACCGCCCACGGTATGTCATCACTATGCAATGGTTCACACATTCAAATGATATGAATGAATATCTAATTCCAACAGTGATGAAGGTCGTCAGGCAGTCGCCGAACCTCCTAAGAGGGTGTATACGCGCCAACCACAGTATCCCTCCATCGAGAGAATATTTCAATTCGAGGTCGAAGTCCTTCGTAACTCCAATTCTCGGTAAATTGCTTCCGACTCTATCACCTTACCTCCGAGGGCCGAAAATTGATAAGTCATTGCAGGATATTGGGAATCGGGTTCTGTGACCCGAGTCTTCCAAACAACATCTACTACACAATGCTAGGCTGGTTCAAAGGATCGTGGGCGTATTACAGTGATGATGGGGAGCTATTTGTTGAAAATGGCTATGGTTCTATTCCAAGCCCAGACTTCGGAGGCGCCGGGACTTTCGGATACCCTGATGTCGTGGGTATTTGTTTGTACTCAAGTACTGGACAAGGATTCTGTACACGCAACGGTAAAAGATTGGTAATGGGTAGATTTCAAGTATCAAGATCCACAGCTTGATTCACATCGTATTGATCGAACTTTACGAGATGCCTTCTCGAAAGCCACCGACAGTCTTAGGTTTGGGAAAGTGTATCCCTGTGTGGGGTTCGACTTGGAAGAAGAGGGAAAGGGACTTGAATTCAAAGTCAATTTTGGCGGGTCGAAGGATCATCCCTTCTGTTACAATGAGCCTTTTTAGTTCGTATCGTTAGCTCGGGCTTTTGAGTACCCTTTCATAGGCTTACCTTCACTTCATATCTTAATAAGCAATGTATTGAGACGAAAGGCTGATCCATAATCATAATTCACAAGCTTCTCGCTAGCACGAAACGCCCAAGAGAGGACATTGTAACGTTTTCCTGTTGCTGCTCAGTGCTCAAATTTTACCTTCTTTCCGAAAAAAGTCCACGCACCCTGTAGACGATCGCCTAATAAAAAGAGAATTAAGGCCATAGACATTGCTGAGGACGCATGCTATAGCTTGCAGTACCTCAACATGATACCAGGAGCATGTTATGGTCTTCGCAATTCCGAGATTTCATACTCAGTCTTCTTTCCTTCTGGATCACTCAAATACAATCCTCAATCTTTCAAGTAAGATTCAAGGGATCAAGTGACGCCAAAACAGACGTGCTATTCTCTCCGATGGCTCAGAAACCCTAAACTCGACATTGATGTATTGCCATTGTTCATGATCCTCTAAGAGGGTCAGATGGGTGTTAGTCACACGAGACGTACAGTCTCATTTCAGGTCTTTAAATATTTATTCAAGATGAAAAGATCATTCCACAACGTGCGTCTACACGTACCTAGTGCTCAGCTACAGTTCCTCCGCCCACTTCCACTTGAGAAACGGTAGCGTCGTCAATTTGTCAAAACTAGTGGCTATTCCGGAGCAATTCTAGACCTGTGCCTCTACCTCCAGTCTTCGGCCAGGAGCGCCAATACCCAGGGCGTCCTCTTCCAGCTTGATAACTTACAGAACGTCTGCCTCAAATACCGTGACAAAGATTAGAGACTTTAAGCCGTCATTGTTTAATTCGTTACGGAATAGTGCGCTCCGTAGGCTATTCGCTGCAAGAAACTGTGTTGGTGTATCAGGGTCAAGGCGCGGAATCAGGGTTGGATGCTTCGGCAAAAGTGGAAACAAGTACCGACGGATCACGGAGGCAGGATGCGGCCTGGAAATCTTGACATAATTACAGGCTCAGGTCTGATCTTTCATTTTTAACAACAAGGCAACCTCGGACATGACTGAGGAAGCGAGCAAGACGCCGCAATTAGACTTGCATGCAAGAGCATCTTGAGCGGCCCAAACCCCTGTTCACCGTCGCGTGCTCCACACAAATCAGGGTCCCAAACCCTCACGAATCTAACCACAATCCACCCACCCGTACTATATCCCTACTCAACGCACATTCTCGTCATCCAGGACATCATAGCTCATCGCCTTTCATCAGCGTCGATGGTTTAGTGGTAAAATTCTCCGTTGCCATCAAGCAGCGTCGGGGAGCCGGGGGTTCGATTCCCCCTCGACGCAACCTTTTGCTGTTTTGGTGGTTACCTTTTGGAACGGAACCTTTCTTTTTTTTTTTTTACATTTTCGAGTAGTAGTGGCTCTCAGGCATGCTTCTGGGGTTGAGCAGCACAAAAGGGAACATGTGTTGGCATGCGGAGGCTGAAAACAACATGGGAAGGAAAGGGAGGAGGAGGTATGAGCTGTACTGTGCTTCTCCCCGTGAACGCTCTTAGTCTTCTCTTCTGCACAACAATAAGTATGACTTCTAGGAACTACGAGATATCGTTTGTTCCTTGGGTGATCTTTGTTCCACGTCAGCTGATCCTGATACGTCGTTCGAGCCTTCAAAGACTTTGGCTCACTCAGTCTCCTTCCATGTCCTACATACCTATCTGAAACACAGTAGCTCATCTAGGACTAGATAACGATACCTAGGAGAAGAGAAACATCTAGGGGGCCCATAAGCTCGTTCTTGCTCTGGGAATAGCATTTCCGGTGAAAGTTAGGCCCCAGATTCTTAACCGCAGCCAAAAGCTCCAGACGGAAATCTGCGCTCCTCCTCTCCGATAGGTGGCTATATCTCCGGGGGATTATCGCGGTATCAAACTGGTTGCCCGCCGGTTGTGGCCCGTCCCGAACCTGCTTGTATCAATACGACATGTCATGAAGTGGAAGGTTTCCTTTGCCGTAAAGAAAGTGGACTCCATTCAGTTAGCAAGGCTTCGCACCGCGTACGTATGCCTATCAGCTCTCGACGGGCATCAGCATCCAAAGTTTAGAAGAGAATCGACCAAGAGGCAGATGCAACCAGGCAGGCAGAAAAACGCTGCCGGAAGATATGGTGCAGCTCGTAGTATTGTGGCGATATGAGTGGTACTCGTAGGGTCTTCATTGACATATGCGAGTAAGTGCGGTGATGTCCTGTGACTCCTCATCCTGGCCAACGCAGCAAGTCGCTGAGTCTCGCTATCAGGCAAACGCAATATGGGTGATTAGCAAACCATGTGATAGATGTTGAGATACACAAGTCCTAGGTATCGAGGCATCGCCGTCTCGTTCACGATGTAAACCTATGCGAGATAGTCGAAGCGACACAGCCTTTTAGACTCGAGCATCACTATGACTCATCTCACAAAACCTATGAGATCGTGGATTCGAAAGACATCATCTTTCAATATGAGACATCATGGCCTTCCTTCATACTTAATCACATGCTACATTTGAAACACGCTGAAGACCCCAGATGTGATTGTCCACAGCCTGCAAGAACGCTGGAGGCCTCCCTCACGGTACATCCTGAGAAACGAGGAGTCATCTGCCTCAGGCTCGTGATCTGTATCACGACTCATCCAGCAACATTTGTTTGAGCCTCAAGGCATCTGCGTTGCGTTCCATCAGCTACCCGGTAGACTGGGAATGTCTAGCTCGTAAGCCTGACCTATCAAATATCCAACTTGCAGATTCACGGCCGCCCAGTGCGTGAATACTGTCCTGAATCTTCGATATGGAGAGATCTTCATCCTCCAATAGGAGTTCTATAACAGGACAGACGACGGATGTGACATCTTGATGATGTAGAGGGGTGTGTAATCTTCCATCATGAGTGCCGAACATGCTACAATACCCATCTACTAAGTATCGCGGCATGTCATCGACGTCTCTTTCACGAGGCGTGAATCATGTAAATCAAGGCGGACTGACATTCGTCACGATCATTCGAAGAACACTGAAATCTTCCAACTCGCGGCATGTGAAATCTAAAGATACGAGTCACCCTTTGAAGTATGAGCCCATTTCCTATTATAACCATAGCATCGTAGCAATATACTTCTTGTCCCAGATTACTAGCCCGGGACTGGTCGCCCATACAAGCACAAGTAATCCTACTCTCAATCACAATTCGCGGGTTTTCACAACTGCTGCCTACCCTCAGACCATTCTTCATCCCTGAAGAAGAAAGCTTCACCAAAACGATTCGCTCTCATCAACTCCTCAACCCTCCCCGGTTCACCATCCACCATCCCAAGGCAACGGAATCATCGTCGTCATCGCACCCGGTGCCTGGCCCCCAAAGCAACATCCTCACCAGCGCATCCAATCCCCGGACAGGAAAAGAGTGGCGATATTTCCCGCGGCCTCAACATCCTGTCATTTGTCCCAAGAACTTGCCTACACCCAGCCACCCGTACCTCCCGAAACACAACATCAACCAATCAAATCCCATTCATCATCGGACTCTGCACAGCCTCTTCCCCTTTCCCGACACGCCGTGAGTGAAAGCGAGTAAATCAGAAAAGGGAGAGTGGTTGAGCCGGGCACCTCGGAGAAGAAAGATTCCAGGTGTGAGTCACAAGGTATGCGCTCAGCGCCGACAAATCACACACCCAAGTTTTCGGGTGTGTGATAGTCGTAGTGGTGCACCCGGCGGTCTTGTACCAACCACACACACAACGCCTCTGAGATTGGGGGCGTTGAAAGGTGAGAAAAGTCGCAGATAAGACGCCTCGCGTCAGCGGTGCTTCGGCGATGAGATGCAGCACCGGCGAGGCCACATACATGTCACCGAAGGGGTGAAAAACTCAGAATAGAGAATCAAAAAAGCACGGGAAAGAATACAGACAACTCACTATACCTTACCTGACCTCACCTTACCTTATGCCAGCTGTCAATCCATCGCCCAAATGTCGAAATTCGCAATCGAAATCTTGAAAGATTGCGACATTGGTCAGCAGATGGATCGATCTAGCCCCCCCGGTCCCCTGCCGCCCAAAGAAAACCCTCAGGTACCTTACCTCAACTCTCGGACTCAACCTCACCTCATAGAAGGAAAGAAGGAAAGGAAAGGAAGAGGGCAGAAAGAAAGAAAAAGACCACGACGCCAGCTTGCAAAAAAAATTCCAATGAAATGCGTTGTCGATTTACCTCGCATCAGCATGCAGCCTGGTCGTGGTGCAGCGCGCAGGGCGCATGCCTCTCTCATTGTGCATGGTGGCAGCGTGTTTTTCTCAGATATTGCTGCCCAAGATTGGATTGGAACTTTCGCAGTGCAGCCCGAGTCCGCCACACACTCACACTCACACTCACACCACGCACCACGCACTCGGCGCACTTCTGTCACACGCTGCGTCATAACCCACGCGGTACAAATTCACCAGTAAACATGAAGCAAAGGCCGGTACTTGAGTGACTTACCTCAGAGGGGGCGTGTCCTTTTCCCCATCATCCAAAATATACATTACATCGCAAGTACCACCACGATTCCATTCCGTTGGGTATCGCAACCTGATATCACCATTTGTCATTCTCTATAGAACACCACAGAAGAAAAGAGTCACAACATCCTCAAAGGGGGTGTTGAGGTCCGGACAGACTTTACGTCCCCTTGCCCCTTGCCCCCTTGCGTGTCTCTCTCTTCAGCGCGACCCGAAATCCCGGAGACCCGCCTCGCACGCGGGAGATCCGGACGACGGGGGCACCGGTCGGTGGCGAATCTCGAAATGCCCGTCCATCCGAGCTTTTCATTGGTCGTCATCACCGCTGGTCCCCTGGAACTTCAGAGAAAGAGAGGAACTGTGCCACATTGACAAGGATTACAAAGCCGAGGCTAAGCCACATGTCTCCAGGGATCGCTTACCTCACCACATCCCTGACCAACCATCCTCGACCTAACCCGACCCAGGTATTTGGGGTACATCGGCCGGCTGTGGCGTTTGGGCCTGGGTTTTGCACTTTGTACTCTTAGTATGGCCATCGGTGGTGCACCGGTGGTACCTGTTTCGTACGCGCGCGTCTTTCAACGACATGCCAAATCGAGGCTGTGGTATCCGTATACTGCGTACCTACACATACGTTGCTGCTGTGAGTGGCTTCGTGGTGATGATGCGGCCCTCGGCCATCTCGCTCTCGCTCTTTTCCGTGATTGCGTCGGGACGATGAACAAGTGCGAGCTGAGGTCACCTGGCTTCAGACTTGAATCCCACGGAGCCATTGTCTTCCCGAGGAAGGGAAGTCTGTGAACCTCGATTCCTCTCAGGCTCGGCGATACTCCTCTGGCGTGTCGAAATGAGTGTCTTCCCCGTCGGGGGCCCCTTGGTTGGCGGGCTAGAAATCAGTTGATGGCATCTCCAAGACAACGGATGGATATCCAGACCGCAAGTCCCAAACCCATATACCACAACCCTCATTGGCTCAACCCAGATCCCATCCCATCGGACCAGTCACCTCACACTCATCACCAGCCCTGACATCAAAAACCCCCCTCCTCCAAAATAACCCCTCCTCCGATGCACAGCAATTCGCTACACTGATTCGCGAATTCTCACAAAAAAGATTAAATGCACCCCAAAATTGAAGAGAATTGCAAAACCCAAAACCTCCGACAACGAATTATAAACACTCACCAGTGGAACAAAAATGCAAATGCCCCTCTTGTTCAGCGAAAACCCTCTGCAAAAGCCCTGGCCATGCACACTCCCCCGAGAAACCCTCTTTCCACCCCTTCGGTACTAACCTACCTTAGCCCCAGTCCTATGTACAGTCCGGGCAGTCCAGCTCAAGTCCTGCCATCGCAGCCATCGTCCAGGGAAAAGCTACTGCGTAGGCATCCTCATCCCTCTTTCGATAGGGTGATCTGGCCCATAAAGCTGCTGCTTTTAGACTGGAACAAGGGGGGCCATGCCCTGATGCCTATGCACCCAGTAGTGTACTGCCCGGCAAACGCAAGCAAGTCCATTTGGAATAAGGTGCCACCGCCCGGCGTGCGCCCAGGATGATAATGGAGCGGGGCCCATCAAGGTCAGTCGAACTGTCGAAGCAAAAGAGAGAGCCAAGACCATAAAAGCCAGACAGACATGCATGACGTTGCGGCAAGGCGTGCAGACCGCAGCGCAGCGCAGGGCGACAGACGGGACCAGGGCACCATCCGTTGGCTTGCCGTCCCCTACCCTCACGAAGCATACTCCGTACTTCCTACATATGCCTCCTCCTTCTTTCATGGTCCTAGGCGCAGGCGTAGGAGCAAGCGCGTGCGGCGTGCGGCGTGAGGCGTGCTGAGGCTTCGCTCGCCCGTTGCCGCAACCCTGTTCGTCGATGCGTTGTCCACAGGTCTACGGAGCCAGGCCCTCGCAGCTCAAACGCACTGAAAATCAAGGAAATCTTCAGCATCTTCAACGAATCTAGAACAACGTGGATGCGAGGACGATCAAAGAGGCACCCCGGCGAGAAGCCCTGGCAAGGGGAGGCATCGTGAAAACAGACAGCGGCTGGTCGACCGGCCGGCTGGCCGCCCTTCCTATCGGTCTACTGATACACAAACAGCCAGGGGGGGGGGCCTTTGGAGCAGGGGCCTTGGATCTCTTCGCTAGGAGTCTAGGATATCGACGGACAACTTTATCCGTCGCGGTCTTGCCGCTTACCGCTCATGATCAGCCCTCGATAATGCACTCCGCCAACCGAAGCGAAGGAAAGAAGCTGAGAAGAGCAAGAAGCAGTGCCGCTCCTCCGCACCCGCGATCCACCGTCGAAACAGGCGCGACTCTCTTCCAGTTCCCACTATACTTGTTCCCACTTGGTTGCATGGCGAAGACAAAGAACGAGCAGCAAGACGTTGTATCCCGCGTTTCTTCGCTTCTCGCTTGTCGCTTGTACCGTAGCCCCGGGGTGAGAGGGGATCGTAGTCCGAATCCATCACAGGATCAGCCAGAAGCTTAGTAGAACCCTAGAACGATGGGAAGCTCGGCTTCTGTGCTAGTATCGCTCTCCGTGTAGGTGAGCTGATCCTCTTAGTGGCCATGTGTATGTGTTGTCCAATTGTCATACGTCCGAGATACCACCACAATTAGCAAATCCATACGCGCCACACCGTCTCGTGATGGCGATGGCCTCACTGGAGACCACCTGATACTGGCTCGAACAATCGTATAATTGTACAGCCTGAAAAGTGATACTTCTGTGCGCGTCGTCGACGTCACCGAGCCCTAACATGACCCTGTCAATGGTCATCAGGCGCATGCGGCATCTTCAACCCAACCAGGGGCAGCGGGGATTTTTTTCTCTCTCTCGTTTGAACCAATGCGCAACAGAAAGAAAGCAGAAACGACTAAAAAAAAGTCAAAATAGGGCATGAAGCAGCAGAAACCCCTCCTCTTGCCTCCTTCGCATCTGCAACGACATGCAATGCCATGCAAGTGCCCCGCCAGTCCGTAAGGTGGAATGCGGTAATGATAGGGTGGTTGCCACGGACGCAAAGAGTCGGTGAGGAGGGGCTTTCGCGTTGCGCCTGTCACATTTGCGGTCTGGGCCCGGAGTGCCGGGAAGAGAAGATAGCAAGGAAGGAAAAGAAGAATAACAAGGCGGTTGCCAGAGTCCTTGCCTATTTTTGGTCAAAAGTGGCCGTCAGTCTCAACGGTATTGGTTGAAGAAGGGCGTGGGTTTTGTGTGAAGGGCGGAGCAGTGGACGAGGGCGATGGTGTATATATTTGATGGCTCGGCAGCATCGATCATGGATGAACATGGGCGGACTGCATGGTGGTGGGCATACAGGCGAATAGACGTCAGTGAGGGCATCGCCAGTGGGTATTTGATGCGTGTTTCGATATCGGAAGGGTGGGTGTGTGCGATTCTAAGCTGGTCGCCAAATGGTTGCAATGCATCGGAGGTGTTGGGTTAGGGGAGCAACACCCAGAGACGCCAGTGACCGGAGAGACGGAGAGTCGAAGATGACGGGAATGAATGAAGCAGCCGGGAAGACAATGCAAAATGCGGTGGACCCCTGCCGGCCGCAGGATTAGGGATGCGGATGCGGCCCTTCGTAGTGCAGTAGCGTCCCCTCTCAGCGGCCCTGGCCGTCCGACCATCAACTTGACTGGCCATACGGGCTGGTGCGCCGGAGGAGGAGGAGGGGATTCTGTCAAGTTCGCGGTGCGACGTGTTCATTGACACCCAATCAGCACCAAGGCCCTCACTTGGGTGACCTTTAGAAGGGCTTCGAGGAAGTTTGATAGGTGCAGCAAGGAGACCGGCAGCCTTGGGCTGTTGGACAGCAGTGCAGCAAGGACTCGTGAATGTTGGGACCGACCACATGAGGCTTTCCGTAGCGCGCTTCTCTATCACTCTTCCTTCTCTCTCATACACTCCTTTTCCCACACCGCACACTACACTCTGCACACCTCGTTTGGTGTAGTATGGCCTGCCCTGATGAGCACTCCTATGAGTCACTCCGCAGCGACCGTCCCATTCCCGCAATTGGTGCCATGGCATGGTAGTAGGGCTGGCATGATGGGAGAGTGGTCTTGTATGATGAGAGACAGGGAGTGAAATGAGACGTGATCTATTCTCGGTGAGAGATGAAAAATTTTCACATCGGTGCCGGGTAAAAAAGCAAATTACAGTACGCACATAGAACATTTGGCGCAACCTGCCGCATGGGCGCGCATGGCACCTCGGGAGTCTTGGAGTTGGGGACTCAGGGCACACTCGCACACACCCGACACTGACACTAGCCGACGGGGGTCAACAATGACAACAATAACAACATGCAGGGAAGCAATCAAGTCTTCCCATGGTGCGGTAGGGGAAAGAAAAACAAACAGACAAGCCAAGGTCACGGTCAAGGCCCGGCCTCGAGCCACTCACCGAGTGTTGCGGCCCGCGGTGAAGTGCAGGTGAAGGGAATGCCTAAGAGGTTTGCCGTCTTCTAGAACAAAATAATAGTTAGAAAAAGGGTATTTTTTTTCTCCTTGTGGTGGGAACCGTGGGATGAAGCGAACCTAGCAAGCGAGATCCAGGACGCACCGAAGCCCTGTCGTCACAAGCCAGCGCCAGAGCGTGCGCGCGCGGCATCTAGCCAGACGGCTGGGTAAGGGTGGACTCCATGAGAGACAAGGTCGAGGACTCGGAGAAGACGTTCAATGCTGGAGACGGGAGACGCTGGGCCGGTGTGGAACCGTCTCCAACTGCAGCAGGGGAGCTGGAGCAGGGTGTTCGAAATGTTGCAACCTCCATCAACTCCACCCGGCACGCTAGGAACAGCAGCCTGTGTGACGCTATCTCGCTCGCTATGCACCTGCGCTGCAGGGAGCAGGGAAAAGGGGCGTGTAAGAAGCAGGGCATCAGAAGCTTATGGCCTGGCGATATCCTCTCGAGATGCAAAACAGGCCAATTTTCCCATCTCAGTGGCTCGCCCCAAACAAGTGGCCCGTCGATAGATGGAGCAAACCGAGACTGTGGTTGTAAATATGCGGTCAAGAAACCGGACTGATGGAGTCGAGGACGCCGAAGTCTTGACTAGTGGCATTCACTTCCTTACAGTAATACTGACTGTATGGAGTGATACGGGTAGTCAAGTACGGATACGACTGACGAATCATGAAGTGGACGTGTAAGTCGATCTCGGTCAGACCTGGCGATGCCGGGGTACCGGTGGCTATCGGTGAGGAACGGGAAAGAATTCAAGTTGATGCCGGTTGCCTCTGAGGTGAGATGTTGCGTTGGGACTCGGCCGGGCGAGGAATGCTGATATCGAACTGACTTTGCCTGCCGCCTACTCCCGGATGGTCTCCTTTCTTCGGACGTGTACTTGCTCCGTATAGATAGTCAGGTATTGATTCGATGTAGTTGTCCGTGAAGCGGGTGAGAGATGAGACGGATGAGCACGGACAAGAAGAGAAGAGAAAAAGACATCGGCCGAGACATGAGGCTGCTTGGTGCAAGACAAGACCGACACGACGCGACTCAGGTCGTCCGAGGGCTTGTATCCGTAGGCCAGGCCGAGCCACGACAACGGTAGTGCATATGCGTACGAAAGCAATGGCCGATGAGACCACGGCGGCAGTTTCGCAGGGTAAGCCGAGTCGATGCAGAGGCTCATAGCATGCCCTGCCCTACACATCGCAGCGCATCGGGCAAAAGACCACATGGACATTCCAGGGGTTCAAGTCGTAGCAGTTGCGATCCCAAGGCGCCTGTCGCCTGTATTGCTCGCAGCGATTGCCCGGCCCTAGCTAATCCTCGACTGAAAAGGATCGAGGTATAGGTTTCCTTCAGTGGCTGCATTAGCTGAGCCCGCCGCTAGGGCAGGACACATCGGGGCATGTCGCTTCCGAAGGCTGACAGATGCATAGTCGCAGACGTCCTTGCGATCCCTTACAGCGCTCCTCTCCTGCTGTGGACTACTAGACATTTGTTTCGGTGAACAATGCCTGTAGATCTTGGAGTCTATTGCAGCAGTTCATAGGTGTAAGTGTGGATAGAGTTGGTGATAACCAGCCTCATGTTCCCAGGGAAATCCTAGGACAATCCCTCCGATAGTTTGTCTAGGATGGTATGACGAACACGAGGTCAGGACTTTTGCCGTGGAAATCCAGCTTGTTGATAGTGATTTCTGTTGGCACCCAATGCTTGGGTGAGCAGCTGCTTGGGCCGCAATGGACCAGGGTCGTGGTGCACTGCCTACTGCCCGCCAATTGCGTTGCCCTCTGAGATCAGCAAGATCAATAAAAACAAACGAGGATGTGAGGTGAGAAGCCAATGAATGTGGGCGAAATTGTAGATGCCGGACAAAAATACCAGGCCCGAGAGCGGCCACAATTTGGCAAATTTTGGGTCAGTTGGCCAGTGTGTAGGGAGCAAGCCAAGGTGAGACAAGACCATCGCCGGCCTCTCCAGCCACCTACCCCTTTCACCCTTTGTTGACAGCAGGAACCACGCGCAGGGGTGAGGGGAGATATTTGACCGAGTACACCGTACACCGTACACCGGGAACACTGGCCACAGTAGGCAAGGTGAAGTGAGGCCGCCTGGAGGCTGGAAGTTGGGACGCGCGGGCAGGTCGGTAGAGGGAGGACGCCATGACGAGCTGGTGGCGGACCGAGTCTTGAAGGAGGCAAGCCGTGACAAGTAACCCCAACATTCGAAAGGGGCTACAAATAACGGTTTGGGTCTGGCTGAATGGCAGACTTGGTCGGTAGTAGTCGATGGAGGCGTGAGGGGCGAGGGGCGACGGGGAAAGTATTCGAGTTCATCCGGAGGGCCCAACATGGTGGATTTGACTCCAGAGGGCTGGTGGGCTAGAGGAAACCAAAAGCTAGCGACTGGCGATGTAGTGCCAGTTCTGGGCCACTCACTGGATGGAGTTGATTGAGGTCATGGCCAATGAGTCTGGAATGAATCCCATTCGATGGAGCATGGCGAGGGGAGTATCCACATGCGTCGTTCCTGGTCGCCGCCGCTGGTCTTCCGTCCCGTTGGTTGGCCTGCAATTTGTGTTCGCCTTCGAGTCAGCTCCGGCGATTGTGGAGTCTGATACAAGCAGTGCCGTACGGTCGGAGCTGAATGGAAGCGGGAGAGGCAATATGGGCCCTGAGCAAGAGTCATTGAGTGTGCGACAGTGACGAATATGGGCACTGAGACGAGAGTTTGGAGACTAGAAGGATTGATGGACAGGAGGAGGCAAAAAAGCTGCATACGCACTGTAACTTAGCATGCCAAGAAAGTACGTGATTGACGTTCAAGTTGGGGATGCTCTTGGGTTCATCCCAGCTGTGGCGTACGCTCTAACGCAGGGGCATGTACGGATATTCGTATTGACAATAGCCGTCGTCCGAGGATGCGGCCACCCAAAATTTCTGGCTGGGAATCGGAACGATGCATCGTAACGGTATATTTTGTTTGATGTTTCTTGATGTTGCCAATGGTTCCCATGATGATCATGGAGAAAATACGTCGATGTCCTGAGGTGACGCCCAACGGTGGTTGACCACATGAAGAGGTACGTACATTTTGGAGTCGTGGTGTCGGAAGGTGCGCAACTACCTTACCTAATATGAATCTTTCCTCCTAGGTTGTCCTTCCTGCCTTCTCTATCCTGAGATAGTAGTTGTTGCTCCTCTTAGGTGAGCAATCAACCTGGAAGGAAGCAGGTGAAGGATCACAGCAAATCTGGAGAGGGCAAGCGCATACTTTGGCAAGCTGCCTTCTCTTAATTGGCTCTCACGATAATTCGAATGGCGTGGAAGTGCAGGGAAGGGACGGCCGTTCTAGAAAATCGGGAGGGGGCCACCATGCCAATTCTGGCCATCACTGGGCTCTTGCTGCATGTTCCGCTCTCCCGTCACCCCGCGTTGGGGGACTTGGGGTGCATGTGATGAGCGAACTCCTCCACTCAAGATGCGAACCTCCGCAATGTCACTCTGTCACGCATCATTCCTTTCCAATCGTCATACTCCATATTGTAGAGCTGCTCACCCTCATGTTGAATGGGCGCTTGTTCGCCAGTCACTTGACATTGCACATTGGTAGAAACAACGTAGGTCACTGGCTGCAGTTCATGCTATTCATCACCTGCCATATCGTACCTCAATACCACACTATGAGCCTCCTTCCTCTCACTGGTGAATCTCACAACGATGTGAATACGTGCAACTTATTATCAGCTACCTGTTTTGTACATACAGAAAACTCACTATAGTTGAGGCTTTGCTCATTTTTTTCTCTATGCACACGCCGACTACCCAGTCGTGCCTGCTACACTTCCAGGTGACTAGCGATGCGGGGGAAGTATGTTAAGTGGGAGGAATATACGCAGCAAATGGCATCACAGCATCTCATCTGATAAAAGTTGCACTTTGATGCCCGTCATCCCCAAAAGCCACTCGTACCCCTCCCCCTCCCAGGCCAACGTGATCCATCATGCATGCAATCCCTGGGCAAGGCTCAAATGTGCACGTACGGATAGTTAGCTACCTATTCGTGCTTTGGGGATACGTAGATCGTCGTTGCAGCTTCAACCTCAGAATGTTCCTTATGTGTTCTTGCATCTGACTTGCTCCTGCCTCAATGCGCAATTACCTCGTCAAAGTACCTACAAGGACGTTCCTTCCTTCTGACTCCTTCCGTCCTCACATGCAATGCAGCTTCCTCAATACTTCTCCTCTTCCTCTCTCCCACTTCACATCATTTGCCTGCATCCATCTGTTTTGCCCACGCTTCATCATCATATTTGCTGCTTCACCATCCCGAGGACAGGCAGCTGATACGAAGCAGGTGACAGCGCCGCTGCCTGCTCCTGCTCCAACGCATCATCTATACAACTCGTCCTGATAAAAGGGTTCAACTATTGCACCAGACAGCCGGCACATTTCTCTAGAGAGCTTCCAAAGTCTCTCGACCCATCGAATAGCCGGCTTCTACCTTATTGCTCTGCTCGATCGCGGTCGCGTCAGCGGTCAGCACCTGGTCAGCATTCACTCCAGGCAAGATTACCAAGCTAGCGAGTCGATACTACAAACCCCAGCTCTTAGCTTCTTCCCGCCGTGCAGCCCTCTTGGCGTGCAACCACCAACCGCGAACCGTCTCTGTCCAGTCCCGCTCTTCCAACTTCCGCTCCATACGGATACAAGACACCACGGACTGAATTTGCTCATTTCGAGCAACGGCAGATCTCATCTGCCATCAGGACGTTCGAATCAACCACGACTCGACGCCGACTCAAAAGACGTGCGGCTGCCGGGGATCGCAGACAGGAAGAGAAAATTCTGATCCATCCTCCAGGCTCGCGACTGGGATCCATCAAGCGCGAGACCCCCGTCCTTCTCTTCCACAACGGCCAACCTTGCCTTGCTCGTCCGAACCGCCTCACCGAGGGCGCACGGAGCAAGATTAGCAGGCAGCACCTGGCCACGACCACACAAGCAAACATCACCACCACCAGCTTCAATAACACGCACCAGGCTCACCCAAACCAATTCGGGAGCCGATCTTCTTCACACCTCTGGCCGGGCTCAAAGTCAAAGTCAGCGAAACATTGACTATCGTCGTACACGATGCCATTCTGAATCCCATTGATTCTCTGTGGAATCCCGTCGACATTGCAAAGCCAAACCACCAAATCATCTCCATACCAACAACTCCATTTGAGTTTTCCAAGCCTTTTCGGCTCGTCGTCGGCGGGTGGGCTCGTGTTTCGGTGGCCTTCACCTTGACACGGTGTGATTCACCCTCGGAATCCCAACAATTGCAACCCTGTGTTGGATGATCAAGGACCAGACTGCGGCCAGCCACGTTACGCCAGGGGAACGAGAAAAATTTTCACCTAGGACGCTTTAGCGGCACTGGCCCGGTAAGATTCCCCCGTGGCACCGTTGGAGACCTTTTTCCGTCTCTCTTTTGGTGTGGTGGAAGCCATCTCCAAAATTCAAATTCCACGCCTGTTCGTGCGAGGACCCAATTTCGCTTACTCGTCACCGGTAAATTTACCCACACGGCAGCGCCTACCTTCACAAGGATCACTGGGCTTTATCTCTGGACCTTTTTTTTTCTGGTGCCCCTCGCCCCTCTTGCTCTTCCACGAAAAAGTTGCGCCCGGGGACTAGGAACCGCCAGCCGGGGGTCCCACGGACGTTGGCGTCGACTCATTGAAACGACAAGGCCTCCCAGTCCTGAGTCTGCCTGTGTGGTCAGGGTGTTAAATCCCCCCGGCCGTTAAGGCGCCGGAGTCACTATCAGAAGCGGTGACCGGATTTTGATACTGGTGTGGCTAATTTCAGCGTCAAGGTGTGAATATCGATCTTCACCTTTCGGTGGGCGAGGGCCTGCTCATTCCCATTCCAACCCCGGCGAAAGACCAATGTGGAAGGTTCAATTAGGACATCGATCAGAATCATCTTAGACCGCCGAGATAGAGGAGAGAAAGTGTGTGTCATTAGCCGGGTACGGTGACTCGAACAATCAGAAAAGCAGTCAAAGGGATCCAGCACCAGTGCCCAACGTTGGGAATCGAGTTGCAACTTGCAGCAGGCCAAAGGGCGACTGCAGGCAAACGCAAGTGGCCTGGACGACGAGGTGCATTCTTCACTGCCACCCCTTATTTCCACGGACGTGCCTTTGGGGGCGCGATCGTGTGTGTGTGTGTGTCTTCTATTTCCAGGAGCTTCTTTCGAGTCAGCAGCGAACCAAAGCGCACTTGCATCGAGCTGTGCCACGAGTACGCTGCACAACGGTGATTGACATGTTCTGACCAGGACTGTGGCCGACTAGACTGGAGTCATCATCACCGTCGTCGTCGACCACGACTACTGCAACTTTGTAAGCCCCAGCAAAGCAGCCTAAGGTGGACTGCGCATTGGTGCGTCGCGACAGCTGGCTGAACCACGGACTTGAAGGGCTTGGACAGTCTGAGGATCTAAGTCGCTGCTCGCTTCCGCGCGATTTTGAACAAACGCACAAACGAAGGACGAACAGAGACGCAAGACCAGACAACGGAGTGTCTATTGGTCTATCGCCGAGAGGTGAACAAGCCAGGGAGAGAGACAAGCGTTCACCCAACGTGTAAAAGGGGTCCAGTCGACACCGTACGGTGTAGGTCTTCGCCTAGGAGGCTGGTGTTGCAAAAGGGAGTACCCAGCAGCAGCGGCAAAGCATCAGGATTCTCATTGGGAGCTGCCATCTACTGTTCTCGATCAAGCATCCATCTATCCGCCCACCGCGGCGAGCTGACCAGGGTCCCGAGGTGTGAGTAATCCCTCCTCTCCCTTTACTCACCACCAAAGCTGAGCAAGCAGGACAGAGAACGCAGAACAGCGCAGAACGGCGGCGAGCACGAGGTACTTTGTTGGAAGTCGAGCCATAGGAACACGCCCCCCCTCAGGAACTTGTCGTCTGTGTTCCCTCCCAAGAGGGGGCGCTCTAAATTGGAGCCAGGTTCCGTGTGCTCTTACGCTAAGGCAAGCCAGCCACCCCTGCCACCCCTGTCCTTCTCTGCAGCAGGGGACAGGGATCAGAAAAGGGAGCTGCTTTGGTTCCTCCGGGCAGGCCACCACGCCCTGGTGCGAGACTTGCGAGACTTTGGACTACCACCCCTTGTGGACCTCTTTCGCGCGCATTCCCACTCCTCCCTTCTCCTCTCCCACAAAAACTGGGAAAACGCACCGAGTAATTAAATACCACGCTGCCCTCACCACTACTCTTGAACTTCTCCTCTCTTCTCATGTTTTTGGCTTCTGCCAATCAATGAATATTCTTTGACATTCACAGCCTCGGCTTCGGCTACCAACCACCTTCAACCCATCCTCGACAAAAGAGTCGTCATTCGTTGCTTCGCTGGCGTCCTCCGAGAAGCCTCCAGCAACTTCCATTCATCACACACTACCGACGTCGAGAAGATTCCTTCCCGAGTTCGGTAATCTGGTTTCCATCCTTGGTCATCGAGGGTAACCTGTAGCAGTTATATCAAACTTGGTCATGTTCGGGCACAGAAGACAAACTTCCTCTCCTCTATCATCCGACCGCATACCAAGGTGACTTGCTTCACCTTTTCTTCGCGCCTCGACATCGGCGCGACACCCTGGCCCTGGAATCACAACCATCCGCATCGACACAACCTACCGACATTTTGGGGGGAGTCGTGAGAGCTAGCAGAGGAAGCTGCTAGAGAAGAAAAAGTAGAAGACAGATTTGAAGAATACCGTGGACGCCTCCCATCGACCTCGCCATAAAGAGCCATCAGTCAACATGGCCTACTCATCCCCCTACCCCGGATCTCCTCCCGACGAGTACTACTACGCCCGGGAGCGATACCAGTCGGCAACGCCAACTCCATCCCCTCGGGGGTCCTCCAGCTATTACTACCCGCCCGGCTCAACCCCGCAGCGTCCGGCAACCCGCTCCCACTTCCGTACCAGCAGCAGTGGCTTCAGCGAGTACAGTCCCCGTCCGCCGACGGCGTCGCCTCGATACACGAGCGATGGCTACTATGCCACGGCAAATGTGAGTAGTGGTCATCATTCGCGCAAGCATTCATGGGCCACTCCGTCGCACCCACCGCGCGAGCGCCGATCTTCTTTTGTCTATGTACGGGCCGCGACGCCCCACGGAGAATCCGACGATGAGATTATCGAAGTGGATGGCCGTACTTATCTGGTGCCGGGCAAGTCGTCACGGGCGAGGAGCAAGAGGCATTCTGTTCAGGAGACTTTTTACTATGAGGATGGTCGAGGATATCCCACTGATTACCGTTCCCATGCACAGAGCGGTTTTGCCTACATTGAGCGCGACATCCCAGCGTATGAGCCTCGCCCCTCCCGTACCCCTGCCAACGGCCACTCTCGCCGTTCCTCGACTTCGGTTCCCCAGAGGCCCTCCACCGTTCGCCCCGGCAGCAGTTCTCAGGCATCTAAGAAGGCTCAGCCTCAGACTGAGACCAAGAAGCCCACGCCACCCCCAGTGGCTCGCGCGGCCACTGAACAAGACGCCAAGAGGCACAAGATCCCCTCGGGATACTCACTCAAGAACTGGGATCCCACCGAAGAGCCCATTCTTCTCCTCGGTAGCGTCTTCGACTCCAACTCCTTGGGCAAGTGGATTTACGACTGGACTGTCTACCACCATGGCCCTGCCACTCCCATTTCTGACATGGCAGGTGAGCTCTGGTTGCTATTGATCCAGTTGGCCGGCAAGATCAAGCGCGGAGAGGAGACTATCGAACGCGTGCGCAGCACCGAGAAGAAGGAAATCCTTGATGACTTCATCGATGCTGGTGAGCGCCTGACTGATAAGCTCCGCAAGCTTCTCAAGACTTGCGAGGCTCCCATGCTCAAGGCCAGCAAGAAGTCCTCTTCCCTCGGCAAGAACGCCGGTGTCCAGTTCGTCGAGACTCTGTTCGGCATCGAACGCGAGTTGGACAAGACTGAGCGATTCATGCAGGGTGTTCGCCTCTTCATCCTCCGATTCGACGCCAACTGTGATGACATCCTCAAGAACCCTGAGAAGTAAATGGCCCCCTTATCTTTGGACACTTTCCCCTGGTTTCCTTTCTGTCTATACTGCCACATCCCATGGACGGAGTACCATCAAGGAAGCCAACGGATGAACCATCGGAGCCATACCTCATTACCACCACAAAAAAACCAAGAAAACCCAATATCGAACCGACGGATGGAGTTGCCAATTGTACGATTAGGAATCTGTTTTCCGGATCTCATTTTTCCTCGGGAGTTTCCACTTTCATCTCATTGAAACACGACGGATTTGGATTTCCCTCTATTCATCACCATAAACATAATCTGGCGCAAGCTATTATGCATCGGGGATACACACCAAGGACTTTTTCTTTGCGATACCCAAGATACCACACGGACCCGAACCTACACGGGACGAGAACGACACGAACGAACGAACGCACGGCATCATCGACCTTGTGTTACAGGGATGGACATCAAAAGCATGCTTTGGTTGCGAAATGATTACCACGGGCGACTGGAACACGTTTCAGTCATGGAAAAGGATAGCGTGCTTACGCTTTTATCAGGAATGCTTTATAGTTTACTGGGCCTGGTTCAACACTATTCGGAACCTCGCCATCGCACAGTTTGCGCGCACAACAGGGAAACAGCTTTTACGTGTAATATGGTCGTTGATTTGCAAGGACGCAGCCTCGACAAGTTGAATTTATCTAGACGGATGCACGGGATTTGGTTGTTTAGTTTTGTTTTTGATTCTTGGATTGCACTACAGCATCCACAACACGCCGCACTGGAAGCGTAGCTCGTCATTTTATTATTACTGTTCACTCGGCTCGATTATTACGAGAGTCGAAACGCTTTTCCTTTCGAACTGGCAGGAAGACTACGGAGGAGCTGGATATACCCCTTCCTTTCCTTGTTACCGGCTCCGCGGGGGAAGCGAGTCTGAGAAATAGTTGCAGAAATCAATCAGTATCATTCTTAACACTTGTCCCCTCTATAATACGCAAAATGACATGTATGGTTGAGTGACATGGGACGTAGTTGACATCAACGTCATCCTCGGACAACATCTAGTGTCCATGACCGGGGTCCTGATTTCCCACGTGGCTCTGTTCAGGGAAAAAGAGAACCCCATCGTGAAGAGAAGAATCCTTGTTCGTCTGTGCGGTTGTTAGGGATTTGGCGGACGGTGGTTCGATCGTGAGGATAGTTATGAGGTCATTTGACCAGCCAGCCACCCTTGTAACTCTTGTAAGCGAAGGGCTCCGCGCGGGGCGGTTCGGGGGGAAGCATTTCATGCGACTAGGGTCCTGCTATGCGCGACATCACGCGGGGATTATGGTTTATTTCGGAGGCTGACGATTCTCATTAGGTAGGTAGGTAGCTCATTCATGGATGCGGGAGCTGAGGACTCGGGTCTGAGTGATGCGGCGCGGAGGCAGCGGGAGTCGGACGACGCGGGAATCAATGGATCGTGGGATTTGTTCATCCGGTGTGTCCGTTTGGACGGGGGAAGTTTGGAGCCTCTGTTGGTTTGGGGGGGCGTGAGGATTAGGGCTGCGAGGAGTTGCGAGACATTTGAGAAAGTTGAGACTGAGAGAGAAATGTCGATTCATCTGGTCTGTGATTACTTGCATATCACGTCCGGTCTGATTTTCTTCAAACTCCACTTTTTGTCATGTTTGACATCTTGATGATTCTGGACTGGACTGGACTGGAATCCTGCTTTCTGGATCTACGGTATGCATTCTTGTTACGGATAGCGAGCCGAAATACCTTGCAAGTTTATGAAGGAGAGATATGTAGCTGTCTTGAACCTAATCTAGTCTCTCTTTCTTTACACACGCCCGAGTTGGGGCTCTTTTGCGTTGGAGAAGAATGCTGGAATGCGTCGAGGATTGAGGTTTGGGGGAAAACAGAAACCATGATTCGGAAATGCCAATGTATCGGTGTTGGAAAAATCCCTCAACGGGCTTGCATGTAGCTGGATCACGGATTGTCTCTTGCTGATGTATGCCAAGTGCAAGACGGTGAGACTGGTTCTTATGAGGGAGACTGTCAAACTTTGGCCTTGACTCGATGCCGCGGAGTCATCACACGGAACAGGGCGGACGTGTGTACTCAGAGAGCGGAAAGGAGTTATTAAGCTGCGTTTCCATCGGTAAAAAGGGTGACTTGCCGGCCTGCCAATCTCTGTGTGGGAGCGTTGTGTATGAGGTCTGTTATCAGCGACGTTGGGAAGAGACGGGAGGCTGTTTCCTGGAGGTCCTAGACGCGCTTTACCGCAGTTAGAGTCTCACGGGTCGCGGGAGCACTTGCTTCTTCCCTTTCCACTCTTTCTTCGTTTTTTTCTCCTTTTTTTCCTTGGTCCCTTCCAGAGACTCAAGCCAGCGCATAGGGGTCCAAGCAGACGGACTCAGACTGGCCGCCCTCCTTTTTCAATTTCAGGGTCGTTCACGGGCACGGTTACAGTGTCTGAACTCTCTACTCCGTAAGGTTGCAATGGTTCAGATGCTCCTCTCAAAGAAAAGAGAGTTTTTTTTCTTTCTTGTTTGCACAGCCGGTTTACTAGGACGTGCGTTTGCACTACCTACCTACCTTACACTGGGGTCCGGGAGCATGGATGGACGGGGGGGTGGCGGGTTTGGTGATGAAGATGAGACGGACGGGATGATGACGGTGCGTCTGTACCTCCGTAGAGTGTGGTTCGCGGGTATGGGTGAGTCATGTTTTTGTCACTGTATGCCTGTTCTTACGTCTGTTCGTTTCGACTTTTGAACGTGAATGATTGTGTGTGAAGATTTGCACGAAGCCGATGAGAGGACCAGGCATCGCTACTTGAGAGAGCGCCTCAGGGGGGGAGGCGAGGTTCATCTGTACCAGGGAACGTGATCTCTCAGGATATCAGATCTCAGGAATACATAGACTCAACTGATGACTCCCAATGATGCCCTCTTCTTTTCTTCTTTTCCTTTCCCTTTTTCTAGCTCTGCTTTAGGCTTTTCGCGATACATGCGAGTGATTGAACGACAGGACAGAAAAAAAAACTCGGAAGAACGGCGCCGCCGAGACGAAACAACGGCGGCGACCGGGGGGTTAGGGGGTTGTTAGCGTGGGGCAAGCCGCGTACGGGGGGATTCATCGCTGTGGAAGGAAGAAGAGAACGCGCCGGCCGGCCGGTGTGGCACACCTCCTGGCCCGGGCGGGACTTTTTCGGGCGGTGGTGGTGGTGGTGTCTTCGAGGTTGTAGTGTAAGCTAACTTTTGGTTGGTGCTAATTCAGAGATATATCCATCGAATTGAAGGGTGCTGGACGACAAGTGAGAGCGCTCAAGAACCTGGCTTTGCCTGGGTAGGTAAGCCCCTCTCCCCCCCGGGACGGGGCTATCCTGCACTGTCTGCAGTTCTGTGAACTTTTGTTGGAGTGAGCCAGGTTTGGGATGTGAAGATGACAGTGTGGTAGCACGCCGGCTTGAGGCCCTCTCTGTGACGGAGGCGAACAAACAGGTGAACAGGGGAATATTTACCAATCTGGAGGGTGGGAAGAAGGCTGGCTCATCGGTGTGACGAAGTGGTGATGGAGGTTGCCCTTGTTTCTCGTGGCGGGCGTCTGGGCGGCTGGCTGGTCCGTTTGCTTTCCACGAACCTGAAGTCACACTCTCTAGCCTGGGTACCTACATCTAGGATGGTGTTTGTTTCCTTCTAAGAGGAGGGGGCGTGCAAGTCTCAGGTGGTTGGTTTGAGCGGTGGTTTGCATCCAACAGGGAGAAGAAATATGGCAAGGCTAGGAATTCAGGGTGGCCGGCTGGTCGGTTGGAGAAGATGGACAGGGAGGATGAGAGTGATGTGTGTGTTGGGTTGTACTGTAGGGATCTGGTGTCTGGTGTCTGGCGTGAACGTGTGAACCTGGGATGCGCGGATACCTGCACACATACAAGTGTGCATGTTCCAAATTGGGGTTCATTCATGTCGGGCCTCAGCGCTAATCTCACCAATCAGCGGCGCGGGTGGTGTGCATGGCGCCGGCAGTCTCAAGTGATACCACGTTTTCCCCCCTCTTGGCTTGGTTTGTTGCTTACTTTAGGTGTGCCGTGATATACACGATGAACAGCTTGCTCTGAAGGTTGGTTACAGTGGGCGTTCTTTTCTTGGGCGCGTCTACGTCGTTGTCGATCGGGGGCTTAGAACGTGAATAGACACATGAGGTCTCGGCACTGTGACACTGAACACTGTGACTGACAATATACGACTGGTACTAAGTAAGCAGTGCAAAGTGAGGAGGTACACGAGGTGCGTGAAAGTGCAAGGTACTCCCGTGAGCAGGCTACGACCCAGTGTGACGGTGGCACGGGTGGCTTGCGTTTACCTACTGCCTACTTTAGCGAATGATACGATGGCCGCGTTTGGCGTTTCGTGTGATTCGAGAAGGAAGTTTACAATCTTGGATCGGGGCTTGGGGGGGATCGGCGGTGCGGGAGGAATTGGGGGCCAAGATGGGCCGCCGCCAAAGGGGCCCGTTGGTAGCCTTACGAGGCGGAGATTTTGGAATACGTGATACCACGCAGAGGCGCGGGTGAGTGAGGGATGAGTGAATTCTTCATGTGAGATCAGCTTTTGAGATGAGGTTGTGAGATGAGATTCATGTGAGAGGTCAGGTGAGAGGCGGAAATGGCAGTCACGTAACCATCCGTGTCTGAGATGACGGACGGCTGACGATCGCGAATGGGACTTGTGAAGGATGCCGCTCTTCCCGCTCTAGAGCCAGTAGAATCCATTTCAAAGTGTTTCGATCGTTGGTTCATCGCCCTTGCGTGTGTCTGATGTCTCTGATGCGCCCTTGCAACGGTGGTGGTTGCTCACATGAGGCTGAAGAGTTGCGGAGAGACAGTGGTCAGCGCGCTATGGATCCCTTGATTCTTGCTCCCTGTGACTGATGAAGAACTGTCATCCGCAGGCGTCCATCTAAATCTTCGGCGACTTAATTCCAAGTTGGCCATGATGCCGGATCTGGGATGTTTTTGAATTCTTGAAAACCTGAGCGATGATGGGGGTACCCCGGCGGTTCGGAACCTCTTCGGAGAGGTTAAAGTTGCAGTGAAAAGATTAAGACAGAGGTCAAAAATTAATTCCTACTCTGGCCTAGTCGGCTTTCTCATGAAAACCCGTCCAACCAGAGGTACGAAATGCTCCTACTTCAGCAGTCGGCTCAGGTCCTCAGGGAGTGTTAAAATCGCAGTGAATCAGGGGGTACTTTTCTCAATTTCCCAAGGTCTAGACCAATCAGCTTCCGAACCAATACCCCAAGGATGGTCAAGCTGGCGCCCTCCAACTTGGGGTGCAGAACTTCCACGCCTCTATAAGCCGGAAACGAACAACAGTACAGAGACTCGACATCTTACCTTAGTTGTGATCATGCAGAGTTCTCTACAGAAAGAGTTAATTGAATCTCTTCGAGTTTGAATACAATGAATTGCCAGACTTGGAACCTATGTTGGTCGTAAGGTTGGGTCAGCCTTGCCTGATCGCATCTTCTTGGGGCGGGTCAGAATTGCAGTGAAGCCGATAGCTACGCCACCTGAATGCGGGACATGCACCGAACCGCAGTTGGCTGGGTTCCATAGAGATCGAGCGATCCCTGGGCATCCGGGGGTTAAGGTCGAATTGAAGCAAGACTACGTATTTCGAACCGCCGACAGGATGAAGACTGCCTCAAAGATGATGATTGAGTAGTGTCTGACTGAGCAGGGAGTCGATGAGGCCCAGAGCCTTGGGAGTGTATGAGAGTCCCAAGTATTGAGGGAAGTCAACATCCCAGTGAACAGGTGAGTCTTCTGGTCACTGGAATCCTGCAGGAAACCTAAGGGGTCCATCACCTTGAAGGGGGAGCAGTGAAGTGAAGTGAAGTGAAGAGGCCTGCATACTCGCCAACGGACATGTCAAACCAGATGGCGGGGTTGGCGTCGATGGCCCACGACAAGACCCATCCGGACCCGTCAAAGGGAGACAACCATGCGGTTGACACAGAGAAGGGCAGCTGCAATTGAGGGGTGGATTTGCAAGGTGAAGGAAACGGAGGATGCGAGGATGTTTCCCGTCCAGCCTTTTCTGGCCAGATCGTCCGTTTCTGTCAATCTCGAATTGCTTCCTTCATACACGCCTCTCTTATGAGAGTCTAACAATTGCCGGAAGTCTGTCATCCAAAGGAAGCAGTGAGAGACATCGCGTCTTGCTCAGCCTCTGTTATACATCAACCTCCGAGATTGGCCTGAATAAGCTGACGACTGCTTTACCTTGCACCACAGGAAGCCATTGATTTCAGCCCAGTGGTGAACGGACAGTCTCACTGGTACTACCCAATAGACAGCGAGATTAGCAGAAAATCACACAGTCGGTGCCATCGATAAGCCTCCCGACTGGCTCTCACCAGCATCCAACAATTCACAAAGCACCAACCGCGAATGCATGTATGTGGTGGTGTAAACGCACCAGTATGCACAGCGCGGCACAGCCAACGACGCATCGGCAGCTCGTTATTTTTGGGAATTCGAGAGACACCTCCTTCAGCCCTCAGTAACCCATCCAAATTGGAAGCCTGCGTCATTTCTCACAGCGAACCCTCCAACTTTCAACCTGCGCGTCTGCAAACTAGAGAATGCAACCCACCACACCCCCGGGAACCCAGGCAAGGGTAGCCCATGGGAGGAAGAGAGAGCCAGTGTCGGTACGAAGTAGTGCTGTGTCGGCCCGTTCCAACCTGGGACCGTTCGTCGCGACTCCCGTCTTCCTCTTTTTACCTTGTTTTAGCGACCTGTCACTGGTCATTAATCACCACGAGTGGGAAAAGTCGCCTTTGCCCGGCCAGTCATCCTCCATCATCGACCATCATCATCCATCAACCAGCTGCACACTCCCCCTCCCTCTGCCCACCTTTCCCTTGCTCTCCCGTTGCCCTTTTGAGATTCCGATGAGAGAGCCAGAGGGCGTGCTCCGGTCAAAAGTTGAATCAAACAGTTCTGGGCGTTGCTTGCCTGTTTGTCGTACGAAACTCCGCCTGTACAGCGGACCGTCTACTTCCCTTGAGCACATTGGCCGATGTCTGGAATGAACTGACGATGCGCGTGACAATGCGTCTAGGTATCTCAATCACGACTCCTGTCCCCGCGGCTGTCGCGTCGCTGGCTGTACCTAATCTCACGCTATCATAGCGGACGGGTGTGCTGACACATGGCTGCTCACTGCGTCTTTTTTCCTCTTCCCTACCCGCCGGGATACCACGGATGGCGTCCGCACGCAACCAACAAGGAGGAGGGGTTTTGAGACGACGAACAAACGATAACCGGGAGGGGAAAGGGCTGAGAGACCCAAAGACCCTCACTCTAGGCTGCTAGTATGCGCGGGAGGGGCGGCCGTTGCGGAGACTTTGTCCCATCATCATCATTCCTGCGAATTCGCAACGCGGTGCACTCTCTCGCCTGCGTCTCTCGGTCTTCAGCAACAGCTGTGATGTGGTGCAGCAGCGGCCGCGTCCGTCTCCTGTTGCTGCACAGTTATGGATCCCCCTTGGAGTTTGACTCCATCCATTCTAGCCGCAGTCTGCGATGATGCCTCGCGCTGCCGTGCCATGCGCTGCACAACGTAATGAAGGCCCCTAAACCCTGTTTCTCGCCCGCGCACCGCAGTATCACCAGCAGTTCGTCTCGAAAAGACCACTTCCTATTGTAGTATCAACTATGCCATACTCGCAGATATCTTCACTGGTCATCCACGCTGAGAAAATGCACGCCATGTCCGGCCGATCCGGCAAAGACCATGTTCTTCTTCTGCTTTCCCCTCATCCTTCACCCCCATGTCCATGACCCGTTAAACCCGGGCGACTCCATTCCGCAACGTGCTCCCCACGCCGAAAACCGCCTCTGCACTGCATGTGCCTAAAACGACAGCGGGCCACATGGGAAGGCCAGACGAACCCGGCCAATGATAATGCTTCAGAGCCCATGAAAGGGGGACCCGTTGAAGAGGGGGGCGTGAAGAAATTCAAATGTACCTCATCGACAGGGGGATGACTGTACACTATTCCGTACCGCCGTGCCGTAGCCTACACGCCCTGGTCTGCTTTACCCCGCGCCTGCATTTCCGCCTTCGTCTGCTTGGTCCATAACCGCCGTGGGATCGTCGGCCTACTTTGGCCAGCACAGTGCGTTGCGTCGTGGACGATGTTCTGCCCGGCGAAGAACGGCGGATGAGGTTCAGCTTCGGGGGCCGAGGGATCGTAGGTGTTGCGGGCGTTCAAGGTGCAGGATCTTGCTGCCTTGGTACGGGCCACGGCCACGAGTGGCCCGGCCGGCCTGTGAGATGGCCCCCCTCTTCCTCCCGGCGGCGAGTGCCGTATGCCATGCGACGTTGATCGATGCGGCAGCGATTCCTTCCCTTGCCGTTGCGGAGGTCTCACACACGGCTAGGACACGGCCGGCCGAGATGAGGTTTTCCCACGGCACGCACTGGGTTGGCTCCTGTCTCTACACACCTCACAATGACTCGATGCTTCGTAAATAGTAGATATGATGGACGTGGCTGGGAGGTTATAGCTGAATATGGGAACGAGTCTTTGTTAGTGGTATCTCTAATCCTCTAGCTGAACACCAGTCGTCACCGGCGCCATTTCATATCGATGCTAGAGTATGACGCCGTCTTCAACCGCTCGGTCCTCGACTATGGAAATCCCCCGGCTTCATCATCGGCGTCGATTTCTCCCAGCCACTGCCAGCAACACCCAACGCGGACTCGAAACTTCGAGCAGTAAGTAGTCCCTAGTAGGTATCCGTGAATCGACCACCCCATTGACGAATCAACTCAACCCGCCGCTTTCTACTCTACTTCCACACGCTCGAACTCTCGGCCCCAGCCTTCTTCCCCTCCTGATACGTCTCACTCAACGCGTTGTACAACCCTTTAACGCGCTCCATCTCCTCCTGCCAATGAGCCCTCTCCCCCTCATCCTTGATCTCCTCCACCAACTCCCCCAAACTCCGCGCCGTGAAGAACTGGTTAGTCCGGTTATACAGCTCCCGTCTCCCCAACGCACTCTCGTCCTCCCCCTCGGCCGGCACGCGAAAGACCTGCTGCAAGATATTGATATCGTGCGGAATCGCAAACAGGTCGCGGCTGTCCTCGTACGTGAAGAGGTAATACACCTCCCGGAAGCCAGACCAGGCGATGCCCGATAAACAAAGGGAGCAGGGCTCGTGGGTTGCGAAGAAGACGCAGTCGGTGCGCGGGGAGGGGCGGGTGGAGGGGTCGGGGAAGTCGCGCGTGAAGAAGGTTTGGATGCAGTTTATTTCGCCGTGGAGGAGGGGGGAGGTGCGTTCGTCGTTTGTGGAGACTGTGTAGGGGGTGAGAGCGTCGTCAGAGGAGAGGATTGCGGCGCCGAAGAGCTTTGAGCCGGAAGAGACGCCGCGGGCTGTCAGGGGCACGATGCGGGTTTCTGTGAGGGTAAGGAGGGAGGCGAGGACGGTTTTTGGGTCGCGGGTTGGGAGGGGGGGTTCTGTGGACATTGTGATGGTGATGTCTTGTCTGAGTTCTGTGATGTTGTGTGGTGGTGGGGCTGGATTGGGTGCTCTTGAGATGTGCGTAGATTACGAAGTACTATGTGAAGTCAATTGCTGGTCGTCAAAGTTTTGTTGGTGTTGATATGGTGATGTGGAACTGAGATGGACCCGCGAATTTATCAACCCCGCGATGCTTATCGCAACACGTCAGATGCTATCCGTACACGCACATATGTGTCTAAGGCAGTGTAAAGACATAGTCACCCAGTTAAAGCGTATGAGTGGGCGCCGACCTCCTACCATCGGAGGCGTCCGTAGCGCGGGATGGCGGGATGGGGAATCTACTGTTTCCGGTCGCGGCGGGCTGAGGGGCGGCGACCTCCGATATCTGCGGTCTTTATGAGGTCGGAGGTGGGAGATGTTCCGAACGCCAGGCTGTGAATGCGTTTCTTTCAGTTTTGAATGTGAAAATGGAACTGTAAGTAATACGCGGCGTGCATTGGGGATGACGTGGAAGTATCTGCATCTGCTTTGCTAAGAAATGTTGGATTTCGGTCGAGAACCAGGCCTGGAGGGTGGCCAAGCCCGGAAGCTGGGCCCACTTATCGCCGGTCTCCGATCGGAGGCCGCGGGGAGATCTACCATACATTAGCTTTCCTCGAGCAGAGCAATACAAAATCAACGATTTGGGCCCGAGGAATAGAATTCGCGACGAAGACAGTGATGATAGGTGATCCTGTGGTCGCATCATCGATAGCGTCCTGGATTTTCTGCAGATCGGGTTGAGAAAAAGACTCCAGCCTCTACGCGAATGTCACGATGTATTAAGAGCACTAGGAACCGCACGCCACCTGCGTACACTCAACGTCTCACTTGGCGTATCTCGCATGGAATATTCCAGAGAAGATCATGGGTCTTGGGGCTGGGCGATACAAATTTACTCCCCTGAAACTTTGAGATGATCTTGACGAGCGATCCAGTGACATCAACGGGAGCAAGTATGGAAACCACATAAGCAACGACCCGCCTATAGGGTGTGCGCTTGCGTCGAGATGAAGAGAACAGGTGGTTGCGAATGATTGTTTGTGAAGCTCGCGGCAGTTTTAAAGGAGGACCCTTTAGAAGTGCTGACCTATCATACGGAGAATATCCTGGTCCAAGTGATGACCTCTGAGTCCGCTGCATTGAAAGATGGAATATCTGTTCATCAGGCTTGCAACAGAGCTAAGCTACCTTGTATAAGAGAGGAGAGTTTAGGTTGCTGTGTTGACTTCGGCGCTAACACTAATCGCCTTGCGAGCTCAACGATATCATCTAGGTCCAGACCCAGGTTTGACTTGCGCCTGCGTAGATATGAACACCTCAAAGTCGATTCGGACTGTATGCTTCTCGCGATCCCCGATAGTTATGTCAAACAAGCGAGCATCGAAGCTTTAAGTAACCTATCTCTTTCCGCTCGCTCTCCAATCCGAGGTATTTCACACGGAATATTCAATGTAGGGGGCGGGATAGATGACTGAATAAGATGTATTACCTTGGGTCACATCTTCATTTCAGGGTAGTGACGATAGACTGTTGCGTGCATATCAATCCTGACCCAATAAGCAACTTGCTGTAGCTGACAGAGCATCTTCCGGAGCATTCCTTCTGGCACTAGACACTGAAACAGGTTGATGAGCAAAGAACCTTATACTGAGCTCCCGGTGGCTTGAAAGGCAGACGCTTCCGGCTGGGCAAGTCCGTCTCTGTCTTGAGGCTCCTACTTCGTGAGGTTTTTGGTGTTAGACGTTGAATGAGTTCATCGTAGTATTGAATCAATTCATATGTGGTAATTCATCGGCGATTCTTGTCTCGAATCTTTTTTGATTTCTTGCCACAAGCATTTTCCCTTATCCATGCACCTCTCTCGCGTAGTCGCCGGAGGGACTAGGTTAGTACCAAGGCATCAGCCATCAACTTCGATTAATATTGAAACCTGAACACTCAGTTGACGGCTCTCAACTCTGGTATCTTTTCTCGCAGCCGGCGAAGTGAATCTCAGAGGGATTACCCATGTCTCCAGAGGCGGGTACTAAGTAGCACATTAGTTTAGCTAGTGTTGTTGATGATCCAGCAGATCTTTTACGACGCGTCATACACATTTAGTAGCCAGCATATTAAACCATCTCACTCATAGCTATCTATTAACTCTTTTCATAGTAGTTGAATGAAGTCTGTAGAGTTATCGACGAGCAATGCCATTAAGCTCGGGGGCGGAAGGAGGTGCGTGAGCTAGTGACCCGCTTCCTTCATAAAAGAAGAGCTCCTACTGGTCAAAACTGAATGACTAAGCGGTTTCTCAGTTTTCGTCCCGCCGCCGTCTCATCGACGACACCAACCGGCACTCTCAAAACCGAGTGAGTCTGTAGAGGTGCAGACTCAATCTTCACACCAACAATGCATTACATACGGCTCCTCCGAGCACCAACGCTTACTCGCGAAGATAACAGGAAATATCTCTGGTCCCTCAACGTCGTCTTCACAATCACAACTGACCTCGGCGACTCCTTCCTCACACCAGAAGACACTGACCCCGTCAAGATCAAAGTCTCCGCCGGGTGGGAGAAACCCAAACAGAAGTCACAAAGGAATGAGGAGACATCAAAGAAGCAGAAGGGCGAAAGTATGGCGCTGGCCGCTGAGAAGGTCCTGCGCTGGACCCCCGGCATGCGCGTCCTCAAAGCCGACATCCCAGCCCAACACCTCCCTGGACGGGGAGCCCTCCTGAACACCAACGATCTCGGCCCGCTGAGAGTACGCATACGCGCTGAGGGCGATAAGTCAGCCGACACGGCGACGAGTGTCAGCTTCGCGGGGTTCAAGGGCGAGTGCGGCAAGATCCTACCCCTCTGGGCAGACGTACACACGCCAGGCTCCGAGGCGCCAACAACCTGCGTCCGGAGACTTAGCCACGGAGATCGGCCCTCAGAGCCAGTGTTTGAAATTGAGGAGGATATCGGGGAGAGTATCGCGCGGCATATCTGGGATGCCGGGTTGATGGCCGTGTCTGGGCTGTGGCAGGTCAGCACGCGCGAGAGCTTCGCTGCGGAGAAGCACCCGTGGCGCATGAAGAAGTTTCACAGCCTTCTCTTCGGGGATGAGCCGGTGAATATTCTCGAGCTCGGATGCGGTGTCGGTATCCTGGGCAACGGGCTGGCGCAGCTCTTGTCGGATGCGGATCCCAAGGGCGAGGGTGCCATCCTCATGACGGATTTACCTGAGGCCGAGCACCGCGCCTCCGCGAATATCGACAGGCTTGTGGCGAACGAGGCGGCGAGTATTCATCCGCGGTATGAGAACCTCGACTGGGACGATGGTCGGAAGGGGGTGTTTGGGCCGCTGGTCAAAGCCAAGACGTGGGACGTCATTGTCATGAGCGATTGCACGTACAACGTGGACTCGCTGCCTTCTCTGGTGCATACCTGGACGGCGGTCCACGTGCACAATATCTCGAAGAGCTCGAATGAGTCTTTCCGGACGTGGGTGTACATTGCGTGGAAGAAGCGGCATCCGGACGAGAATGAATTCTGGAACCAGGTTGACAGCCAGGGATGGACTCTACACGAGGAAGATGTTGTTGATTTGCCGGTGCTCGGCGGCGAGACGGAGAAGATCTTTACGTATCTGTTCAGCATGAAGTCTACAATGTTTGAGCTCGATGAGGAGAAGGGAGTCTGGAAGTGCTCATAGTCGCTAGCATGAGACCGGTTCGAGAAAAAGATTCTCTGCCGAAGAAAGAGGACCGGCCAGACGATGAGAAGAGGCCGTCAGGCTGTGGAGAGAAAATGAGCACGGCGTGCGGCGACCGTCGCGATTGGGGCGGTACCCCACGCGCTCGATACAGGCATAGGCACCGTCGATGTTGGGTCATCCTGAAATAGCAATCGTCCGGTTGATTGTCAACAAGTATTCATCCTCCCAGAGACACTACGTCGATGTAGCTGATTCCTGAATGCCCTGGAGATCACCATACCGCAGGGATATGCAGGCTTAGTCGAGGCATTTCAGCGATGGCTGCAGTAAGTATGGCTGGAGATGGGAACGAGAGGCTTCTGCTCCACCAGCACGACTCTTCCGCTGATCGACACGCTGCTAGGACGGTACTTCGTTGCTGCACCAATACTCCCAAGATGTAGCCTAGGTTGGGAGACTTCCACTAGAGGCAAACCAAGGGTATTGTTACTTGAAGATGACCGGGAAGACTGGTTCGACTACCGGCGATGGTTCTGTGGCGCAGTAGGCCCGCGGCTCACCTACTATCCCATTCATCCGGGACAGGGCGAGAGGGGGATTAGGCTCACGATACACCAACGCAACTTTGCGACCATAAGTGAGCCGCCCATCGAAAGATCGATGGGCCAATACATCGACCTCAAACCACTTACTCTTTCCTTCTCACGTCCGAATTTGAAAACCGCTTAGAGCGAGCCACATCAATCTGACGGGTGCGTTCATTGCCAACCAGCCTTCAACTATTCACACTATCGGCCCCTTCCCGGGCCCAAAACCAACCCAATAAGCTACACGTGGCTATCCAGCATTCCTGGGGAGACACAAAAGGCAATGAAAGGCTTCAACAAGTAAAAGAATGGACGATCTGGGAATCGAACCCAGGACCTACCGCATGCTAAGCGGTCATTATACCACTAAACCAATCGCCCATGGTATGATCTAGCCCGGACTTGAACCGGAGACCTTCAGTGTGGCAGACGAGAGAGATTGAGGCTCTCGAACTGTTAGACTGACGTGATAACCAACTACACCACCAGACCAGTTATTGTTGAAGACCCACGGGGACCAGGATGAATATGAACGAACGGGAAAGGGAATCGACTTGCGTTGCGGTGAACGGGGCGCGAGAAGCGAGGGTTTGGAGTGCAAAATCTGCTGGTTGCAGGTGAGGGTTTTGATGACCGCCAATCAGAGATCTGCGCTAAGGGGGGTTTTGAAATTGCAGTCTCCGCGCTGGTCGGACGCCGTGGCGGGACTAACGGGGCCGGGGCAACTTGCCGGAAAGGGACCCGCAGACGCTCCGCGAGTCTTCCGCAAGTCTCCCGCATGTCTTCCGCAGAGTTGACCTTGTGTTTACAGGCCATGGACTCATTGTCGAGAACGTAGTGAAGATCTATGGCTTGTTCTGGGAGCACGCTCTCGTATCGTCTACCGTACTGGGCGTGAACAAAGCAACATGAAAGGATCGGCCACTTGACTAGTGCTTACCGTTGCTGCGGGCTGGGTTACGTGGCGGACATAGCCATAACGTTATATAACGTTGACATTCTATCGCCAATCTCCCAGCCTCGCCTCCGATTCATCATGCTTTGATCACGACCGGGATCTGCCTATATCAAAGTCTTGCCCTGATGAGATGTTGATACTTGATACCGATACAGCTCATCCTTCTACAACAATAGAAAGATAGTGTACATAGTGTTCTCTGCGGAGAGAGATCTCGCCTAGACGCCATGGCACCAACCACAGTCCTCATCACCGGTGCAAACAGAGGCCTAGGCCAAGGCCTTCTCCAGCGCTATCTCGCCCTCCCAAACCACACCGTGATCGCAGGCAACCGCGACCCGAACCACGCAACATCGCAAGCCCTCAATGACCTACCCAAAGCCGACGGAAGCAAGCTCATCGTCGTCAAGATCGATGCCACCGTCGAGAAGGGTGCCCACGACGCCGTGAAGGAGCTGCAGGAAGCCCACGGAATCATCCACCTCGACATCGTTATCGCCAACGCCGGTATCTCGTACGCATGGCCGACAGTCGCTGACCTCAAGATCTCCGACCTCCAGGCGCACATGGAGCCCAACGTCTATGGTGTCGTCGCGCTATATCAGGCTACGCGACCGCTGCTGCGCAAGTCGTCCAAGGAACCCATGTTTGTGCCGATGGGTTCGACTGCTGGATGTATAGAGTGAGTTACATATTGCCTCTCGCATAGGTAAATTGAGATAAAGGCACTAGCACAAGGCCAGCTGACATCGTTCCAAAAGAAACCAACCTCCCATCCCGAACGCCGTCTACGGCCCCTCCAAGGCCGTGGTAAATTGGCTCACGGTCAGGATGAATGCAGAAGAAGACTGGCTCAATGCCTGGGTACTGATCCCCGGCTGGGTCCAGACCGACCTCGGCAACGCTGGTGCTCGGGGTCTGGGTCTGGAGAAGGCACACATTGGCGTTGATGAGTCGTGCGATGGCATGATGGGGGTTCTTGCTGCGGCGAGCAAGGAAAAGTATGGTGGCAAGATGGTGGCGTATAATGGCAACTTTCCTGCGTGGTAGTTAGTTAGTTCAGGTCTGTTTATCTGTGAATGCTCCCTTTCGAAATAGTGGCTTTGGGTTGAAAATTAAGCCTTGTACTATTCATTTACCTAGTGTAACGTGAAGTTGTCTGGAATCAGGACTGATTATGTATGTTAGACAACGTCAGGGGCTGCACAGGGAGACAGTCGCATCTAGATGTCGTGAGCATCCCTCCCTTGTCTGGGACGCAACCGCATAATCTTCCATGTCGCTACCTCTCGGCTACCAACACATTCCTCGGCCCGCGACTGCCACGCAACGTCAACCCTGAATTCCTCATTCGGCCCGTACTGGAATTGTGTGTAACGGCATGAAGCTCGACAGCCCCTTGGCCCCTAAGCTAGACGCCCGAGACAACAAATGCTTAGCTTCTACTTCCCCTTCAGCCTCATGATCATAGAGGCCACTGTCTCAACCTCAACGTCGTACGGCATATCTGAGCGAAACGAGATATCTCATCGCCCTGGGACTCGGTATTGAAGTGCCGTGAGCGCTTCCCTTCAAGCATCAACCTCATTTCCTTCCCACATGTGCCAAGACGAGCTTTGGAATTTTGGAATTCGTGATCACGCCAATTGACCTATGGCCTCCGCAAGCAACTGGGGCCGATCTTCTCGGATTATTGCAGTGTTCATTTAGCGGAGATATTCATGGCTTCAAAGGACTGTCTCGGGCCGGGCACGCGTCTGCTCAACACCAGTAACCCACCTCACGAGAGGAATGATGGGCAATGGCTCAACGGCATGATGGCGCCCATGGAAGTATTCAGCCTCTTTGCTCTGCGGCCCGTTGGGGATCCCCAGCACAATCTCGGCCCTCTGCAATGTTCACATATGTCTGGATGGACCAAATAACTGGAACCTCGCAGATCTTACTGAGCTCTCTTCATCCTATTTCTTGGCCCACATCTCTCTCTCTCTCTCTCTCTCCCCCTTGGTCACCAACCCTCACCAGTCAAGTTGGGTATCCACTCTTTCATTCTGCTGGAGGCTTTTTTCACTCGCTTACACACACTCTCTCTGTCTCTAAGCTTACGGAAAGGGCAACGTTGACACAATGGCCTGGACCAAACACGCGGCCGTATTCGCGGCCTTGGCTCTCGGTGCCAATGCTCAGGCGCCAACCAATACCCCTATCCCGGCGAACATTGGATTCGTTCTGAGTGTGCAACCCCCTGCCGCCGTGTCGAACACCACTAGCTTGCCGACCTCCGCGATCACCGGGATCTCCTCTACGCCGACGTCGTCTCTCAGCGTCACCCTCAGCTCCAGCAGCAGCAGCATCCTCTCACAGCCGACCACTGCAATCTCGAGCAGCGGATCGTCGTCGGTGCTCTCGTCTGGGTCTCCCAGTGGAAGCACCACTCCAACCAATTTGAACCCGCCGCAGCCTACCTCCACGCCCACAAGCTCCGCTCCGACTGTCGTCACGCCGGGCAGTTCCACCACTTCCCCCATCCTTTCGAGCAGCAGCACTTTCAACTTTGGGAACAGCAGTACTGCTAGAACGACTCCCTCCTCGACTAGCAGTGTCTTGAGCACACCTACCACTTCCTTGTCGACCAGCAGTGTTGGTAGCAGCAGCGTTGGCAGCAGCAGCAGTGCTCCTAGCTCCAGCAGTACCGGCACCACAACCTCTGCTCTGACAAGCACTACTACCGGCAGCAGCAGCACTGATAGCTCGAGCATCACCAGCACCACTTCCAGCAGCAGTTCATCGGGCACATCCTCAGCTTCCTCCACTGATAGTTCCACTTCGACTTCCTCGACTTCCAGCGATTCCTCAAGCTCGAGTAGCTCCTCCACCTCCAGCAGTTCTTCAAGTTCGAGCACCTCTATAACCATTACTTCGACTAGCTCTAGCAGCTCTAGCAGCTCCAGTAGCACCAGCGTGAGTAGCATCTAGCATCCCCCCGATGTAGCCTCATGCGACGTACACCATGCTGAGTTGTCTCCAGTCTACTTCCTCTTCGACGCTCTCTTCGTACATCTCGGCCCCGTCTGGTCCTTGTGCTATTAATAACGCCGCTTTCGTATTCCAAGCCTCAGGTACAGGAGACGTCAACGTAGACGGCAAGTGGGCCGCGCTGTCGCCGGCCTTTGGATCAGGCTATAAGCTCCGTTTTGATTCCACCAGACAACTCGCGCAACAGTTTAGACTCCAGCCCGACTGCGCGCTCACCACCGCTGACGGTACTTTCTTGGCCATGGTTGGCGGTAACGCGAATCTCCATTTCCAGTACTTCTTCCAGTCCACCGCCATCGCTTCTTCTGTGGTCACTGGCAATCCCACTTTTGAAGCCGATGTATGCCAGAGGAATGCCGACAACACACTTAGCTGCACTGCCATGGGTCAAAGCATTTTTCAAGTCACGCAAGGTGACCCTTCTCTCCAATTGGGCGACCAGAATTACGGCGAGCAGGTCACAATCAACCTGGTCCAGGTACCAGGAACCATCTTCCGTTGAAGTGGTGGCACATGGGGGCTGAAACTTGAGGGACATCACTAATAAATAGCTTTTAAGACAAATCTAATAGTCGCATCTCATTATGAGGTGCTCTCCTTTCCCGTATATCCCGTCTTTGTCTCTCCCAAGTCCCATATGCCATCGCATATCCAGTGCCCATCTTCTCTTGTCCACAAAAAGTCTGGTATCCTGTCGAATCTAGCGTCGTACCGGTCCGATACCCCCATCCAGAACCAAAAGTCATCCCACTTCATCGACATGGGCCGCTGCGTCTCCGGCCCAGAGTGGTACACTGGCGGCGCGTCCCTGATTCCTTGCTCGTCGAAGCAGTCCGCCACCTTGAACCATAAGCTCTCATCCTTGAGTTGATGAATGGCAATGGCATCGTTACCAACCAGCGCGTGCTGGATGGCATCCGGATGCGTCTTTTTACTAGCCCACGCCGTGCCGTCATGCCGTGCGTCTTTATTGTCGTAGTCGAACTTTTCTGAGCCCCTAAAGTTTACAAAATTGGCCTTCTCGTGACCCTTGAGCATGAGAGTCGCTATGGCCATGTCTTCGCCCGTCACCACGTGATGCTTGTTCTGGAGGTCCGCCAGCAACTCGACCATATCCCATGTGACGGTGTACATGGCGCCGTGCGGGAAGACGAGATCCCAGTACTTTGAGTAGTAGAGCTCTCCAATGACAGTCTTCTGGACTGTGCTCTTCATGAGCCTACTGGCACTGTCAGTCGAAAGTCTCGGTGACAGGAAACGGTCCCAGAATCCTCGTGCGTTGAGCCATAAGTCGGTGTCCATCTTCGACACAAACTCGTACTGGACGTTGTGATTAACGAGCCACTTGTAGAACTCGAGCGTCTTGATGGTGTTGGCAGTGATGTCGTCCTCGGCAATAGTATCCAGCACAATCATGTCTCCAAAGGTGCGGTTCTCGTTGGCCACAACCTCCATCCACTGTGCCCCAGGATTTGATACCACGAAGCGTCCGTCAAAGGGGACATCGCTAAAGATCTTCATCCACGTGGATCGTATGAGCATCCGACGTTCAACATCTGATGCCGTCGAGATGACTGCTGCCAGCCAGGGGTTCGGTAGTATGCTGTCATCCGTGCTGTTTGAACCTGTTGGTTGAGGAGAATACGGGAAAGGTAAAAGATCGTATGATGGCTCCGGAAGCCCGTCCACCGGATTTCCATGAACGATAGGCTTCGTGATCGGGGCTTTGAACGGCTCGTGGTGAGTTGGTCGTTGGGTATCATGAGTAAGGTGAAAAGTGACGCCGAGAAACAAGATGAAACAGATTGCAAAAACACGAAAGAACCTCCTCTGAATACATCGACTCAACGATGTCCATATTGCCATGGCCATGGACGAGCATGAGGCTACGGAAGCCATGTTGTCTCTCTCACACTCTCGCTCTCAACTGTCACTCTCTCTTTCAGTTGCGCGAACGCAAGCGGTTCTGCAAAAGCCACAGCAAGTAAGGGAAGAAATCTGGGATGAGTAGAGCTGTCAAAAGAAAGAGGAAAGAGAGTTCAGAAGTTGAGACGAGCTGGGGTGGACGGGAAGTAACCCCAAACCCCCCTGATACACGAGATTGCAGACAAGATTTTGTAAACCTCTCTGCAACTATATCGGGCGAAAAGTCACTCAGGAACGGTTACGGCTGCCTGCTCAGCGCTGGGGCCAGCCACCACCGCCATGCTGAGGTGGTGCGGTCACATCCCGAAGACACAAGCCCACAGGAAGGCAGGCAGTGATGTTTTGGTTGGCTCGTGAGGACTCCTTCATCAGATGGTAATCGTGGTAGTGGAGGGTATGCGCAGGCCAACCTGCGCTGCGGGCTTCCGTTTGAATCAGACGCGCCGCGGGCATTCGGTTCTGATACGTGATCGGCATTTCCGCCGAGAATTTTCTCTTTTTCTTTCCTTTGATTTTTGCTCTGTGTATCTGTGCTGTGCCGTAATGCCATGGCTTTTCCACCCCGGGGTTTGCAAGGGTGATGTACCTAGTTGATGGAGACAACACTTTTTCCCGCCTATATGCAGATCTCCATCATCCTTGTTCCTTCGTTCGGGAATATGAAGCCACGCGACATGTTGCCTCTCAGTCGTCGGGCGTTCCTTCGCGCCATGCACTGCCTATTTCCGCAGCGGAGGCGTTGCCTTGGCGGAGCGTCCAATCAGCCTCATCAATACCGAAGTCCCTCATTTTGGGTTCCGGAGAGATGAACTTGCGAAACATCTATCAGCTGCCAAACTTACAATCTTGCTAGTGCACGAACGGAATCAGAAAGTAGACTTTTCGTTATCGGCTTCGAAAGATTCTGCCAGATGCAATTTAGTTTGCGTATAATATCACTCCGTTAGTCTCTATATTACTGATTGGTAGCCGTGAATGGAGTACTACAAGCGGGCGATTATTCTATCACCCGGGTGGGGAGTGGCTCTACTAGAAAACTGTAAGCGTGCGTATAGCAGTACTTGAAGAATTAACTTTTGCAAATGATGATGTTCGAGTTGACATCATGGACGGACCATCTACTACCCAGTGCTGACGATGTATATCAGGGGCAACCCTAAAGTCCCAAATTGGAAAACCCACGTAGATGCCACGGAATTCTCGAGTATAAGTGGGATCCTCGAGGCTGGGAGCACAGAAGCAATACTGTTGTGACACATGGCTAGCCCGGCTAAAGTAGCGTCACCTTTGCTGTCGCCCGACTGCGGTGTGTCCAGCGGGCATGCATTTGGAAAAGGCAAGTCAAATTAGTCAACGAAAACACAAAAAGGCGAATCCACAGACAATATGTAATATCTACACGCGAAGCGAGAACGTACCAAATCATGGATCACCGTTTATGGAACCTTTAACAGTGCCCGCCCCTATCTAATGACCTTGTCTTCTAAAGTCGCTTACAGAGCCAAGCTCAGCCAAGCTACGGATACAACAACCAACATCATCAGCCCCATTCTCACCCGTTTCCTGCAGGCAGTAAGAAACGATCGGCTACAGCCGACGTGCGGTAGCCAATCGAATTTCACTATACGGTTCAATGATGTAGACTACCTTACAACACGCGGCGTGATGCCCGATGCTGAGCCGCCGCCCGACGTTACACTGTGGCTGCAAAACGGAACCGGGCAAGGCTCTCACCGGCTGGCTTGTGCAGACTATTCAAATTTCTAGACAGCCAAAGGAAAATCTGCCCCTAAATGGCCAAGATCTGCGATTTCATCGGCACTTGAGGCCTTTTGAGTGTCCTTCACGTCGGTTCCTTATTTACAGCTTGGAGCAGATGGCGAGCACTACCTGGAGGCAATTACTTCATCCAATAATTCAATTAAGATGCAAGTAAGGCTTAAATAGCGGGGAGAGGATTCAATCGTTGCATACTGCAAATTTTTCTCAAGGCCGTTGGCGTACTAGCAGGGCTGTGAATCCAGGCAGCAGAATTATTCTCGTTTTGGTAGGACGAGCCTCAACGTAAGGGGGGGGGGGGGAGATGGAGAGGTGCGAAAGGGTGTTTAATGCCAGGATAAATGGAACCCAATTGTACAAAGGTGCTAAGATTCACCGGAGTCCCATCTTCTTCCAAATTCGCGAGATAGTCTCATTTATGTGCGGAGTTAGACTAGGTTTTGCAATCAATCTTAGTCTATTTCATGGATAGTACTGATGCCTGCCATCAGGCGGCCTGACTTCATTCTGATCCGCTCACCGTTACTGATTACTTATCTGTAGTGAAGAATACGAGTCCCTGTCGCTAATTCTATTTCTGTCAGTAATCATGGATGGGTATGTGACGATGATTGCAAGTTAAACATTTCATTGTTTAGCTGCTTCGTATCAAGGTCTCCTTCCGTCTCGTGTCCATCTTCAAATTCTCTCTCTCTTCCGATGAATTAATCAGGAGCGTTGTTCACATTCAACGAAAGCCTCTCGCTTGAGCTCATGGAAATACTCCCAACTAGGAGACAGGGTCGCTCACTCAATGTATCACGGGCTCGTCACTCGCCGCCCTCGCAATAGCTTCCCTGTGAGTGTAGTTATGATCTGATATGATGGAGAGCCAGAGCTTCTCGAGTGTCCGTGTGTCCCGAGGGAATGGCATTGACAATGTGAATGTACCAAGCGGCCTGTTCTCACATGCGTCCCATCTTCCAACATGGCATTGTCAGCATTGGGCATCACGTAGCGCTAACTGAACCACGATGGCACTTACCACGAGGGAATTCAACTGGGCCATTTCAAATTCCGCGGTACTAGGTGAGATATGGCATTGATATAGAAAATCGGCCTTTATACGTCGGTCTGAAGCGCCGTTCACCTGATGTTCTCAAAATGCTCAACATCACGACTATGAAAGTTGAGGAATAGAGGGAAATCCCATCGCGACATGAGAATGGAGAAGGAACACCAACTGAGACTTCATATCACTTCACAAATCATGAAAAGTCGTGAAGATCAATCAGACTGTTGGGTGAGAGCGGCTGAAATAAAGTTGCAAGACCCATCTACTTCATTTTAGTGCGCGACCGGTGCGCCGTTGCAGTTGACGCCGCGGAGCAGGGGTTCCGGGCGGGGGAAAGCACGCCAGAGCGTAGCGGCATGACATCACCAAAAACGACGCCCGCGGCTTTTCCCTCCCTGCGGAAACCGAAGCCGGCGGGGGGCGGCAACAACGGCCCAATTCTTCAACGCGTTTGTCGTCGCATCAATCGTGGCAAAGAAGAAACGCTCAACCAAACAATTCTTCAACAGCAGCAAACTTGCTTGCGCTTGGCTTTTGCTGCCTGCCGCAATCTCAACTGTTTCATTCAGTGTTCATACACTGTATCGCAATTCGTCTCGAGGACGCGCAACGTCGTACCCGTCACCCGCAATGGCGGGCTCCCTTGCAAGCAAATTCCTGGCCGCGGTGGCTGTCTGTGGCACCGTTGTTGCCGCTGCTCCGACGAGCCAAGATCAATTCGTCCTCAGACCTGCTGCTGATCTGACTCGCGTCCACGAAGAGTAAGTGTCTGTCGTCGGCTCCGCGCCCTACTCATATGCGCCTTTGACAGCTCGCTGATCTGCAAACTACAGGCTGGACAAAGCCAAGGTCATCCCTACCGTATTGGACGACTTTGAGCCCATCATCGGCGTCGCGGCCGAGTGGTCCTCTTCCAATGTCGCCGATCTCGGGAACACCCTGAAGCCTGCCGATCTCCAGTCGGCGCCTATTGTTGCCATTGTCAGCGGCTCGTCAATGACCAGCGTCATTGCCACGACATACGTCCTGACTCTCACCGACCCGGACGCGCCTACTCGTAGCAACCCCATCTGGTCCGAGTTCTGCCACTGGATCGCTGTCAGCAGCTCCCCGACCATCTCCTCCGGCATCAAGCCGGCGGATCTGGACGAGGTCATCGAGTACAAGCCGCCAGGACCTCCGCCCAAGACTGGCAAGCACCGTTACGTCTTCACGGCCTGGGTGCCGGCCAACGGAACTAAGGAGAAGCTGGAACTCTCGAAGCCGGCGGAGCGCAAGCATTGGGGAGGCCAGGAGGGGCGCGGGGTCCAGAAGTGGGCTAAGGAGAATGGCCTCGTTGCTGTCGGTGAGTCGATGTCCAAGCACATAGCTCAAGTCAAGGAAAGAAGACTAATTGCGACCCAGGTGCCAACTTCATTTATGCTCAAAACGAAAAGCAGTGATATACACAAGTGACGCTATGTTTTGATGTCGGCCCAACGTGATCCTAATGCTGAGGGAGTGAAACCGCAAAAATCAGAATGGGTTCGTGATCACCACCACGGGGAACTTCGTTATGCGAGGATATAGCTATTAATACAGATTGAATTATTGCTACTTTGAGCAATTAATCATACGTCAAACAAGTCTCAACCTGAATCAATGCAGGAACAATCATCGACGGAAAACACGAAGTATACACGCATGCGCACTACCGACTGACATTGTGCCACGCAAGAAACCCATCTACCAAGGAAATGTTCACAGCCACCCCGAACTCCTCTCTCAACACACACATCTATCGACCAACGCAACAAATGAAGCCACGACCCACGTTCGCGAAGTAATGATGACCTGCGATAATATCAGTTGCTAGTCTAGGAGGAACAGGGCAAATGCTGATTCTCACCTTGTACAAGTCGCTCGAATGTGCTCTTCGTTGGTACGACTATCGATCGCCCAGGAAAATAAGATCTTGATATACGGCGCCGGTGTCTTCTTTCTGAAGGTCCTCAAGCTTCGTGACGATCATCGTGACCGCGCTTGGCTAACGCCGGACCTGGCCCCTGTCGACAGTCTAGGAAACTGAGTGGGCAGGCCCGCTTCAGCCCATCTCGGACTTCTCAATGCGCTCATGGGATAAGACGCTGATAAGGTACGAGATTCAATGAGCAACTGCGGCACTATCTCAGTCTTGGCCTTGATCTGGTAATCGGACTGACCTCGATGACAATGCTGCTTCAAGTCCGGGTAGCCTCGAAGGGCATCCTTGATTGTCTTCTCCCTATGACCGGTGGAGGTTTGTCCAAAGGTCTGCACAAGGACCAGGCTTTCCGTGCCTGGGTGATGTGGCTGTTTGCTTGAGTACGTCCGTCGACTATTTGGGCAAGTAACACCTGTTAGATATCTGGTTCAGCGTAAAGGTATCGCTCGAGCGTTGGCGAGGATTTTCATACTTACTTTTGAGGGATGGCAGCAGATGCAGGAAGACAGCGTCGACCGCCAGTCAGGTATAGCAACGCTGTTCGCGGCTGCCTTCGCGTTCCCTGACGCTTTTCCCTCTGCGGTGTCAGCTCAACCAAGACCTCTGACACTATCAATCGGTCTGGTCGGCAATACGGCGTCTTTTCGTCCGTGGGCCAAAGTCCTCGCCCGCATTTTTCTCAACTTCGTCCGACCTCTTCCGAACGACAGGAGGAGGCGAGATACTTAGGGTGCGGCTTCTCAAGCCCAACCCAGAGCTCCCACTCGCATGGCTGCCGCTCTCGCCAATATCCTCAACCTTGTTCTTGAAGATGGATGGCTCTGCCTGCTGCCTGAAATCCACAGGAAGGTCAGGGACTTGACTGTCATCTTTCCCGTCTAGGAAAGACGACTTTGGTCCTCGCTTCTGTCCCGCCTGATGAGTAGCTGGATCATCAGGAGGATCAGTGACAGTGTTGGCCACCTTCTTCACCTTTACCTCCACGCGTTCCCGCCTATCTAGCTCCCTCTTTCTCTTAGACAGGCCAGTGAAGGAACACACGTCTGACATACGCATGCAGACTTGACAGGGGCCAGTTTCCTTCCGAATACATACATATGTTTGCTTCTGGCATTTTCTGCACTTTGGATCCTGCACCGTCCCTTCTTTCGCGGTCATGTCGGCACGTTTGTGCTCCTTCCACGTCTTCTCGGCAATCATGTTGCCGTTGGGACCATGCTTCTCTACACAATAGCTGCAGGTGCAGCGTACCTTCTCGTTCTCTTTCTTTGGCTTCGACTTCTGGTTGACGACTGCCACGACCGCTGGTTGTGCGGTGATTTGGGTAGATGCAGGAGCGGGAGCCGCAGCTGAGGCTAGAGCTGGAGCCGCAGCTGCAGCTGGAGCCAAGACTAGAGCCGCACGTTGTTTCGGCGCCGAGATCGAGGATTGTGTACTGCTTTGAGACGTGCTCAAATCCTGCGTACGCCTCTTGATTGGGCCATCCGGGAGTAGCTTTCGTCCCCTGGCATTCAGTCTGGGCATTGCTGGGGGCGGATGCGTCACCGAGGGCTCAGGCATCGTCGACAGCCCAGGGATTCTCGAGGGCCCAGGCGCCGACAACTGAGGACTCGGAGGTGCCTGCAATAGTGAGCCCCCTACCGGGGCCGGGGACATGACCGGAACTATGACCGGATTGAATTCCCGCTTGGGCAACACCGGTGACATGTCGGTGTTCATGATATCGTCTATTGGACACTTTGGGTCCCAGGTCCGTTCGAAGCGTCTCGGCCCACCTTCTACCTGTTGCTGCTGCTGCTGGGCAGGGACAGTGGCAACAAGAATTGGGGCCATCTCTCTTCGTGACGGCTCCGTCTCGTTATGAGATTCGACGTGGACTATTGTGGTGACAGTGAGATCTAGTGAGTGGATAAGTTGGTTGGTTGATTGCTGAATATGAGAAGAGAAAGGGGAAATTTCCGTGTAGTGACTCTTATCAATGAGTTCCAGACGGGGATGGAGAAATGTACAGCTTTCTGTGCCTGTCCTGCCCGGGCGAACACAACCCTGTTTCTTATATTCTAAGAAAAGCTGCCCGGAGATAGCTGGGCTTGGTGTCTTCTACAAAAAGTGACCTTAGCTACCTCTCTAGCCTTTCTCCGGTACATGTGTGTATGTGTGTGTGATATCAAGCGTTGAAAGCAGTTGTCAACCTCTTTAGTCTTTCTCCGATACTCTCGTTGGGAAAGTGAAGATTACAAGCTTTTCAGACAACTACCTCTCTATCATTTCTCCGATGGGTGATCGACTATTACAGTTCGTTCCCAGAGAGCTCCAGCAAGCTCACCTCACGGAGACTGCCGAGACGCTTTGGGGCGAGCATGCTCTAGGCTAAAGCGTCGATTAGTCGTCTCCGTGACATAGTATTATGCGACACACAAGAACCCCAGCGAATAAAATGGCTTCATATTGAATTTCATTCCAAGCACACTTAGTTATTATAAATTATTGGATATGCAAGATATTACTGTGTTTTTGTGCTGAATTTCTATGGAAACTAAGTGCGAAATATTGCTGGAGGACCGTGGCGAGCAACGATCTCACAAGTCCTACTTTACAGGAACAATATGTTCAGACACCATCTTCATATACCACCTACCCGATACCATCCAATCCTTAGATGGTTCTAGGTCTAGGAATCATGTGAGTCCTGAACTCTTCCTTTTCCGGGGGGAGAACCGCATGGTTCACTCGAAGACGACTCCCCTCTCTCGCCAGCTGTGGCACCGCTTGAAGACGGACTCCCACCAATGGTCCGAGAACCATCATCGCTGGAGCTACGCTCGCGACCACTGGAAGCAGGCGGCTCGCCAGCCTTGCCTCGAGCAGGAGGGCTACTAGGCGACTGTCGCGCAGCTGGAGAGGTCTTCTTGCTGGCCCTCGTGCGCGCCTTCTTGTTCGGGGGTTCCACAACCTCCGATACCTCCTCCGCCTCGTCCGTGTCCTTATCCCGGGCAGGGCCCTCAGTCTTCTTCTGCTCCCGCTTCACTTTATCCTGATCTCTCTTCCTTCCCTTCCCGGGGACTGGATTCAAGGAGCATCGCTCCTTCAACTTCATACACCTTGAGCAGACTTTGCCTCCGCTATAGAAGCATTCATCTCCCTTGTTATTTTGGAGACAACGTTCGCAAGGAACGGCGGGCTTCATGCCTTTATTCCTTTCCTTGTCAGAGCGACTATGCTCCTTCTTCGTCTTGGTGCACTGCTCGATCCCCTCGGGGTTGCTTTCCACGCACTTGGAGCATTTGCAGATCTCCCTTTCGCCACTCGTGGCCTTTGACTGCGGCTTCTTGTCTGCCGGTGTGGCAGTGTTGGTCCGCGTATTGTTGTTCGCGGCTGCTGTAGGTTTCGTCGGCATCTTCTTTCTCGCTATTAGGGCGGCTTTTCCTTCAGCCGCTGGTTCGACTGCTGGCGGCGAGGGCACTTTTTTATTTTCTTTGTTGACCTCTTGATTCTGTTGCTTTTTGGGCCTGCTCGTTGGCAACGGGCGCCGAGGTGCTGGGCGTGAACCGTTGCTGCTACCCGCCTCTTGACTTTGTTGGATGGCGGGTCTATTGATAGCAGTGAAGCCACGAACGCGCTCGGGTACGGAACTCGGAGACTTTTCCTGAGAGGGAGCCCGACTACCTATAGTGATTGCCGACGTTGCAGAAGCCAGCGGTTCAGGAGACGGATCCTGAGTTGGCGAGGTCGAGCTGATAAGATCGACGCCGCGAGCCACGCGCTCCTGGTCCTTTTTCGATTTATACATCGCCGCCAATGCCTCTACGGCAATGTTTCTGAGCCTTTCTTCTTCTCCCTCCGCAAACACGGGTATGAAGGTGACAGAAACAGCCATTTATCTGAGTTTGGACTGTTATATTGTTAGTTGGGACTAAATGGGTACTAAGCAGACAGTCATAGGAGAGCAAATGGGATGAAGTCTCACAATATGGTTTGGATGAAAACCCGAATACTCACAGAATATCGAGGATAAGGGTGAGGGAATTGTCAAGGTGGAAGGAAACATATCGTTCTGACTCTTATATAGACACATGGCACCTGCCACAGATATTGACTTACTAGGCAATGGAGATAGGTTCATGAAAGCTGGGACGGGTGTATAATTGGCGTACCATTAAGTTCATCGCAGGTTCGGTACGCGATGAGGTAAACGGAAATAGCCCTCAACGGAGAAAGCTCTTAACCCAGCGCGTCCGCAAGCAATGATCTATGGGATATTGATACAAGACAAAACCCTTCAGACTCATTCCCAACCCCTGCTTTACTCCCATGAACATAACTCCTTGTACCGGGTGCACTCTGAGCAAGCCTTGTAATTCTCTGGCCATTGATAGCATTTGCGCCTATCAATTCCTCGGCATCTTGTGCATTCGCCCCGTGGCTTTTCTAGCATGTTGTGTCTCTCAATCTTGTCGGCTGATAGATGTGCTCGTATGGTCTCTTTGGTTTTCGGCTTGCCTTGACCATGGCATCTCGTACAAGGGCACTTCCGTATTCTGCCCCCTTCCCTCCTGTCCGACTTTGCGTCTTTCGAAGGAGACTCGTCAATGATATCATCGTCCAAGATGCTGTAGCTCGAAGAGGCTGGAGTGACGATGTCGGACATTTCAATGTCGGTGGTCTCGCCAGGAGATGTCTCGTTGTCAGGAGTCTCAGCGCCGGTGGCCTCCTCAGTTCGAGCGGCGTTGCTTGAACTCATTGGGCTTGATATACTATCTGCTGACTCGATCTCTCTTGAACGGGAGATCTTGGATAAGACTGACTTTGGCGCAGTGTTTCTCGGTGCATCATCAGTGAAAGCCTGAATTTTCGAAGCAGAATCGTAGACGGTGTCATTAGCCGAAGTGGCCTGTTGTTGATTGTCGGATGGACCATCGGTTGTTGTAGCACCATCCGCTCCCTCTATTTTCGCTCGTATCTCTTGGTCATGGTCGTCGAATAGTTTGTCCAGGTCTTCAAAAGCCACGCTGGGAGTTTCTGGATGCGGTGGAGACATTTGGTGAGCAAGCCCCTCTTCCACGGACATGCCTTGTTCGCCTGCAGACATATCCTCGTCCGTATGGAATTCTAAACCATCTCCGTCTGTGGGCTGGAGATCAAACGGATCGTCCAGATGCGCATCGTCTGGGTGCAGATATTCCGCGTATGAGAACGATTTGTCGGCCCCGGACATTGTTGGGCAGTTGTGTGGCAATCTTGCGTTTGATTAATGAGCAAGTGGGTGATGATTCTGGTAAACCTGGAGGTACCAGTTGACAATCTAATTGATTCAGAAAATACAGAAGATGATGATGTGGTCTGGTCGAAGTGCACCATTTCTTCCCACAAGTCAAAGAATGCTGTCATGTCATCAAGTGACGCTGTGCCTTCCTTTTCTTGAGATTTAATGGTCTGAGAAAGCATTGCTGGGCTGACTGGGCACCCACGACGAGGTACACAACTACGGCAGGAACTCAGCTACACGTAACAATAGTCACCTGCAAGAGCAGCATATAACACAGTAACAGACTTGCAGCTGCCCAAAATGAATGGAGATCATATGGAACTAAACCACTGCCTCTCATTGATACGTCTAAGGTCCTTCCTTCATTACCATGCTAGACACTTCACTGCTTTCCCTGGAAAATGACTTAGTGCCCTTTCCTCTTGCCCTAAATAAATGGACCAACATCGATGAATTGACCAAATACCCAAGCACTGAAAGACAGAAGTTGCACGCTAGACTTCACTCTGACTGGCAGCTGCATATTTATCTCTTACCAAATATGCGAGGCAGAGCGCAGATGGACAGTCTTCAGTACTGACTTGAGTAAGCCAGCCCTTTGGCATGCATGAGGATCCCATCTTCTGATGATTCGGCAAGATATTTAGGTAGCCAACAACTCTGAGGAACACAACCTAGCTCTCAGAATAGAAAGCTTCTCGTAGGACGTTACACACCAGTCTATTCTCAGGCCAAAGATGTAAACATGTTGTACTTATCTCATTCAGGTGGGTCGCAACCAGCGTCAGATCTCATAAATAAAGCCTGGGTATGGGCTTTCCACCTCATTGAAGTACATCTAGTATGTTCTAGAAACGAGGTATTGATCACCATCCCTCGCTCCCGCTAGCTAAGGCACCTTGATGACTCAATGACGGCCCACCCAGGACTCCGAACTTGAAGATTTATCTAAAGCCCTTCATTACCTACTTCACTCACACTGCGGAAAGCCTCCCTTGAGATTTTCGCTGCCCTAGGGCATCTTATGCTCTAGGTCACCGTCCCAAGCTAACGGACGGTCGCGATCGACAGTTCCTCAACAATCATATCCGCCAAGCTCCTGATGATGTCGTCGTTCTCCAGCTTGTCGCCTCTGCCCTCAAGTGAGTTCCTGTGACGCAAAGTGCTGCTGGTGAAGCGGCCGAATCCATACAAAATAGAATTCGATGAATTCATTGCCTATGGACCAGGAGTGAAGTAAATGGGCACTCCCGGCGCCTCAAATTCTAAAGTTAAAACGTTGAATTTTCTAGGAGGACGGAAGTCACAAGCAAGAGTGACCGCATATTTCCGGAACAGAAGGGTCAATACACATGTGATCTCAGCAGGAGCAATACTAAGAGTGTCAGCTTTTCAGGCAAAGTTGATGACCATTTAAGGTGGCTTATTTCTGCCCCAGACACGTCCTGGCTCCTTTGGAAAACGCGACTTGATATTGCTCGAGGCTTTTAGCATTTGGCTTCAACCATCGATCTGGGTTGAAGGAGCGGGCATCGGGACCCCCTCGCATCTACACTTGTGTGCATAGTGTGCGCCGACATTGAAACGACAGTCTAAACAGAAAATTCATGTTAGAAGAGATGCGTATCACATGGCCGTAGGTCCAGTCTCCAGGAAATGACGTACACCAGGCGGAATAAGCTTGTTTGAAGGCCTTTTTCCCGTTCGAAACAACCCTGGGCAAGCGAACAGGCACTGCCGCAGTGAAGCAAATAGCTTCCTTGACACAAGCAGGCAGAGGACACTCAGTTAGCATCCAACCTTCATTGACTAAGGTGAATCCCGGATTCACGAGTGAACTACCACCATCACCACAACGAATGCAAGGCCTTTGAGACTTACCAGGTATCCAATCTTCTCAAGCTCCAATAGAGGCGGCAAAGCATCTCTGGACGGTATAGAGGCATTCAGAGACTGGACGAGCTTTGCTTCAATGCCTGGATTGGTGAGTATTTCAACAATAGCTACTGTTACCGACATGGTAGTCGGTCGTGTCTGCTCCTGCAACAATCATGTCCACGGCTTCGGTGGCCATGTCGGAACGAGAAATACCCGTGAGCTTGTCGAAAAGAACCGACCCTTCAGCCTGAGCTTTTCCAGATTCTCTCCATTAATCTACAGATCCAGAGGCGAACTGCCAAGCTGTGTCAGCAACACTGAAAACAACATACCTTGAGGAGACTGAGGAGTTTGCCAACATCTGGTTTCATGAAGTTGACGAGTAAGATTGGAAGACAGTTTCCAATATGACGAGCTAAAGGGTAATATAACATGGTGTGGAATCCATGAGATGCAACACTTAAGGAATCGGAAAACCAGGAAGTGAAGTCGTGTTCGTTCTCTTCGATCATGCCACCGGATCTTCCAAAGGCAAATTGCATAATGACCTTGGTCGTCAAGGCTCCATCAATCTTAGCATTATTAGTAGGGACACATTCTATCCGGACGCAAATGAACGGCAAATAGCGATTGAACTCACCGCATGGCAGGGTAAATGTCGATGTCCCCCTCTTTCTGCAGACGCTGGATCTTGTGGTCCAGCGCTGTCAAACTTTGACGGATGACTGGCTCAAGCTTCAGAGCCCCCGCTCGTGAGAAAGGAGTACTCAGCATCTGACGCCGCGTCTTGTGCTTTGCAAGGTGCAATGTGCGTTCGTCGACCTCGCGCATTCATGAGACGTTTGTAGACACTCGGAAACGGTCGTTTGTAGAGAGTGTCTATTAACTGCATCAAGCATCTCTTGTGCCTGAAATACACCAACTGACCAGATCGCTGGCTTCAGCAACAGTTGGTTTGGCTGGAAGCTCGTTACTAATTACGGCGGAGGAGTCGGAAAGGCCTGGCTCGGATGGGGGCTGCCGTGGCGTGTCAACCAGTGTACACGAACCTAGGGTTTTGCCAGCAAGCAAGCGAACGTTCTGAAGAAGGTTGAGGAGAGAAACGTCGCGGCAGAACGTGAGGTTTAGGTTCGCATCTTGCAATGGCAACTACGGTCGGGCATAGGGACGGTGAGGCGAGCTTCCGTCGGCGGAAGTGAGGGAGCCTACCGCACCCAACGTTAAGGTAATGTGTCCTTAGGGTGGTTGAAGTCGCGGAGGGAGTCTCGGAGTGTAAGGGACTCAAATGGCTGGAAGACTCTTCGAAACGTCGAGACGCCGGTCGTTGGGCAACGACTCTTGCGTAGCTGCATCCGGCCTGAAGCTTCCGCGAGACGCATCGTCCACAGGGCTGCTGGTCATCGCAGCGCTCTTTGCGCGCCTTGCAATTACCACATGCCTTGATGCACCGCTGCCGTCGGTTGGGTGGCACCTTTGCAGCTGGCATGTCTATTGGCAAAGAAAAGCTTCACGATCGTGTTCGAATTTGGTCAACTGGCAATTATAGGAGACAGCAGTTCGGTATGTACCACGTTGGGCGAAGAATCATGCGGAAGGGCGGGGCTGAAAATGCTTAGCCGCAGCTGCGCATGGAGGAATAGAGAGTCCGGTTCGGAGAGATCTGATCGTCGTGCGGAGAGTACGGCAGAGTTATCGCCGACTGTCCGCATACATGTAGGTAGGTATAAGACGGAGATCGGCCCCGGACAAGACCGAGAAGTTCCGTGGAAGGGACGCCAGAAGTCGAGCTGTCTTAGCGACATGGGCTTTCAGATTGATCGACCCGTAGCTTCAACTTAACCATAATTGAAGTTCGGCCGAATGCAGGTATGACAGAGGAGCGGGTTACTTGCGGACAGACGGAGCAGAGATACTCTTGGGGATGATTCCGCTAATCTAAAGTAATGTGACCAATCGCGATCTTAAGTCCGGACCACAGGTGTAGTGGTTGATCATGATTAAGTCCGCGAGGTAGAAGCTGAAAAGCCAACCACCATTAAGTCCGTCCGGCGATATTGTAAAGGCTCACGACCCCACATGCCGTTCGCCGCAGCAAGGAACAGATCTTACGATCCTAGCGCGCGCTGCATAAGCCCTCTCAACACTCCATCGCTTCAAATCAGAGGGATTACTTTACCAATCAAACCCGCGAATACAGAATAAGGTTTAACAACAGAACCGCATGAGCACTTAGCTAGAGTGGTAGTTCCGCGTACTGCTTTACAGACCCTGAGGATGTGATCTTGGTCCCAGTCTACTACTTAGTAGTTAGCACGGTTCAAAATCGGTACAGTACAGTGCACACATAACACTGCGTGCTCAAAGATCATCGTGTAAGACCTTGTAGGGGCTGGGTTCACGGGAAGTCTATGAGTACGGAGGAGCAGCGCGCGAGAGCTACGATACCAAGGCATTGTTCCGTATATTGAGATTGTCCCTGCTGGAAGGTGCCATTCGGCGTTGCATTACTAGACATGGTGAAGCACAAAGGGCGGAGCTGAAGTGTTACGAAGACCGAGCATTAGAAATACTAGTCATTGGACGGCTTCGTGCGTTACATTAGCTTCACGCTAAGATGACTACTCCAGGGGAGTAAGGAAGAGCAGACAAATTTATGATGATGCAAACTTGAATCTCGTTGTTGTAGACGCGGGCTACAAACAAGGAGATTTGCACACAACCAATACCTAAGTTGCCCTCCCTGGAAGGGGGCAAAGTGTGTAGAGTGACTGGTACACTCCAGTGGGCCTGACGTTTTTACGGCGCGGCGTCACCAGATTGCTGCCCAGCGTAAACGTATAGTGATGGACAGGGGACAACGATCCTTTGCTAGTTCAACCTTCTGATTTTGTATACAGGGTCGTGTCAGCACCGCGGCGAGTTCAGATCCCGCTGACGTGAACGAGAAGATAATGTGATGGCTAATGGACTGGTTGATTAAGTGAGGAAAGAATCAAGGTGAACGTCAAGGCATACTGAATTCACTGCTTCGCGATGTTTATAAAGTGTGCGGTATTCCCTGGTTGCTTCACTTGCTCAAATTACTGGATCAAAATCAGCTAAACTACATTCTTTCAAACAGCAGAACATCATGGTTCGACTTCTTACCTCTATCACACTCTTTGCAGTGCTCCTCGTCAGCAACACGGCTGCACACCCAGGCGATCATCATTCAGACATATCCCATCTGGAGCGAGAACGAGCCTTCCATAGGCGTGCAGCTGAGGCTGGGGCTGTAAAGATGGGCCGTTGTGCCGACACCTTGGGAACCGTCAGGAAAAGCGGCATTAAGCGACGCACTACAACCTTGGAGCGCCTACGACAAGAAAGGGGCTTCGCATCCTCGGCCGGGATTCAGCCTCGTAACAAAGAGGAGGTGGCTTACTATGACTCTCTCAACCATAACCTTACGTCTGTTGTCAAGAGCGGATCCTACGAAGAGTTGTTTGGTTCCAATGCCTCTTGCGTACTGGGTCGGGCTGAGACGATCGGTCCATACTACGTTGAAGGCGAACTCATTCGCAGCAACATCACCGAAGACCAGATCGGTATTCCGATGCACATGGAGTTGCAGTTCGTGGACGTCAACACTTGCAAGCCAGTTCCCGCGCTGTTCATCGACATCTGGGGTGCCAATGCAACGGGCGGCTACTCTGGAGCTGAATCACCCGCTGGCATCAGCGGATTCGGCGGTCTCAACTCCACCTTCTTGCGAGGCATTCAGATCACGGACGAACACGGTGTGGCTAGTTTCGATCTTATTGTACCTGGACACTACTATCCTCGCGCTACTCATACACATATAGTAGCATGGGGAAATGCTACGACATTCCCCAATGTAAGTCCATTGACGATATGTGTCATGTTTCCTTCCTTTTCTGCTTAGCATCGCCTGGATACCGCGAAACTGATCGGCATTTTCAAGAGGCTAACAACTTTAAGGGCACAATCGCCGGTGGTCTCGCAACGGACGACACATTTATCCGTTACGTGGGACAGCTTTACTACGAGCAGAAGCTTCGTGATGCCGTTGACCCCATCTGGCCTTACAACACCAACACCGATAAGGATAACTTCAAGAACGTGGACGATTACATTCTGGCCGGAAACAAGACGCTCAATGGCAACACGGCCGGTGACTTGGGGGCTTACGATCCTTTCGTCAAGTACGCATACTTCACGGATGATCTAACGGACGGGATCTTCGCCTGGCACACCATCGGTGTGGACATGGGCGACAACTTCAATGGAGGCTTCCAAGCGGCCGCCAAATACGAAGAAGACGGTGGAAGGGCCCTTAATGCCTGGGGTGATGGTACCATCAACCCTTACCCAGCTGTGGTGCCACCCAAGGGGATAGTCTCAACTACTGCGGCTGGTAGCAGCGCTACAGGACTGTGACAATCCATAGTGCATCGATAGCAGCGAAGGGAGCCATGCAACAGCGTTGAGACTGCAGCTGGTGCTCACGAAGCACGCCATGATCGACTTTATTGAGGTGGTCAAGTAGCCATCGGATGGTGCTGCGAAGCTAGCGAATCTCTTATGCATATGCGTTATGTAAACTCTTACTTATCCAAGTTAGTGAGGGTAGAGGCTGAGACTTGCGGTCTCGAGGCCAATTGAGAATAATTCATATCTGCCTACTGTACCGTTATTACAGCCCAACATGCTTGAACAGTCAGGCGCTACAACATCAAAGTATGATCAAGCCTATACAAAAACGTTCATTCTTCCCACCCAAGTACTCCCTCAAGGCCCTGATGACCTCTCCTCACTATTGTCCAACAGTGAGCCACTAACTTCCGCGCCTTTCGCACTTCGTGAGGGGAATGCAACAATCGTGTTCTCCAGCCGATCAGGTAGCGGGTCTTCGCCGCCAGTGTCCTGAAGCTCGACGTACTCGGACAGGCGAATGTTGAAGGCGAGGCGCAGAATCGTCGAGAACTTGCTGCTGTATGAAGAGCCTGTGACCACTACAGCCCAAGTACCGATGGTGACAGACAAGATAGTGATTCCCACAGCAACCCCATAGGCTATCCATAAGGGGGCGACTGAGTAAGTGTAGATGTTCTGGTACACTTCCGTCTCTATTTTGGCTTGGATTGGCTCGGTAGGACTGCCCAATGTTGTCAGCTAATAGTCTCCAGGCCTGGTTTCGACTGCATTGTGTATTCCACAGCTCACACAGCACACAACTTACTTCAATTCAGCTTGCGACATAAGACTCAAGGTGGTGTTGAGGAACATATTTTCCAGCAACCTCGGAATTTCGTGGCCGGCCCCTGGTTGATTGCTAAACTGTTTCCCGAAGAACATCAAGTCTTTTGCCAGATTTGTTATGCCCACCTGCGTCTGAATTATCCGCGGAGCACCTTGAATATTGCGATTGATAAGGGCACTTCCAATTAGCATAGACGAAAATGCATCCATTACCGCTTGGAAGGGAACTCCGACGCCTTCGTTGAACGTTTTGGTCGACATGGTACCAACACTCTGAAGCCAAGGTTCACTGGGCTCATTTGCTATCGGTATGGTGCTAATCTCCTGAACTCCGGATCGATATGAGAACTCTGTCTGGTATGAAGCACTATACAGGGTACATTTCGTGAACGAATCAAGAACCAACATGTTGGAGTCAGACAACCCATCGTCGTTGTTTTCGACAACGTATAAGGTTATTGGGGCATCTCGGGGCCCAGAAACCGTGTCCCTGGTGGAATCCTTTTTCTCCGGCCAAAATGGTGAAAGGTCTGTAGTTGATTCCGGCATCCAGGATATGTACCGATAACAATAACCATCGGAACAGCGTTCAGTTGCTGATTTGGTGACATTGATACGCAGCTCGTCATCTGCATCCAGAGCAGAGCATTGGAGGGCTGGGCCCTCGAAATCCAGATTCCAACTGGCGTTGCCGTAGATAGAGGCCATCGGGATGATCGTGCCTGATATAAGTGAGCTGATCGCTGCTCTTCTAACTCCATCACTTGGCCCTGAGTAGGTTGTGGTACGTGTACCATCTGTGAGCCGTGCAAAAGCCTCACTGGTGAAACTGATGCTGGAAATCGGTCCAACTATTATGCCCCTTGCTACAGCTGCCTTGACAGTTAGTGTCGCCGGAGTGAGAAGAGTAGCGAACGGTAGAAGCCTAGATTTCCAGTCAGAATCAGGTTTCATGCAGAAACACTTCTCATGTCAATCACTTACCAGAAGAGAAGCGACAAGAACATGGATAATGGGTAGAGCATCCAGAGCCTAGCATCTAAAATGTTCAGAGCATTAGACTTCGAGGCCAACAAACCGTCAATCGATCGGAGCTTTGAAGGGCGGGCCTTGAGGACACTCCACGCGTGTTGCTCTTGCGCCGTGGATATGGCTATGCTAAGGAGAATCTTGGACATTGAAGCCAACAGCGTCCCAAGGGCAATATTGAGCTGCTGACTGGTAGCACCGCCCAAGTCGTAGTAGGTCTCTGATGATGGCGGCGTTCCAGCAAGGCTCCCGTAGAAGCAGTGATGACCGACTGCAAAGCCGACCCCGCCCAGCATACTGAGGCACATTGTGAGCGGGGCTTTCCAAGCATATAGTTGTTGGCTTTTCGCCGCCTCCTCCTTCTCTGCGGTTGACATGGCGATTGACTTGTGATGGCGGCACGCGGGAACTCTGCCAGGTAATCCTTGAGTATGAGCATGAGATGCTCAAATGCGAGTGAAGGGATTGCAGCAAACCCCTCTTATCTTTTCGGGTCCAGACGGGGCTGAGGCGGCAAAGATGCGCTTGGTTCCTACACATGCATGTTGGCAGTAAGCCTGTACAAAAGGCCCCTGAGCCGGTCCTCAAGCGGCAGTGTACCCATGCAAGGCCTTGTTGGTTCGACCTGGAGGCTGCCCGTCCGTAGAGGTATCAATGATATAGGCGAGAAGTATCATTACTACGTAATGATAACCCCATCACCCCTTCTGCAGCCTTGCTTACGGCTGCTTAAAATTAGAAGCTGGTCAGAGTATTCTGTACTGCGCCTCCACGGCACAGCATCGCACCAACGAAGAACAGCACGCCCAAAGCCGTTGGATGGGGTGGGTATGCGCACAGGAGGGCAAGTCGAAGAAACAAGAGATATCATTTCACTTGAAGAGGAAAGATGTCTTATCAAGAGCAGACGAGGCGTGAGAGAAAGAGTGAGGGCAATGTGGAGGTAGAGCAGAAAAGAGAGGGGGGCGACGGCGCGGTGTTGAGCGAGGATGGACTTGCAGTTATTTTAGTAATAGAGAGAAAGCCAAACATTCGATTCCATACGGCCGTTTTAGTCAACTCATCTAAATGGCAGGAAATCTCGACTTTTCTAATGGGTGCGGTCGTACATGGTAGCTGAGGGCATTCCTAGTGCAAATGCTGGGATGGTCAAAGAGTTGAATGCCCATGGCTTCGTATGCGCCTTGCTGCCAAGAGGGTCTCTCTTTTCAAGTTTTGATGCTTCTGGATACATTACAAATTCCATTATAAAATCATACACAGCCTTGCATTTGAATATTCGCAGTCATGTCAAAGACGTGATCAACACGAGATGCGCCGTGGTCCAGGCATAGCCGGGATGCGCCGATACCCAAACGGGCATGTTTATGCGGACCACCGGGCCCGGAACCCCGCACCGATCATCGTCCGCATTGACTTGCCATATCGCCTTGAGTGGGGGAGACGAGATTCCTACCGAGGGACAAGCACTCTCGTCCACCACAACCCCCGGATGCTGTGATATCTACATTACTCGAATTCGTGAGGGACGTTGGATAACATAACACAGCAGATTGACATGAATGCGAGACTGGAGAACTCTTCATCTGGTGTCTGACGTCAACAGCAACCTCACAAATCCCCCCGCAGCTATCAATCCCGAATCTAAGTCAACGTTCCCATTTGTGTTTTCCTCATCGCTTTCATATTCGTTCAAGGACGTAAGTCAAATCTGAGCTCAAGTCCGAGGATAATATAATACAATCCACTCGTTCGTCCGTATCAATCATGGACGAGAGAGCCCGCGTTCCCGTTACCCTCCCAGTCCCGAACCCAACGCCCAGCTATTGGCACTCGCCGCTCTCCCGTCTCTCAACCTACAATTCCAGCCCATCACCACCCTCAGAGACCGATACTTTGATCATAGGAAGTGGCATCACTGGCGCGGCCACAGCGCACTTCCTCCTTTCCTCAAAAGATGGATCGGCTTCGCCCCCGGACATCACCATGCTTGAGGCTCGCACCCTTACCTCAGGTGCAACGGGTCGTAATGGCGGCCACACCAAAGCCGCATCCTACCGATCGTTCCTTCATCACGCCGAGACACTTGGGACTGAAGCAGCTTGCCTCATAGCCCGTCTCGAGCTCGCAAACATCCGAGCCGTTCACGCCTTTGCCGCATCACATCTCAAAGACAAGGAGACGGAGAGCAGACCCTGCCAGACCGTCGACGCGATATACGACGAGGCGCAGTGGGAAGCTGCCAAGAAGGCCATAGAGGCGATGACAAAAGCCATGCCAGACGACGACGCCTCAAAGTACGAATTCTATGACGTTGAGGAGATGAAGACCCGGTTTCACGTTGCAAAAGAAGGGCTATATGGAGGCATCGGATACGAAGCCGGAAGCATTTCGGGGTACCGCTTCACCACCGACGTGCTGGAGTTATGCGTCGACAAAGGCATGAAGCTCTTCACAGAGACACCGGCACTAAGCGTCAAGAAAGTTCAACATGGTGTCTCCATAGACAACCACCGCTGGGTAGTCGAGACACCAAAAGGACGAATCAAGGCTCGCCGCGTCATACTCGCAACAAACGGCTACACCGCATTCCTCCACCCACGCTTCCAAGAAGCCATCGTCCCAATGAGAGGCCAAATCACTGCTCTCCGCCCGGGCTCCAACATGCCAAAGGCGGGCCTCGCGACAACCTACAGCTTCATCTACGAGGCCGGCTACGAGTACATGATCTCCAAACCGGCAGGCACGCAGTTCGCCGGCGATATTGTCATCGGCGGCGGCCTAGTCCGCGCTGCCGACCAAGGGCTAGGCGAGTACGGTACGACGGATGACTCGCGGCTGAACCCCGTCATCAGCGCGTATCTGCGCGAGACGACACCGCGCTATTTCGGCGACGATTGGGGCGACGATGACCCCGAGGGCGAGGGCGGCGGCAGGGTGCGCGCCGAGTGGACGGGCATCATGGGCTTCAGTCCCGACGGGTTCCCATTCGTGGGCGAGGTGCCGGGCGAGGACGGGCTGTGGGTTTGCGCGAGTTTTCAGGGACACGGTATGGTGTTTTGCTGGATGTGCGCGAGAGCGTTGGCGGTCATGCTCGAAGGGAGGGACGGCAGCGCGGAGGAGAAGGAGAACGGGGAGGAGAGCAAGGCGGAGGAGGCGGAGAAGCAGCTTGGCAGCTGGTTTCCCGACGCATTTAGAATTACATCTGCACGCCTGTCGCAAAGATTCGGAGGGAGAGTGAATCACTCGACGGCTGGATCCGCTGATCAGACATAAAATAGAGACATAGAAGCACAGAAGGCATGGAAGTGTCGAGACATGAGACTCGAGAGTCACTCGCAAACGCCCACCTGACGCCGTAGCGGGCTGGCTTGACTTGGCTTCCTTGCTTTCTCGTTGCGGCTGGAATAGAGTTCGACCGCGCCAGTCAAGGCCGCTTAGCTTAACCATCCCCTCGGATTTTATCGTATGAGCCCGTTCTGGCGGTCAAAGAAAGAACAGGTATGCCAGGGAGGAGGAAAGGGGAAATGGCGTCTCGTCCGGCTTCCCACGGCCGTATGTAGGCAAGTACGTACGCATAAGCAGACGATGTTGTTGTTGTCTTGTTTGCTCTAGCCGGCGTCGGGAATCACGATCACGAGGTGCATGGCCATACCTACATGTCACACACCCATGGGATGGGTCACTGCCAGGACATCGCTGGATAGAATACGACTGTGGCAGATTATCGTGACGGTTTGTGGAGGTTCTCCTTCAGCCGGCCACGTTCCTATTCGGTGTTATCTCTTGTGTTACAATGAACAAGTCAGGATACCATTGCGTCCAAAAGATTCACTCACGCCAGGTTCCAAGTCTCGCGCGTAATTGCGGCCGTTTAATGTCATCTGCATGTCGCACAATGCGCGGAACCAGCAAACATTCTGACCAAAAACCCCACCTGGATGGCGGCACGCCTCCACAACTCGGAATGGAGGCACTAAGGTCATTGCACTACGGGATACGTACGAAGTAGGTCCCGCCATGTTCGTCCGTCTCTGCTCAAATGGAGTCATCCCAATCGAGCGGCACAAGCGGGAAGAGGCTCGCCAGTGCGTTGGCACGGTACTGCTCGCCTCGGGATCGCTTGCAGGTGCAGGTCCAAGGGGGACCACTCGGTTGGAAACAATAACCCACTCGGGGAAAGGGGGGGTCGCGATGAATGAATGGATGTTGAGGGCAGCGAGACGCAGAGATGGAAGGCCAGACCCGAGAGGCAGAGCTGTGGCGTTTTTGGTGTGCCGTCCTGTTGGATAAAAAGGACTGGACGGCACTTCAGCCGTCATCCGTTAGGTCGGTGGATAGCGTACCCTACGTCCGGTTAATGTGAAAAAGAGATGACAGGCAGCACAGCTTATGACGGGAAGCTGCTGTCTGAACGAACCATCCCCGAGAGACCAAGCCTATGAGGGAGATGCTTCTGCGAGGAGAGCAGAGCCTGAGAAACGTGTATGCCCGCCTTGGGTCGATGTCATTTGCAATATCGTGGGGGGAGCAGCTTCGATCCAGAAAGTTGTCGGAGTGGAACGGCTGGCCGAGAGCCACCGTACACACACATCGAATACGACTCTGAGAAGCAGCCATGGCCTCATTTCCTGCTCGATGCGTACGTCCACCAAGATAATCGTGAGGAAACCCCCGCTCGACCATAAGTATTGAGGCAGGTGCTTAGTGCGGTCCTGGGCATCGTGGGTGCGCAACTTGCGCGCACTGCGCAGGCGCGGCAGCACGGAAAGACGAGAAGAACGACAGGGGTAACTTTGACAAACACTTTGCCCGCCGGCTTCCTTTGCCCAGCACCAGATGCTGGATAGACCCCAGCCAGCCAGGACCACAGCTGTACGGACGGATATGCGATCCACCGTTCTGGAGACCTTTGACAGGCTGCGAAACCCGAAGGATTCAAGCAGCCAAGCCGTCCGTTGACATGAGAGAGAAAGCAGCACACACGCACGCACACACACAAACACACAATCTGCAGACAGCCTACAGGTAACCCGACAGAGGGGATAGTGGCCCGTAACTGCAGGCACAAGACAAGGAACCACCCAATAGCCCTTCGATTGGGACCGCGCGCACACACGTCGCCAAATGCGGTGAGCGTCGAAGAGGTATCCGTAGAAAGAGATGCAGTTACTATGCGCCTCTGCGGCATGATGTCGGGACCGGGCGTTGCTCAGCGCGAGAGTGAGGGCAATGCATTGAGTGAGGCTTGGGAATAGCCAACGTTGATCTTGTCTCGCCTGTGGTTTGAGTCATGTCTACATGGTGCGCGCATATACGTAGGCTGAGCCCGTTTGTAGCTTGACGTGCGTTTGTCACAAGCATCGCGGTTCCCTCCTGTCGTCGTCATACTGTGCATTTGCTCATGTCCCGAGGATAAGGTCTGGTAAGATTTGTAAAGTTCGGGAGAGAGATCCCTCGGCCTAAAAACTCCTTGGTAGTGCCCGATGATTCCGAAGATCTTCATTGCGCCAATTTGGGTTGATTTGCTAGTGGCGTTTTGGAACCTGTTGGACCAGAGGGGTTAAAGAGGTTGCAGCTCGGCTGAGCATGGAAACATGTATGTCCTTACGTGTCTGTAAGCTTGTGCCAGACAGGTATGATGGCTGTTCCGTCGGGTCATCAAACTTTGTGGGATAAGCACGCAAAAGAGCCTATCTGGTAACGAAATCGGGTGGCATGCGGTCAGAGCAGAGTAAACCGCGTGCGCTTGCGCTTGTACGGCCGAAATATCGTGTTGCCCTAATATGCTGTAATGTAACTGGTATCGCAATTGTGCGAGACCATTCCGATGGTTTTTAGTACATATGGTAATGTTCAGTAATCGGTATTCAGCGTTCGAGGCTGTCTAGCACGTATGGGTGTGAGACGGCGGCTGCGATGTTTGACCGCCTTAGTCGTGGTTATTAGGAGAAAGCGCAGTGTTAGACCCGGTAGTGGTTGGCGATCGACAGTCAAAGTCCAGGCCAAAAAGCAATGGCTTCAGATCGTCGCGTCCAATGCCATGGAACTTGCTCGGGACCCCGGCTCACGGGCGGTGACTAGCACGTAGTTCCATCTCAGAGGTCCCCTTGGACGAGCACATCTTGTCTCTTTGGATTCGAGGGGAAGGGAGGGGGGCTGAGACTAAGCAGCTAAGGTAGCTTAGGCCTTTTGTTTCGCCTGGGATGGGATTCCAAAGAAAAGATGGCTTTGCTAATTACACATTGTCGACCACGTTGTGACATGCCACCGTCATGCTCTACGAATCAAGATCCGCGATGGCGACAAGAGATGAGTTGACACAATGGGGGCGCAAACTAGGGCCAAAGTAGCGCAACTGACTCTGATCCTCCCTACTGCGGGAGAGAGAGAGGCTTAGGCTGAACCACGGACCAGCAGGCACGAGTCGAAAAGTTGCGGACGCCCGGGACGCTAAGAGATCATATGAACCTCACAGTTGGATTAGAGCGTCGCAGCTTGCCATCCATCTCAGTACCGTCTGGTCCTGATTTGATTTGGCTGTCTGGGTCATCTCATGATTTCCAGTCTCTTGTCCCATCCAGGGTGGATAGGAGAGTTGATCTGAAGCCGACGGTGCGAAGGCAAAAATGTGAAATGAGCTGACGGAGATCTGCAGTGGTCGTTATTCCCGGTGCTAGCAAGACGACCGAACGCCCGTTCGCTCCGGACGGTAAGTAGATGCTGAGGATCGGGTGGGCGAAGAAGACGGGACCGAAATGATATGCCCTGGAGGGGAAACAGGGACGAATCGCGAGAGTCGCGGAGTTTGCCTTGGCGGCACCCAGACGCAACAGCGGCCGGCGGTCAAGCCGGGGACTTACAGTTGCAACAACTGCCATTGGGTCGACGCCATATTAGACGAGACGAGACGATGTCGCCCTGTGTCGGCCGATGAACGGGATGTCGATGTGAGTGACAACAGATGGGTAAAGACGGGGGTTGTTGTTGGTCATGGGGATGGCTCCGTTTGGGATCCGGGAGGTCGCATCCGAGCGTGGTATTCAACGGGTTGTAATAATGCAATGGAATGGCAATCGCTTGCATGGCGCGGGAAGTCACGACGTGTAATATCAAAGCTACTTGCATGGATGGATAGGATGGTATAGCCATGATCGCTTTCCGTACTCCGGTTTGTATCAGTACTAGAGAGAGAACTGTGAACTTTGAAGTATCAAATTTTGCGTGACCCCTGGATGCAGTACGCCAGGTGTAGATAGGAAAAGGATTGGACTATTGGAGAAACGACCACTCATCTGAAAGGCTAGAACGATGCGACTGCCGACTGCCGAGTGACGAGCGGCGTAGAGGCATGCGATCTTCGCTGCAAAGGAAGGACTTTTGGTTGGAAAGAAACACAATCGAAGCCCCCTCCATGGACTTTGCCGCTTACCAATGCCAGCATCCCATCGAATGCATGAAGTCGCTGAGTTATTGAATTCATATTTCTTGGTTGTGAGGAGCTTGCAGAGTCTCTGGTTTCACAATAGAATACGTCTGACCATAACTAATACTGAGCAAGTCTTTGAGGGATAAATCAGCTCCTCCTCTCGTAAACGTCAACATCTCCCAGCCAGTGAATTACAGAATACATGCGGATCCGATAGACTCGGAGAGAGTGACCTCGATGGGCCGGCCCCCCTTCTCCCAAGAAAAGCTTCCTCCCGAGTCCCGGCCCAGCGTGCCATTCCTCTGGGAACATCCACAACGATGGCTGGGGCCCCTAGCTGCCCTGTTGTCCGTTGAAGGCGTGCAGACCAAGTACTCTGTATTCGTAGAGTTGCAGCGCTTTATCCGTCTCATGTCCCTTTCCGTCTAGGGGGTGTCTAGCAGTACTAACAGTGGGCAAAGGGGAAAGAGGATCCAAGGAACAGGGAGTGAAAGGGGTGTTGGGATACCAGGCTGTGACATTTCCTCCATGAGTGAGAAACATGGATAGCGTCAAGGAGAAGGAAGCAGAGTCAAGTACTGTCCATGTACCCGTCTGCTCTCTTCTCGACCTCGGCATGCCCCCTTTGAGTATCCCACCAAAACCCATTCGATTTCTCGACCCTCCCTGTACCGCCAAGAAGGACAATCTGGGTCTCAGCCCCCACAGAAGGGACAAGTTCAAATCCCGAAATCTAAAGTCCCACTCTTTCTTTGGGTAGTGTGTTCTTCCGGCGCTCACTTCGCACCTGTTCTCCGTACCTCTCTCTGTACGGTAGGTATCCGTACGCACACACACACTCGTAACGGACGGGATATGCTCTAGTGCAGGTTGAAGTCTCTTTAAACGTGCTGGGTCTCGTGTTTTTCTCCGAACGTAACCTCCATGTGGCGGGTGACTATCAGGTCATACTTGAGTTACGGGCTGTCAGGTTGGACGCATGCTTTGTGTGGAACGTTAAGATGAGGGGGAGAATTCCACAGAGCAGAGGAAAGGCCACCCAAGCAAAACCTGGGCTTCCTAGAATTTTCGTGGCTAGAGAAAAGCTTCATATTTACTTTTTTCTCCTCTCTCCAGTCGAATCGACGGATTGAGCTCGATGCAGGACAAACGGACCAGACGGCGACGCTTCTTCCCTCCACCCTCTCTGACCGTAACCGCTGCTGCAAGGTTTTTTGTGAGATCTGACAAAGACTTGAGCAATTGTGGGCAGCGCTCTGCTGGATTGGGAGGAGGAGGGGAAGACCCAAGCAGCGTCGACGAGGAGGGGCAGCCCGGGTCCGGGAGCATGGACATGGGTTTCTCGTCAACGACTGCCAGTGACCACTTCTCGGGAGCCAAGACCTCCAAACCTTGCCCTGCTCTGCTCATCGGTATGCTTGAACTGTGCCATTGTAGCATCCGTCAAGCGTCAACGCTGTCAGCATGTACCTCTGAAAGCAACCCTGGAAGAGTCAGAAGTGAGGCTTTCCTCATACTGCGCGAATGATTGATCACTGAGCGGCCTTCCTTTACCATGGTAGTGCGGACTTTGCGCCCGTTTGATGGGCGACGGAAAGTATGGATGGTCCTTGCTGGTCGACTTGGTCACGGACATAGGACTGTGACACTGACAGCTGAGTGAAAGGCCGCCAAGTTGTCGAAACATTTTCTTGCTTTTCTTCCCTTCCCAACGGACTGGACTGCTAAGCTTCGGCACTCGGTCAATGTGTCGGGGGAAGTCGGTGGGCAGAAAAACACTGGCAGCTTTGGGCAGAGAATCCTGCCGCACGAGAAGTGGAATGATATCGATCATCTCAAGTTCGTTTGCTGTGGCCCATCCAGATCTTTGCCTATGGGTTGATGGGCTTCGTGGGGTCCAGCGATAGTGGTATGCTTCTTCTTCTTCTTCTTCTTCGGGACATCGCGCAATCTCGCGCAATCTCTGCGGGCCCATAGTTCAACGGATGCATCTGTGTGATCTTTTCTGGGCTCGATCTTGCTGGAGACTTCAGAGACGGGGGGTCCCCATCAGAAACCGAAGAGCCGCAAAACATGACCGTCAGACGGTCGGCCATCTTGACGGTACCGACGGGTCGACGGCCCCGGCCTTCAGTTTCGACCGAGCTTCGGCGCTCTGTGCTCCGTGCTCTTTGTCCCAACTCTTGAGCTTCTTGGGTCTTGGGTCTTGAGCCTTGACTCTTCGTGGGGTGCTATGTTTGCCAGGAGCTCCCCTTCTCTCGGGTAGGCGGTTTGACTGTACTGTCGGCCGCTTGTTGCAGGTTCATGGCGCTTCATCCCAGCAGCTTGGTTCGAGACAGAATAGAGTTCATTGACGAGGTGTTGATCCTTTGCGGGTTCCATCGAAGTCTGCCACAAGGTCGAATGGCATGGCGAAGTGAACGAAGGCCAAGACTTGGTCAGACGCGAAGGTGCCGACACTACTAGAGTGATGGGCAGGCCTTTTGACAGACGTACTGATAGCATCGCAGACCAGAAAGTCCTAGACTCGTGACATCTACCGTGATAGACTTAGAGTCGTCGAGATGATTATTGCGGAACTCTCCGTCAACTTTGATTTCCCTGCGAAAATCCTCGATTCGTCTTGGGGGCCCTGCCGGTTCCGGGCTTTGAAAATGAGCTTGTACCTGTCCAACACAAGTGGAGAATAGAAGTGGATTAGATAAGCATGCCCTGTACCATGGAAACGTCCGAGCCAAGGGCCCCAGGGAAGTGAGTGACACTGACACTGACTGGGAGTTGGGAGAGCTGGGGAGGGGGTGAGGGCCTTGGACGAGAAGGGAGAGGAAGAGAGAGAGAGAGAGAGAACAGTAGTCAACAGGTGATCGATGTACCTCGACACCCGCAGGTACTTCCGCCTTGTCTTTGCCTTTGCGGCTTGCCTTGCGATCCACGAGAAGGGGGGCAGAGAGGCGGCCGGGACGCTGCACGTTCCAGGTCGAGGTTACTCCTGGTGCTCCTCCCATCCGCAGCTCCTCCCAGTGCAGCAGAGCAGCTAAGGGTACATAGTAGAGTGTAGGCGAGGCGAGCAGGGCAGGGCACTTGCTTTGCGTCTGCTTTGCTTCTGCTGCGCTGCTGCTGCTAGAGGAACTCATGTTCCCATTCCCTTGGGTCGGCGGGCCCCCTACTCCGTACGTCTGCGCCTAGTTAAGTACACGGTAAGTACGGTACAGGAGGATGTCCTAGCTGTAGCAGCAGCAGTCCTGGGTCATCGTTGCGCAGGTTAGTCTTGAAGGACTTCCCTCCGACGATAATCCGCATAGCAAGCAGGTCGATGGACGTCCGCAGGAGAGTTCCCCATCAGCAGCTCCAGTTGCCCCTCTTCAGTACAGAACATGTCGACATTCATTGGCATCACGACTGGCCACGCCTCATCATGTGCTTCTCAGAGTCTGCCTCCGGCTCCTCTTTCCCGTTGCTATCTCGCCCTATCTCATATCCTTCTCTCTCGACTATCGGTCTACCTCCCGAGTCTTGACACTGCGCATACACGAAGCACATGCAGATTCATGTCCAGTCTCCATTATGCCACCATGTAGACGCTCCGCTCATTACGCACGCATCGTCTTGGCTCACATCCGTTTGCCTACAAGAGTAAGGATACTCTGTACTCTGTACGGATATGTACAGAGCATCGCGGCTGGCAATGGATATCTCCACTCGGTGAACGGCTATCTCTCAGATACAACATGCGCTTACCGTTCCGGTTCGAAAAGGAGCCCTACTGCCGCACATCATCACCCGTTCTCATTAAGGGTTTTGACGGCTCCTGACTCGCCCATCTGCCGTGGCACCACGGCACCGCGGCCATGGTCGCAGCCCTAAGGCAAGCCACGTCTGCCAGCGCACAGCACATTGGGATTGTTTCTCGGAGCTGCATTTTGGCAACCTCACAAGGACAAGAGGACCCGGAAGTGCTCGCAAGAACCCCCCCTCTTCTTCCTCGATCTTCAAAACCTAAGAACCATTCCGGCGTTGTCTTGACTCTTGGGGTAGTACGGATACCCTATGGCAAAAAGTCACCTTACCTTAACCCCAACGTGCCTTGCACCCCTCCACTTCAGCTACAACCTCACCGAATCCCACTTCCAGACTGTTTACACTAGTTTCCCCCCTCCATCCCCTCTTTTGAACCCTTTTCCTGTGTTCCCCTCACGATGTTCACTTTTTCTTCCCATCATCCTTTTGGTCACGGCCCATCATATTCTATCTCGTGCTGCACGAGCAGACGGACGGGAGAATCGCCGTGAAGCATGTCTTATACTGATTCAATGAGCTGATGTTGTGACGGACCATGTGCTCTCCCACATGGGGCCACGTTCGTGTCTCTTCTTCCCGTCGTGCCTCCTGCCTGTCCCGCTGCTGTATTCATTGTGTATGTATGCGCTGTGCTTGTACTACATACCCAGTATAGACGCAACGGCAGGGTGATGCCAATTCTGGTGCAAAACAGACATGCTTCATCCCCCAAATCCCTGACTTGAGCCAATCATAGGTCCATCACGACGCCTTCGTTCCTCATTCCCGGGTCCCTACGTCTTCAGGTCTGACCCGACAGCTTGTTTTGAAGGATTCCTTCCCCTCCCCTCCGACGCCGATGCCCTTACCCTCCTCTCCCGCTGCCCGCACCACTGATGTGCGCAGCCACCCCACTGACAGTGGCCAGGTCTGTATGTTGTACCCTGCCTGTTTCGTTCCTTGCCCAGCCCGTCGTATCTGAATGGGAGACACTCACACACACACTCACACACAAACACACACCCCAGTGGCCCCCCCCCCCCCCAAAGGCCCCAGGGGCAGATTGATGGGCGTTAGGCACACTCGAGGAACAGTAGGCGGCTGACGAGCTAACCAAATTCGAGACAACTTGCCTATGGGTAGCTCGCTAGCTCATTAGAGCTGTCGAGACTGTCTTGTCTTGCGCAGTAAGCATGGTAAGCTCGCTTGGTGCCAAACATTGCCAAGGACAGGTTCACACACTCCTTGAGCTCTCTCTCTCATCTTCCTATTCATCTTCATCTTTATCGTCCTCGTGAAGCTGTAAAGTCATCAAAAAAAAAAATAGTCATTCATTGTCAAGCAGCGGCCATCATTAACCCTGGCCTGCAGAGAACCACAGCCCGGGTATCGAGCGGGAAAGCATTACCCGCCCCTGCAAGTATAAGTCATCCAAGCCTTGCTGTAGCATCTGAGGTAGGTATCGAGGCAGAGCAGAGCAGAGCGCAAGTGCCACTCTCCCCCTTGTACCTGGGCGAAGCAATGTACATTCCCTTGACCCATCGACCCTCATGTACCTTTCCTTCCCTGCCTTAGTGTCTAGTAGGTTCACTTCCGTACTTCCTGAGAGCAAGAGTGACAGAGAGAGAGAGGGCCACAGCGACCCGTGCAGGGACGGGACGCGGAGCTGTAAAGACCTGGACCTTGCCAATCGTCCATACTCGAACATCCATGCTTCCTTCAAGTCTACATTCTGTTGCCTGCCTCTCTCTCTCGCACTCATTGTTACTTGCCTTCGGACCACTGACACCAAACACATACATAATCGCTCCCTTTTCACCTTTGTTTTCACCATCGTGTTCTTCAACGTTGCCATACTGTCGGGCCCTCGAGATTCCCCACGTCATCATTTACCAGCCCAGGATTCCTTCTGCGACTTATCTTGCGACCTTGTCTCCCAGTCTTGCCTCGATCTACCGGGAGCGTTGTTGAGCTATCGATCACCTGTCAACTTGAAGGATTCGAGATACCTGCCAGGGTCGACAACCTCTTCCCCCGCACAGGGCATTCGGCGAACAACCCGATCTCACCACATTCCGTTGCGTCGAATCGTCGCTGTTCACACCCCAGCCACGACGACGACGACCGCCGAGAGCACACAAAGTCTTGTCGCGTCAGACTTGAACACCGCTCTTCTAGACGGACGCTAGTCGACGGTCGAAGTTTGCTAGACAGGTTGCAGGTTACATAGCTCTAGACGAAGCCTGAATCCCCCACCCCTGATACCAAAAGGTCATCCACAAAAACCATCTCATTCTCAGCCTGTCCGCCATCCGCCGCCTTCTCTGGTACCGGGCTCCTTCGGCTACCTTACTAGTACGTACCTTGGCGACTTTTCTTAGTCTATGGGACGACCCCCTTCTCGTTTCCCCCCAGTCGAGGAAGTCATTCAGATTGCTGAGGCACCCTCACGGGCCATGTCAAAGTTGATGCCGAACCGTCCAAACCACCATACCCTTTCTCTCTTAACACCAAGCCTGTCCCGTCGCAAGACATGCCAGAATTCCCGAACAAACAGTTGTTGAAGTCGATCCCTGATCCCCTTACCTCCCATCCTTCTCTTCGCTGCTCGCGTCCGCGATTTATCTCGTCCCGAACAAAGCGCACGCACACCACCCCCAAATAACCCTCTTCCATTGTCTCGGGTCCCTCCTTGTCATCCGCTCCAGTGGTTTTCTATTCCTTTTTCCCCTGTTAGTATCCTCCTCTTCTCCAAGACAGGCAGCGCAAAGTTTGCTTTCCCATCATTCGTTCTCGCCTCCCCGCTTCCACCACTCCAAACAAACCGACGTTTTCGTCCAACATCTTCCCTATCCTGATTATCTCTCTATCCACAAGCGGTTCGACCGCTCCCCACGCCGCACGCCGCTTCGGGACTTTTCTGATCTAACAGTTGGAAACAGACAAGCCTGGCTGCCAATCTGGGACGTCATCGCCGGCATTTTGGTCTTGGTGGAGGGGTCCCTGGTTAGAATTTTCCATCCCTGGAAAGCTCTCTGACGTTGAGAAAGCCAAGGTTTTGGATTGGGATCGCTTCGCATTGCCAATTCGTATTGCCATCAACTTCTCGACAAGTCAGGCGCCCGTCGCCGAGGACCTTTCTCCACGCCCGACGACAGTCAAGTTCGTGTACGCTTAGGTTCGAACATTTGACTCAGGCTGGCGTCTGTCGGGTACGAAGCGCAACAAGCAGATAATTCACGTCCACAATGAATTCGCCGCCAAACTCATTACGCGAAGAACAACTGAGAGATCTCTTGGTGAAGTCCGCTCGCGGCCCGCCTTCAGACCAAGAACCCCCCGAAAAGCGGCTTAAACTCGGCGGCCCCCCTTCTCCGGCAACCTCAGGCCCGGCCGTCATGTCACCGCCCGGTTCCACCGATACAGCTATCACTGTCGGTTCTCATAATGGCGATGAGTACGACACCGAGAGCTTGACCGACAGTGTGAGAGAGCACATGTACGAGAACCGACTACGATATCACGCCTACCGCGCAGGACGTTATGCATTTCCCAACGATGCTATTGAGCAGGACCGCGACGAGATGAAGCACATCATCAGCATTGAGCTGAGTGGGAGGTACTTCTTTTCCCCTGTCGATGACCTGATGGCAAGAGGCGCCGAAGTCCTGGATCTGGGTATGTGAAAGCTTTTCATGTGAGGCACCATGGTGGTGACGTACTTGAGATCATCGTGGCGAATACCTGCCGCCACGTTATGAACGCTTTCTTCTGCAAAAATCATCACAACGTTGTTCATGATGCCTCGGCAATGAAGAGAACAACGCCAGAATCTTGCGACGTCATCACCGAGCCGTTTGTTTACATCTTAGGATATGCTGTGAATCGCAGTGAGTTAACACCATTCTTCGCAGGAACTGGACCCGGTCACTGGCCTATTGAACGTAAGTTCCAAGTCCTCAAGAGGCTTTCATTTGCCGTCATATGATTCACTTTCACACCGTTCTTCTCACATGATTACGATCTCGCTACGTTTATGATAAGCGGTCAAACTTACATGTGACCCCGTAGTCGCCGATATGCATCCCAACTCTACGTTTCTCGGCATCGATTTATCTCCGATTCAGCCAAGTGAAGTGCCTCCCAACTGTCACTTCATGGTCGACGATATTGAACACGAAAATGGATGGGATCTAGACGAAGAGTACTTTGATTTCATCCATCTGCGACATACCCTGCACTCCATTCGCGATCGCAACGATCTCATGCAACGCGCCTATAGGTAAACTCCTCATCTCATTTTCACATCCCCTCAAGCTATCGAACAATACTACCTGAAGACAAGAGACTGAACTCT